CTCCCCTAGCACTAGAGGGATCTTTACCACCCTCAATTTTAAAATTTGTACTCCTAAATAACCCAAATAAACTATTTTTATAGAAACGACTACATTTTTTATCTATGTAATTCATAATTAATGAGCAGAACAAAATACAATATTCCTACAGACAATGCATGTGTGTATGAAATACAATGTAGTAAAATACAGTTATGAAAACATTTTATACATAAAAATGTAAATAAAATGGGTAGTTGCTTATTTTAAGAATCTTGTTATAGAAATTGTGGACCATAGCTCCCATGAGTCTTTGATATCTCAAAGATGGTGGTCTAGTTACACCTATGATGCTAGTTCTATTACACATTCTATTAAGTGTACCTATGAATATTTATTACTTAAGAGGATTGGTGAGGATTGTGTTCCAAAAAAATCTATATGGAACATTTTAATAAATTTAGTATATCAATAACTTTAGTGTTCAAAAGCATGATTTTTAAATGTTGAGTAAAGCAATAATGCTTTATACATATTACACCTAATAAAAGGCATCTAAAAAATTGGACACAGGAGATATTATGAATGTATAGAATGTATAAGTAAACCGTGAGTGTTTGGAATTTTGAAAATTAATTATTTTATTTATTTTTTGAATACTTGGTTGAATATTATCTAAAATCACATTACAAATTTTAACTTAAACTATCAATTTTATATTAGTACTTTTAATCTATGTTTAGACTGTTGGATATTAAATTACTAGACAAGATTATAGGAGATTATAAGTCGTTTTATATATTTATAAGGCTATTATGATGTATTTGCAGTTTACTCAATATACTTTTTTTACAGATTTTAATAAATCTTTAATAATATATACGCACCTGTCTATAATCTAGTAATATTTTACGTTATAGGTCATTTTTGTTTACAAACAATACAATTTTAGGATCGTTTTTTGAGCGAAGCGAGACGATTGTGTTGAGTGCAAATTTGTATGAATGCAACACCTATCTCCTTTTCTTGTAAATCGTTAAATTGGAAACACGTGGAACTATAATTTTATTAAATTATTAATAATAGACCTTGTATAATAAATATAACGTCAGACGAATGACACATAATATTTGAACAGTTTTAAACGATTCTTAAAGAGACGGTTTTGATTTTACATAATATAAATCAGCCCGAATCCGTACAGACCTAACTTAACCCCTACTTTATATGACATAAATCAAAAGGCTAGTTAAATATAAACAGACTGCCTGAAATATACTATAAACGTAAGCTTATTAACAGACTAATCGTGCAATTGAATGCGACAGTGCAATAAAAAAAATGATATTTTAATATGGGTGCATTCCATTAGAGAAAATATTAGCTGAAATTTCTGTGTAATATCACCACTTTAATTCCGATTATTATTTCGCCCAATACAATTTCAAAAAAGAACAGTTATATTATTTCAATTTATCTCTCCTGAGAAATGTATACAATAACGGACCTGATTGATAATGATTATTGTAACGACGCCTACAATATTGCAATATACGAGTATAGATACCTATACTAAATTAAAACTGACCAATTTTTTTTTTTTTTAACAAGGCTTTATTAATTATATCGGCAGTAGGGTTATGAGGGGACTATCGACTATGGGTGTTTAGTGGTCAATAACCTTCTTAATTTCACCTATAGCTAAAAAGAAATTGGATAGGAGGAAGAAGGGTAACAACATTCAAAAACTCCCAACCAACGTCACTGTATACCGACAAGTCCTATACGTCCCTGGCTATAGACCTGGTCCTATAAGTAAAAAGACGGACATACTTTGTACGATGGGCCGCTGTTGTAGGTGACAAGTTGGGAGGTAGGATATAAATGGGAATTTAATTTATATCTGTATACGCAACGACGAACCATTGCCAATGAAAAACGATTCGGAGTGAAGTTTCTTTTATGCATTTATGTAAATGTTCCATTTTTCTCGGTGTTTCCCAATTATTTTGAAAACCAAAAAACGACCTCCCTAGAGTACCACCCAGATGAAATTTCCTTTCGGAAAACGCACTACACTCGAAAATCTGAGCAAATCGTTATAGACATAAATAGAAAAAAAAATTGTAAAATAAAATATGAATAAACGTCATTGTTAAACCAATATACATTCCTCGGTATACGCTTCGAGTATAAAATTATTGGAATTCTAACGGACAAACAACGCTCTTGTTACTTTTTTCCGAAAACGTTTAGGCGTACAATCGCACGCAAACGATCTGATAGAATACTAGGCGTGGGCAGTGACAAGGAGGTATTATGCAGTGCTACGCAGAATAAAATGGAGGGGGAGGGTTGATGTAACGCAGCAATATGAGTCTATCGACGGCCTTTGGGGCTGAAGACGGAAGACGCGAGCGTATAATAATATAATTATACGAATATATACATTTGGCTCGACCGAAAAATAATTCAGTTAAAAACTTTTTATTACTATATTACAGGTACACTTCGTGCAGCTACGCCCAGCATAAAAAATATAAATAAATAAAAACAATATTGTAAACCGTCGAATTTGGCGGTTCGACGGCGTCCAATATTTTCTGATGTGCGCGCGTTATTATTGTCGTAGCGTTAAAACTAAATAACCGTCACTACACAATCTCGATTTTATTGTTAATTGTATCATATTATTGGTTCCAATACTTATTGCAGAATGGCACGAGGTAAAAAAAAAAAAAGTTTAAAAAAAAATTATCCTTATACTATGATATATAGTATACGATTATTAGTCCATCGCTAATTGTTTGCGTACACTATACACACGCACTTAATTCGATTTAGGTATATACTATTATATAGGTATATCAATAATCTCGAATTAATTATAATTTCCAATTATTTGTTTTTAAATACTTATAATAATTATACTTATTTCGAATTTATTTTTATTTTATTTTTTTTGTTTTACATGTACATTTAAATTCGATCAGTTTATCTTTTATACGATAATATGCGAACAATTTTATTTTCGTAATATTATAGTCTAACAACAGAACTTTATTATATTGTATTATGACAATATGTGCATATCTATTTTGTCGATGCATAGCTATCAGACGTACGTATGTTATCGGACGTGTTTTGTAAAATGAAAACAGTTCATCGGACGATGTCATAACATTATTAATAGGGACATGTTGGGTACACCCCTGCAAATATCAAAATGTATTATATCTTTGGTGCGGGGGAAGATGGGCTTGAGCAGTGTTGTGTTTTATCCAGACAAAACTTTATCTACACAGGTAAAATGAGAAATAAGATATCTGAAAGAAACAATTGAATCGATAAAGTAGATATAAATCTTTTTTAACAGTAATATAGCAGTTATAATAGACGTATTAATATTTAATTTATTTTGATACCCATATAGGGTTAATAAATTGATTATTAAGTTACATCAATTACACCACCATTATGAAATCTAGACAAGTACAAAATCTGATATACTTTTACTATTTTGACCATTAGATTTTATGGTAGGTAATTAATATTCTTTTTTCGACTATCTAAATAGATTCCCGAGAGAAAAGTCCATGATTATTTATGTTTAGATGATTAAATTGGTATGTATCATTTATCCATTTATCTAGATACTAACACTGGACTTGGGTCAATTTTTACCTTTTTTTTTTTTACTATTATGTAATTGGTTGTTTATGTTAGGAGTTTTTCTTTTCTTTTGGTCTAAACTTACGTGTAGGTATGTATAGGGTCTAACACGCGGTGTTTTACCGAAAATTAAAATACCTTAAATCGCATATTTTTTGTTCGGCTAAAACGCACAAGTCATATTTAATGATAATATATAGCGATTTAGACATTCGGCAATTATGCCGTTTAGCAATTAAAGAAACATATGATCTACCTGCAGTATTTAAAACTATAAAAATATTGCAAATACGTGTCGCGTACACTCAAACAATCGAACACTCGTCACCGATTTAATGTCAAAAAACAAAAAGGTCAATTTTAAATTAAAATTGATACGAGTAATATAATTATTTGCTTTACATGAAACGACCCGTTAATACGTCATAAAATGCACACAGGCGAATAATTGTTACATATAATTTAATAATAATTTTAGTTATGACTTTGTTGAAAAAACATGACCGAGATCCATCCGTTTTTCCTCGAGATGTTACAGTATAATATATCGTCGTCATTTAGACACCCCCGCTTGGATATAAAACCTATAATACGCTTTATTACTGATGAACGGGTACTCACCAATCGCTGAGTCTTATCGGGCGCAATGACGGTGATCTCGTGCGCCTGGACACCGACCGTTTCGTCGGCGAAGGCCATGGCCATTTTCTGCGGTCCGCTCGCGTGACCCTCCGCGCCCGTAAACTTCACGTTGAATATGTTCGGCACTTTGGTGATAAGCGACAGCCGGCGCGACAGTTTCCGGCCGATTTTCTTCGACTGTTTGCGGAAACGCTGCGCCTCGGCCTGTTGCGCCGAACAGCTGTTCGCGGGACACGAGTCCTCCATGGCGGCGGCCGACGACGGAGGCACCCGTTCCCGACGGCTGAAACGCGCGAAAAACCCGCGCACAGAGGAAAACGCGGTCGGCGGAAAACACACACAAATTCGCGCGGGAAACCGGTCGACGGAAAACGCGTGGCGACGACACTCCGACAAAACGACCGGTCGACGCGGTTCGCGGCGGACGACTGCACCACTACTACGGACCGCTGTCTTCTCGCGGGCACATGACTCGCCGTAACGCCACGCTGCCGCGCGGCCGGTTCGTCTGGGACCGGTCCCCGTCATCGTCTTCGTTGATACCGACGGGCGGCCCGGGCGCGCTCGAATTTACCTTGTCTTTTTTTATTTATTTTTTTTTTTTTTATGTTGTTCTTTTTTTACGATGCGCGTCGTATATTATTATTTTATTTGTCGTGATTTTTTTTTTCACTCTTTATTTTCGATACATACCAACAACACTTCTACTCCAAGACTCTGCGCAGATAAAAAAAAAAAAACAAAAAAAAAATCGTTTATACCGTAGGTGCTTGATGATGTGCCTACACGGTGATACCGTAATAATATACTTATTGTAGTTTAATACCTTACACCTACATTATAGTGTCGGCCTGGCCCGACCTCCGGCCGCATTTGTGTCCGGGAGCCCCCAGGCCCCAAGATTTATAAAATATCTGCTGGATACTACTGGATGATCTTTTGCGCAGATATTATAATACATATAACAACGCTGGTTTTATACCGAGTATAACGGTGGAAGTCAGAGCAAAACGGCTAAGCTGGCTGTGGGTCACGTACCATAAGGTCCAATACTATTCCAAAAGAAGTATTAAATTGGAAACCCCGAAGAAAGAGCCCCTTGGGAAGGCCTAAACAACGATGGTGAGATTAAATCGCAAAGGATCTAATAACGTTAGGAATGGAAAACTACAGGGAGGTAACACTAGATACAGTAACAGAACTATAGAACTCCTGATGTCCGTGACAAAGTATCCCACCACAAAATATCCACATAAATAAATAAGTCCTAGTTGCGCTTAAAATTTCTAAAAATGATATATTGTAACGAAAATGAACCAGCTAGGGAAAAATTCGACTTTTATTACGGAGCTCTGCTGTTCACGAATGTTTTTCATTAGCGTACAAATAAGTTCAAATTTTGATGAAAATTGTAATAATTACGACAGTTTAAGTGAATACAAATGTTTTGCTCCAACTAAAGTCCTCAAATATTTTATACAATTTTAACCATAAGTTATTATACTTATGTAAAAACCATTAATGTAATTTATTAATTTTTGTATATAAACATTTATTAAAGTTGAAATTTGTATGAATATAGTGAAAACTGAAGCATTTCAAAAACATTAATAAATTATGGAATATAACCGAAATATGCTCAGAATCGTTTACTGTTATCAATTATTTATCGTTGTGTGCTGATAAAAATAGAATCGCTTTATAATATTGTATTATATCATACCTTCCAGATTTTGTTTTCGATTCGGAGCGTAGCGATAAACGTATTGATTTTATAATGATGTTTAATTTTTTTTTTAATTTTTTCTATACTGTATATAAATTTCTACCAGAAATCTTACTCCGATGTTTTAAGTGTAATATCTTTTCTGAAATTAAATTTTATTGGGATAGTACTTTAAGAAGATCATTTTATGATTTTACACGCAGTTTTCATAATTGAGAAAATCCGAGAAAAGACGTGAAATGAAAATGGACAAATTTATGGCATATTCAATAATTTAAACGTTGTTTTTTTGTTGTTGAAAATATTCATATGGATTTGACATTTTGATAGAAAAACTATATTTGCCTTTTCTAGACGTCGACAAATTTTCAAAATATTTTAGCTATTTATTTAGACATTTTAATTTTGCGAGCTTTTTACATAATATTTATTCGAAAGGTACTCTATGGAAAAAGAAAAGCTTAAAAATTTAACAGGAGGTTCATTGTAAATTGTACTTAGTAGTCAACAAAAAAATTTAAGTATAATGTAGTATTTTTTTTTTATATAAGAATTTTAAAATCAAATTTTGACGAAAATTACGGTCTTTTAAAACATGTGTAACCGAACTCCGCTTAGATTCGTTTTTTCGTTAACAACGATCAATCGTAGCATACATATATAAATTAAACACCTCTTTATTAAACTCCTACCTTCCCAACATCTCGCCTACAACAGTGGCCCACCCATCGTGCAAAGTATGTAGGTCTTTTTTCTTTTGGTTTTACGATCGTTCTAAAAAGTCATGGACGTGATACCGCGAGAAAGGGGAAAATATAGTCTGCGGCGTGTTATATTATATATATACAGATGTGTTCACCGACGCTAGATTATGCATAAATATTGCGTACGTGTAATTATTATTATATTATATTGTAATTATAATTGTGCATCACATACACTATTGTACGCGTATTACACAACATTGAATTATTAAAAAAAAATCGGGAATTACATTAATCTCCGGCTGGTTTTTGTGTAAATATTAATAAAGCAATATTACGAAACACGATAGGTAGGTAGGTTAATCATTGAATTCGAAAAATTAATCTTAGACAAACCTTAGTATATATAAGTATATTTTATTCTATGCGTTTTCGAGTCATGACAGAATATTAGAAGAATAACCAAAATAGTAGTAAATATTATAATGATGTTAAAAACTGGTGTGCAACTTCAACAGCGCGGTGAATATTACGATGTTTTTCACACTCCTCCACGTGCTTCCCTCCACACCAATAGGCTTAGTTTAAAAAAACAGTTCTTCGTTTCACGTTAATCTTTCTACTTCCGATGCCCTTTTTTCCAATAATGAAATATTAATCAGTCTTGTTCTTCAAACTGATTTTAAAATTTAAAAATCTGTGGGTTTTATAAGCTAATAATTGTCGAGATATAATAATTTATGTTAATATTTCGTCAAATAAATAATTAAAAAATTAAAACTACAACAGTGCGCAGCATTTCCCCACGCATGTTCTCGGTAGCTATATAGTTGTTTTGTTGTTCGGGAAATAAAATCGTTGGATAACAATAACGAACACATACATAATAAACCACGTCTTAGACCTCGATATTCATAACCGTCGTTCGTAATTCTAAAATGGTTTTCCTCGAAAAAAATAATTATAAAACTTCCGAATGCAGAATCTAAAACTATAGAAGATTGATGCAGGTACGTTGGAATATTCATTTTTTTTTTGATACGAGGTAGGTAACTACTCATATTTTTCCCTTCATTCCCCGTGCAACTATATTCGACTAATGTTAATATAATTACTATATAATAACAGAAAATTAATAATTAAATGATTAGATACATAATAATATTTAAAAAAAATCCTCGATTGCATTACTTTGTAATAATTTGCAAGATGATAGTAATTATTATCAGCTAACATAATAACCATGCTCTCGAGCACAATATATTTAAAAAAAAAAAAAAACGGTAGAGGGAGTTTAAGGTCAAACCTCCCCCCTCATCGTAATGGTTACTTATATCATATACGGCACAATAACGTTGCGGTTATAAAAATACAAAATATAATCACTTAAATGTACGTATAAAGTATCTATGTAATTTGATTTATTTAAAAAAAAAAATAATAATAATAATAATAGCAGAATATAAGACCGAACAATAGAAATTGCATAACCATAAACGTACCGACATATACCTGCTTACTTTTTGACAATTATAAACAATGTGCTGTGTGTTACGCGATAATTCTAAAAAAAAAAAAAAAAAAAAAAAGAAGGAACAGAAAAATGTATACTTTCACGTTATTATTTGACTGTCGAATCTAATTCACGTGATACAATAATAATTGTGCGTAATATGCAATAATATTATTATTAAATTTCCTTGACTGCAAATGTGTGTGACAATATGGTGGTTAGCTTGATGAGCGAATAGTGCAGAATCGTGCTATTCATCTCGCTCTGATAATTAAGACTAAACTCAATTATACATCAACAATAGTGTATTAAAATATATAATCTTGAACTACTAATAAAATACCTAATGCGTATACTTATGATTTATAAAATAATTATATTGTTTAATAATGTTAGTATTGTTAAATGTTAAATGTCTAATATTGTTTCATATAGTATACACTTTTTCTACATTCGTATATGTGTGGTGAAGAAGCTAGGTATCATTTATTTTTACTAATAGTGTATTCTTCTCAGAAAACGGGTTTTCGTTAATTAAACAATGTACTTAAAAGTTTTTTTCTACCGAAAAAAATAAATAAGAATTAACTAAACGAATACTAAAAAAAATACACTAAACGATTCGCGATAAAAAAAAAAAAACACACACACATTTCGGAAAAAAAAAAATCGCATGGCGCAAAACTGTAGGTAGCTTATTGTTGTAATTGCATGCCCAAATAACCTGGGCCTTCGGTTGACCGTAAACGAAGAAAAAAAAGCGAATCCCGACACAGGCAAAATATTAAAAAGACGGATATAATTCGCACGGGGGTAGGCCGCCACTGTTGTAGGTCAGAAGTTGAGAAGGTAGTAGAAGAAATATTTAATGTATACCTGTACGCAACAACGAACCATTGCAAACGCAAAAAAACGTTTTGAGAGGAGTTCGGTTGATAGTGTTGCTCTGTCAACAAATTTGCATATATATATATATGTCATAATGTTTTTCGGTGTTTGTTCCCGGCCTTTCCTATTTATTTGGAAAACTCCTGGGAAAATCAAAAAACGATCTCCTCAGAGTACCTCACCAGTCGGATATCCTTTCAGAAAAATTGTTGTATCATTGTAAATCGGAGCAAAATTTCTAAAAGAAAATTTGTTCACAGAAAAAAAAAATAATACGAAATAAACATTATTGTAAAACCGATAAATTCTTCGCCGCATTCAGAATCTAAAAACGAAACGGTATTATATTTTTACCCGCACGCGCAAAAATCCATAATCGTATATGATGACTAAAAGACGCCATTCATCAATCAGCGTGGTTTCATCGACCGTACGAATTTCGCCGATTCCATTTACAAAAATAATATAATTAATAACCGATAAAAACATTTCGATATGTGAGGCAATCTACCAAAGTCTTGTTTAGAACCACTCCACACTGTTTTTTTACAAAATTATACACCGGCTGTCGACAAAACGCAACCCCATCTGCCGTCACTTACGAAAAGTAGTAGCACCGTAGGAGTAGTATTCTGATAATGGTATTGTTACAATTGTCAACTATAAAGTGAATTTCTCCGACCTAGAAAAACAATACCGTAGACAGGAAACGTACAATTTAACTATGTATTATATTTTATCTGTTAGGAATTCCAAAAAGTTTTAAATCAGGTGACCTGGTGAAAATGACGCATCTTTTAAATTTATGCTTGAAAAAATTTAGACTATCCGAAAAATTATTTTCGGGTAATAAATATAAAATACGCATTCTTTAAGTACAACAATTATTTATTACTTTTGGTTTAATAGCTTAATTTTTATAAATTTTCCTTTTCAAAATGTTTTCCGAATTTCTCTATCTTACATCCTTATCTCAATTTAGAGTCAATTATTTTCGATTTTTTTTAGGGAATAAAATACTTTTTTGAATATAATAGGTATTGAATACTAAATATTTAAAAAAAAATTGTTTTCAAATATTCAGAGTATTTAAAAATTAATACTTTATTCAGAATACTATCAGTGGCGTGCGCACGAAGTTGGGTAGATAGGAATTACATACCCCCCCCCCATTGACTGAAAAATACAAAAACATTAGTTATCTAATATCGAAATGCACATATTTTAGCCAAGTTACGAGGGAAAACTTGATGTATTGAATAGAAATTAGATTTTTTTTAGGATCTGCCTTTTAAATTGCCAACTCCCATAGTCGAGTTGGGTAGAGCAAACGATTTTACAAATTAATCAAAAGTTTTATTTGCTATAGCCCATTCCGTTTAAAATTTCTGAACACTCCACTAAATACTGTCCATGTCCAACATTAGGTACCTATCTACCTACATTTTATTTATATATTTATAAGAAACAAAACGACACAACTTACCTCTCTGAAAACGTATTGCCTATTATATACGCCTGGCATTTTCGCATTGTCGTTTGCGCATTATTATAGTATTTAATATCAATTACTTATATCGTAAATGATGACGAATAATTGGTATATAAACGGACGGCTCGGCACTTTCGTTCGGTATGACGGATTCGTTTATACTGATATTTAGTGCACCGGTGTAATTTTCTAACAAGGAAAGAGGTGGAACCGTTTACGATTAATTATGTTAAAATCATTTTCTTCGTACGCTTATCCGATTGTTTCTATAAAAGTGGTTTGCAACTATGAACTCGCCCATTCAATGTGTACATGTATTAAACTTGTTAATGGCCGACCAGTGGACGGACGCTGGGCCGTCTACGCGCGTAAAAATTGCTTACGAAAATCCGCGGACCCGGTCACAATAATATTTCGTCTAAAAACTAATCGTGCGCTCCGGTTCGGCCGACCAACCGATGACCTAACCTAACCGACAAAGCGTCACCGATGTGCCGGCGCCCGCCGGTGGCGGAACGGACGCGACGCGCGCGGGTATACGGAGTCCGTCGTCGGCAGTGTTGAATCCAGAACGTTCTTCTGGGGAGAGGCGTTACCAAAATTATCGTCGAATTTGTTTGATTACTTGATCAATTATTAATTTACCCGCATTTTATAGGCCGGGGGGGGGGAGCAAATAACATTCCGAGGGAATAGGAAATCACCGCTTCCTCTATCGAACACTTGGATTAAACACCGGTCGTCGGACGGAAGCCGAATTAGTGCGGTTCGTCCGCGAGAAAACGGCAAACGTGAGCCCGGGTCGCGATTCCGCGAAACAGTCGGCCGTCTGTGGGCCCGCTGTTTTAAAACGTCGCGGAAAAATTCACATCGGGAGCGACCATGGAAAATACGGCATGCACTGTGCCTGTATAATATCATGCACGTACTCGGCCGGAAAAACGATGGCGACGACACGAGTTCTGTCCGGGAGACGGTCGGAATTCGGGGCGCGACACGTTCGATTCGGTCGTCGCGGAAACGATTACGCGACGAAGGCGACGCGAAGTTCGGACGATTCGCGATCGGAGCAGACGAGCCGCCGTAAACTTTACTGCCGGTCTTTACGGACGCGTCATCGCGACGCGCGACGGCCGAAACGCGTCGTAGAAATCGCCCGTGGGCGGGGTAGGGGGGCCGATGGCCCGATGTGCGACACCGGTGACTATTACAGTAGTGCCGCGACTCGACGAGTCGGTTGGGAAAACGGACTTTGGAAACGTATCGCACTGATCGAGATTTTCAAGGAGGTCCTATAATTACAACGTAGACGGGCACGGGTTTTCGCGCACCGATGTCTAATTTCGCCAATCCCGATACGAGTTACCTACATACGTATCACTGCAAATAGATACTACGCACAGTCGGAAACTACCCTCCCGCCATCGAATTGCCAAGTGGTCACTGGTCAGTGGTCAGTGGTCAGCGGTCACTGGTTATTACTACTTTCAGTTAAACGCTGGTAACTTTCAATTAAAATATTGTCGGAGGGCGAATAAAAAAATTTTTACAATTTTACAAAAGGAAAAAAATCGATCTACCAATATAGATATATTGTTTTGAAAGAAATTATTGAAATTTGTAACACATTTCAAGGGATGAGAGTAACTGGTTGTAACCGCAAAGAAATATTTGTTATTTTTGTTTTTCTTCATGAAGCGCAGAGGACGGGCGCTTTGATATTATGCAATATAATATTTTAAAATATCAGTCCCCTCTAAAATTGTAGAAAATTTCCGTCAATGTTTAGACAAGTGATTATTTCAAGGGGGTGAGCGAGATAGGGGGATAATACACCCTCCGGAGGAAAATTAACACCACCCTCGCGTTTGTATATTATATTATTATAAATTACAATTTTCCTCTATGTTACACTACATTGATTACCTATTTAGCTTTTAACGCGTTAAATGTCACGGTCGTCTATTTGGCTATTTTTAGCAAGTCAGTGTCATTTTTCCCGGAAATGATATCTAAGACTTCGTCGGTCGGCTCGTACCAATTCATTATCTAAACATCTTCCTTATTATCGCAGGTTACGCCTGTGTAATAAATATTAGTAGAATAATACTTTCGTCTTATTTTATCAAAATATTATTTATTGGTAGGTACATAAAATATATGATTCCCTACGTTTGAATCGTATTTTGTTCTCATTTCGTTGTTTATCCGTCGGTCTGTTCGTCATCCGCACGTTCAATTTATTTTCCTAACTTTCAATAGGTATGTCAAAAAGAATAAATAATCAAATCATGAATAATAACAATAATATGTTTCGTAAAAACAAAGAAAAAAATGATCTTGCACTCGGCGATGTGGATGAAAATGGAGTGAATGATCCATCATCAGTGTCCATATTGTCATCAATGCTATTACATTCAGAAGCTCAAGGTGGTAAGTAATAAAATAAAATAAAATCTTACTTTTACCAAAATAACTGGTGAAAAAAGTATGACTAGCTTTACTTCAATAATGAAAAAGTGGGGCTACTAAACTATTTGTAAAGTTTGTGAGAAATTCCATAGCCATAAACAAAGAGCTTTACAAAAGACGTAAGGAATTTTTAGAATAAATTACTCCGTTTACAATTGTTCGTAAGGCTACGGGTAAAACTGGCAAATTATCAAAATATGCAATTTATAAAATCGTGCAAAAGCAGTTACGTAAACATTTTTTTATTAAGACAAAATAAACCTATTTACACTTAAATGATACAAGGTAGGTAATAGATTGATGATATACAAATGAAGAATAGAATTCATTTTTTTAACTTTTGTATAAAGTGTTTACTTTTTGGTAAAATAATAAATTCCATGTACCTACTACTAAGTATAATCCTTTAATAAATAATGTGAAACTAAAAATAACCAAAATTTAAGAGAGTAATAAGTAAACAAAGTGAAATATCTGTGTACATAAAACTACAGCTATCGAATAATTATGTTGTATAGACTATAGGTACCAAATATACTTGATACTTTTTTGTTGGTAAAACAAAATATTATTCACTATTAAGGAACCCTACAATTTTTGTTTTCTCCTCTTGCGTGGTCCAATTTGTAGGTATCTAATTATATCGTAGATATAACGAATCATAAAAATCACAAAATTTCAAATATCTCTAAGTCTTGCATATTTTTCGATTAATGTGAATGAAATTCTATTGGCTCTAAAATTTACTCTTTGTCACTAAAATACATTCGTTTCAATTATCAGCTATAATTACATGTTGAATATAGAAACACTCAATTACCTAGTTTAAATAGAGTATCTGCAATATGTTTTGTTTAAAAATACCTAATGTGCATGTATTATGTATTATGTAGGTATTGTGGTATATTGTATATAATTGTATGTATAAAAATATAATATATAATGTCAATATTATTAGGCTAGGTTCACATTGTATGTTTTGAGGGTTACTGTTAATTAGAAATTATTTGTAATTTAGTTACAACACTAAAAATAAAACAGATTTTAGAACAGGAAACCCATTATCGAGATAGTTAAATATGATTTACAGACAGGGATGGATGTCTCATTTTGTGTGGTAACTAGTGTGTGGGTATCTAATTTTTTTACAATAAGGTACAGAATATAGTTTCTAGTAGTGAATAACAATAAACTAGTAAATGGTATTTTTACTTAATTAATAAAATGTATCTAAGTGTCTAATATGACTGTAGGTTATGTACCAATTTAAATTCTGGAGGTTGACTCTCATGTAACAATAATAGTATGAACATAGAAAAACTGGCTTTGGAAAAATCTTATTTTTTCCTCTTACTGTACAAACTTAAAGAGATAATCGTGAGAGTATTGAAATTATTGATGAAAAATGTCTTAAATAAAATATTCTTCACTTCTTGATGTTCCTTTCCTTTCATAGGTTGAAAATCATACTGGCTATCTAATTTCTATCTTGGGGAACTTTAAATATTTGATTAGTGTTGTAATCAAACCATTACCTTAAATTCTGCGATCAATTTGTTCTGGACCTCCTAGTAAATTATTAAAAGTGTTAAAAAAAATTGATACATACCAAGAAAAAAATCTTAAAACTAACTCAAATATTTTACAATACTGCAATTCATTAAATACATAGTAATACAAATCTAAATACTATTATTAAAAACTAATATTTTAAATTTATTTTATAGGTATTAAGTTCAGTGAGTGATGAGGTCAATAAGTTTGAAAGAAATTCAATCCACTAAATCTATTAAAGACAATTTTCACTTCTTCAGATTAGTAAGTAGGTATATCTGATGCTAAGTTATCATGTAGTAATAAAATAAGTAGATACCTAATCATTTATATTTTTAGTTAGTTTAATAAATTACATTGAAAAACGTATAATGTTAAAAATTATAACAAAAACAAAACTGATAGAAATTTTAAAAAATACCTATTTAAAATTATTTTTAAGTTAATTTTGATTTTTGATAGATATTGTTGAAACAGTGAAAATAAACATCAATTCCAATATCAAATATAGTATTCCTACTAGTAAAACTATTTCAAAACTTTGTAGTAAGTAAAACTTAAGTAAGTAAACTTAGTAATACATTTTTTACTATATTTGTTAAAGAAATCTAAACTTTTGAGTTGTCTTCATCTATTAAAAGAAATTCTCGTTAGAAGAAAAAAGTAATATTTGGTGAGATAACTCAAAATACCAAACTCAATTCAAAATCAACTACACTACATAAAATTAAATTTAAAAAAAAAAATGTTTAACCATTTCATACTTATACTTATTAGAAGTTTATAAAAATCTTTTGAATAAAATGATTAATATGAACTTTTGATAATCCAAGTAAATTTCCAACAGATTAATTTTATAACTTTGTGAGAGTTTAAAATTTTTTTATAAACCAACAAGAATTTATTGAAGAATAGTTACATTTTTCTAAAATATATTTTAACTTTGAAATTACTTTAAATCTCTCAAAAATATTCTTTCAAAACTATCTTGACAATTTTAGTAGAGATAAGAACCAAAATGACATTAGAGATTTTGAAAATATTTAAAATAAAAACAAAAATTTATCAAGTATTTTCACTATTTATAATATATTATTTATTATTCTAAATACTTATGTAAATTTTGGTAACTATTTATTAATAAATGTTCAACCCAGCACATAGATAGAACACATTTTGGAATATAGGGGTTTAACCACTAACTTTTATCTTTATAAGTATCTGTGATCACCCTTTCATTATAGGTCGAAGTTTATAATTAAAATTGTATTTATTCTTCATATTATATTTATTTTTAAGGGTTAGTTTTTAATTTATTGATAAATTATTATAAGCGATACACCTCTGTAAAATTACTGGCTTAGTAAATTTTCAACAAATCAAGTACTTTACAAATCATTTAGTTCAGTTTACCTAAATATTGTTTTCAATAAATCGATTTAGCTGTAATAATACAAAAGTATTCAGTTACTTGTAACATATAATAATATCAAATAATTATATTGACAGTTAAGTAAATAAAACTATATTAAATATGTGTCATGCACCAAAACCTAGATACTAAAAATTAATAACACATTTATTTATAGTTAATTTTAAATTATCTTTTATAATTATTTATACATACCCATAAATAATCATAATACATTTTCGCTTGAGAGAAACAAATTTGTTTTGGTAATTATTATTATTATTTCTATGCGCATTATATAAAATAATTAATAAGGAAAAAAAATGCATAAGTCGTTATCATATATAATTGGGTATCATTAAAAATAAAAAAAACGTTACATTGATCTTGTCTCAGTAGTTCAATCACTTTATGTGGAATCTAAAATAATTGAATGCAAAAAAAATATTTGTCTCTGTAGGGTTGGCCTACTTAAAGTTCTCTTATTTAGCAATGTTTTTCACTAGTATTTTGCTGAGTGTTACCACTGGGTAACCTCCCTAATCTTCCCGTTAATTGTATTTTTCTTTGTCTTATATCAAACCTACTTATTGTACACAACTGTAGAGATTGTAGATAACTTTAAAATTGAAAAAAAAACTAATATATAATAATTGACATTAAGTTTATAACAAACACTATTATATATTTAAAATATTATATAGTAAGTATCCAATAAAACAATTGAGTAATAATAAATACACAATACAAATAAAGTAGCTTAGGTCACTTAAGGTAATAATAAAATGATTTTTAAAAAGGTATAATTATGAAGCTGCTATTCTCGCTGAGAAAAAAAAAATCAGAATTAGGTTACTAGACAAGGAATTGAACCAGAGTCACTCATTTGCCAGGTGATTACTCTACCACAGAGCTACTCAGTGCTCAGAGCCTTCTGAAACAATTTCAGCTGGACTTGAATGATTGGTAGATTGGTTAAATGCATGGATACTTAGCAGACATGTCATGCTCTTCCCTCAGATTGTGTGCATGCGGTAGTCTGAAACTGGAACAATTTTCTTCTGAAGGGATCTTGGTACCTATAAATTCACAAACAAATAATTATAAAAATAAATATTTGTACCTAATTTCTACAGTTTATTTCATCCTATTGGTTTCCCTAATCTGTATTAATATTTCAGTAATATTTGTTATATTTGTTCAGTAGTTTTTGACATACAGAACTTAGTAAACCAACTTAATAACTGTTACTGGAAGTAAAATAAAATTTCAAATTTCAACATTTTAGCATTTTTTATTTTGTGTTCAGTTTAAACTATTTTATTTGTGGTTATAAGATAATTTTATACATACTTAGACTTTAGTTGATAAAATATTTCACTTTATTTCCCTAATTATTAAATTTAAAAATGCTTTTCCCTATTACAATTTACTATTGATAGGTACTTAAATTAGTTTATCTGTTATTGGGCATTTATTATCTAACAGAATTTGTCATTGATTAACCTTGATATAATTAATCTGGTAATAGAAAATTGTATAAATAAAAATTATATTCATAAAATAGCTACAATATAATATCATTGTAAGTACAATAGGTAAAATAGGTATTATTAAAATTATATTTACCTATTTTATAATAAGAAGACATGATGGCTGTATTTGCTATCACTGTAAATCTAATAGGAAACAACAATGGATAAACATTTTATTTTTACCATCTAATGGTTTCATTCCAAAACAACTTATTTTTTTTATACCTCTATTACTTAGATATATAATAAAATATGTACCTATTTGTGTATATATACATGTAAAAACAAAAGTTTCAAAAAAAAACTTTTCTACAAATTTTTGTTTAGACATTTTTCTTTAAATCAACTTGGTACGTCAAATTGTTCAAAATACAAAAACCAATTTTCATTATATTGACCATTAAATAAATGTATGGCAAATACTCGCGTACTGTCAAAGGATAAAATTCGATCTACTGCGAATTCTAATGTTATAATAGGTACCTATTGATCAAAATATTAAATCAGAAAAACATACTTACTTTTAGTTTTATATGAAAAATTGTATTAATAGACTTCGTTGGAACTCTGAAAGTTGAAATTCGGTTTGTTTACAATTTTACTTTTATTGACTGATATGTTATCAAAAGTATATTTTTTTATCCTGTCTGATAAAACCACTGTTGTTGTTAACATTGGTAATATTATTGTGGTGACAATTTTTAAATTTTAAACTAGAACTTTGAATGAAATAGTTTTTTGTTTTTTGAAAATATGCTCTCTTCAAAAATCGTCCGTTAAGAATTACAGACCGAAAATTTAGAGAACTCGGAAAATAAAATTATTGTAGCAATACGTTTAACGTTAACTACGACGGCCTGCATCATTGATTTTTGTAATGCAAATAATATAATATAGGTCATTGTGCCATGAGGGAATGGTTCACGGAACTACGGAAAGTGATCGGGAGACTGAACCTACTGATATCTTCCGGAAAATGATAAGAACCCGAGAGATGACAACGATCCAAAAATCCACTTCGGGCATTAGTGGTAGAATTTTCACGTTTTCGACCGTGGTCACATTGGTTTCAGCGTATCAGCTGGTCAAAGCCGCCGTGTTTGCCGATGTACGGTCACTTGATAGGGCGTCTCATCGTACCGCACGTCCGTATTCCCGATTCCGTAATATATGTGTGCGCACAGACGTCAGACGCACAGTTGTCAGTCCGCTTTTATTGTTGTACGTCGTTTCTTGTACGGTTATTTTCGCCCACTGCAGTTCGTATGGTAGTGTAATAATATTGTATGCCGATGTTCTTGTTGTTTTAGATATTATTGACGTATTATTTATAACAAACATTTTATCATACGCGTTATACCTGTAAATTATATCGTACTGTCAATACCGAATTTGGTCGCGGTATTTTTTTTTTTTCTTCTCTGAATTTTCTTTACTTTCTTTTTTCCCCCCTGTAAGTTTTCTCTGTACCGACAGTTTTGGATAAGTTTGTGTCAACACCATGGTATTGGCCTGAATAATATTCACAATAATAATATGTCGCATTCACAGTACTCCCGCGAAACAGTTATCCATCTCATATCCGGAGGGTAAGGATAACATTGTCCATAGTTATATTACCCATCTATCTATTTATTTATTTTTCAAATGTATAATATGGTGTTGAATTCAAATTGAAATATTGCATTTTCTAGATTGGCTGGCACAACCGGAGCCGTGATTACATGTCCGTTGGAAGTGGTTAAGACCCGGTTACAGTCATCGTCTAGCTTTGGGGCTACGCGCTATGATTATCTGCCTAGAATCGCGTCCGAAGACGGTGGCCGCAACCGTATGACATGTAAGACAATCTCGTCGTTGCAGCGACGACGATATAACACCTTGAGCGGCGCTGGTGGCCGACACTCCAGCACACAAATACTAACATTTTCTCAATGTGGTGTAGGCGGCCAGACGACCAAATCGATGGGGCTCGTACAATGTCTCAGGTAAGAATATTAACCCATCCACTGTGTATAATTGTAACCGAATTCACTTTACCTCACTATGTGTGATATAACATAACATATGGATAGTGATATTAAAAACTTTATAATACACATAACCAACAACTCTACAACTCTGGTCGCGTTTAAAATAAAACATTAAAAACCGTTTACTACAGTAATTAAATACCCCAATTATTTGCTAACCCTTGAAGAACTACGATGTACTAATTATCTAGATGGTATATATTTTCTGTACTTGCTATTTACTATGATTTTAACTTTATACTGTGTTTTATGATTAAAAAGAAAACTGAACAATTTCATATAATTTCAATAATCAATTATAAATTTAAATTTGATGTCATTCATTAGATTTCAATGTTCATTACCATGCATATTGATGAATGAAAATATAAGAGTAAATAGTGTTCATTCTAAACTTAGCTGAAGAATTAAATATTTTAAGTTGGACTAGTTAATACAACTTGATAAACTACTATTCTTAGTATTTTATAGTTCTGTGCACATAAAACTGAATAAAAAGTTATACAAGACAAATTTCATTAACAAAACTAATTGAAAATGTAATAATTCAAGTACAATGAACTTCAATTGTTTTGTTTACATCTTAAAAATGACACAATTTAATTTTGTATTTTTATAGCAAAGTTTTTGAAGGTTAAAATAATTTTAAATTTAGGTCATCTACAAAATGTGTATGGACTTGTGATGTTTATAATAATAATATTTACGTAATATTCTTATTTACATTTAATTCAATATACTACACTAATTTTTTACTTCACTTAACCAATTTATCTGTAGTAAATCTATAGCATTTAAACTATTTTATTATTTTATTTTTGTATGACAATTAAATATCAAGTAAAAAGAAAATACAACATTTAAAAAACATACGTGTATTAGGTTAAAAGTTAAAATTATAGTAAAGATATGAATATGTACCTATGCATTTTAACTATTAAACATTAACTATACGAGAGACTGTACATCAATACTAGTTGACTGATCAAAAGTGATTGTATTATTACTATTATGTAAGTAGGCTAAACTAGCATTACCTACTGCCGAAAACATAATAATTTTGATATTTAATATTTATACAAATAAGTATTTTTGGTTAAGTTTTTAGAATAATTAATTTACATTTTCAAATGTCCAGTTTTCATTTTAATAGGCAGAATCTTTATCTTCTTTTAAATACTTTCTAACATTGTATATTTGTTATTTGAAAAAAAAATGCATTTCTAACAGTCTTACATTTTAAAATAAAACTTGTAAATAGATAATAATTTTTATTTTTTATTGTCTCGTGTAAAGAAAACCAATACTTAAGCAATTATTTTGTTAACATCATAATAACGTACATGTAATATGATTACAAAATAACACGGCATTGACTAAGTTCTGTCATACATATGTTGATATGTAGTAATTTTTAAAATTTGAATTTAAATCTGTTATGTTATGCTCAAATGTTTTGTTTAGTGCCTACTATAAGACATTTTCAATTGTTTTAAAAATTGTACGATATTGATATTAAATTTAATAATACAAGTATTCTGCAAAATTTTCTGTTCCTTGCGATTATTTCAAACCAAACACAAATAGAAAACCGAATACAATAAATCGGTACACTGTCCATTTTTATCCCAATTATTATGGAAGCTACTTGAAAAATCGAAAAGTGAACTGCTCAATGCACAGACTAAATCCAAGAAAGTTCTCATGTAGTTTTTTTCAATCGGATCAACGCTCTTGACGGAAAAATTGTTTACGGATAGCCAAAAAAAAAAAAAAAAAAAAAAAAACAACGAACGGTTTGATACAAATTGTGTAATATACAAGTACCCGCCTATTGAATAATATTCCGGACATTACTCGCCGCACTTGTTAAGTTTGTAGCGATAAAAATACAATAATAATACGATTATAAAAATGTTAATAACGTTCACTATCGATTCCTGATAATATTATATAGGCGCACACTTGTTACTAATATTGTATTACCTTAGGCGAGTTACCTACGCACCTGCGTACCTATCGTGAGATTACCGGAAAATCTATCTGTAGAGTGTAGATGATTCGAGTACCGCCGGCGTTATCTCGTTGCAGAAAAACGAGAGCCACTCGATGATAAAAATATTCGTCACCTTTTAAGTTCGCCCGTGTGACGTGTGCTGCGGCCGGTGGGCCATTTAAAGTGGACGGTTTTCGCTCGATAAACGTTTCGAACTCTCGATATTGTTTGACTAATGACGACTATATAATATTATGTGGTCTATGGACCGAGTCCAATTAGCATTGCCGTCCGCGCGAGCCAATGGATTTCGTATATTTTTAGTGCCAAACTCGTCGTATTTAGATACTAAAATAAACAATATGCTCCGTTTCTTCTCTGGTCAAACGTTGGCATTCGCGAATTTTATTTTGTTTTATCGAACGCGCCGCTCTGGTATTTTATAGAGGAAAAGACAAACGTTTCAAAAATGCCCAATCCGATATAATACGATACGTTATTGATTAACGTTACGTCGGTGTTGTGGGGAAATATTCCCTAACTATTTCCTAACATTGTAATATGAATATGTACCCGATTTGTCAACACCCAACGAAGAAACGGTATAGTTATTGTACTATCACAGTCGTAATACTAAGTACGATTTAAATTTATAAATAATAATGTTTACAAACCAATGGGTATTGTAGGATCGTGAACTTATGGTGAGTTTCATTCGAATGGTAAAAAAACATGTCAACCGGATGGACTTAAAATGGATTTTTTTTTTAATAGGCGAATCAATTGTTCAAAAATACACTTGTTAAAACTTCTCCAGAAGGCGCTTAATAAAACTTCATATATTTTCTTAAACGGAAGCACTTAATAATAATATGTTTAATATTAGATTCGAATAGTCCGTTATCGTTTTCTAGCAACTTGAAAAAATTGTTTCCCATTTCAAAAATTGTCCGAAATTGTCAACTACCTATTATATACCTACGTGTACCTAAAATTTTCGTTAGAAAATATAACATTTTCTTAGGTTTTTTCAAAAATGTAAAATGCGTGTTGCTTTGCATCTATGTGTATGTTTAGTTCTACGATTATTATTTTTAATAATTTTTTTAATAAATCACGAAAAATCATATTTTTGCTATATATGTATATATATATAAAAAAAACTTTATACAGTTGTATTTGAAACGATTTCTAAGATAAAAAAACCATTGCATCGATAAAAATGGTTTGAAAAAAAAAGTTACTATGTAACTAAAAAAAAACACTCAGTTTCGATTCGAATCCATCTGACGTTGAAAAATTTCGCGTTACGATTTGAAGTGATTATCGGTTTTAGATTCGGAGCTTAGCGAGGGATGAATTTATTTTACAATGATGTTTATTTCATTTTTTTTTTTAATCTATGAACAACTCCTCTACCAGCAACATTGATCCGATTTTTAAGTGTAGTCCCTTTTCTGAAAGAAAATTTTATCTGTATGGTACTTCAGGGAAAACATTTTCTGATTTCCCAAGTGGTTTTCATAATTATTGGGAAAATGTACGTACGTGTATAGAAGAAACAGAATCGTTTTTTGTTCGCAACGGTTTATCGTTACTTATATAAATATAAATTAAATTCCCCTCTATATCCTAACTTCTCAATTTCTCACCTACAACAGTGGCCCACCCATGGTTTGAAGTAAGTACCATCTTTTATAAACGTGAAAGTGAAACGCATCCCGTGAATAATAAAAGAACAATTATTATTAAAGAATATACGATTACATGTCATACGATCGCCCGGTGTTGTGAACGAAAACACTTGTGGTTTTAATTGTATTGGCCTAGTTGTGTGTTTAGGTAAATACGAATAATAAAATTGCGACTAGAACTATACGAATGTACTCGTATATCGAATGTATTATAATAATAATATATCAATAAAAAGATTAAAAAAAAAAAAAAAACTGATTGCCACTATTTATTGTTCGCAATTCCCGGCCTTGATTGATGCTCGTACGTTACAGTGTCAATTATAATATAATATTCAATTAATTTTCGATATTATTCTCTTAGAACGAACTATGTATATAGAAAAAAAAAACGATTGTGTTCGAGAAACTACTATGCTTTTTATTACACTCTCGTTATCAGTATTCTGTAAAGTACCTCGGTACTATAATAGATAGCATAACGCCTATGAAGAATTCCTGTTTTTTTTTTCCCCATTAATAATATTATTGATTCCGAACCAATAACAACCAACTGCCATTTATATAATAGTATTATTATCGTCTGTAATATTATCGGCGCTTTTTTTTTTTCATTATTATTGGCAAAAGTATTTAAAAAAAAAAACGGACATACTTCGCACAATGGGCGAGCCACTGTTGTGACGAGAAGTCGGAAGGGTAGGATATAGGGGGGAATTCAATATATACCTGTACGCAACGATAAACCATTGCCAACTAAAAATAATTCGGAATGAAGTTTTTTCTATACATGTACGTAAGTTTTTTCGTTTTTCTCAATTATTATGAAAACCGTTTGGAAAATTAAAAAAATAACTTCCCAAAGTACCTCCCGAAAATTTCCTTTCGGAAAAGAACAAAATAAAAAAAAAAATTAACATCATTGGAAAACCAATAGATTTCTCGGTACGCTCCGAATATAAAGTAATGATAATAATAATAGAGTAGGATAGGAAATTTCGATTGGTACTTTTTTGGAAAGAAAAAAACAGCCGCTTATCATTTCGTTCGTACCTCGCGATCGTAATAATCTCTTCCCCGGGACGTCCGTCGTGACCCGCGCGATCGTAACAATCGGTGACCGGGCACTATCGAATAGTTTCCGTAGAACGGATAGTTTTTTTTTATACGAAAATTATCGTGGTAGGCAAGGCGCACACAGTTGGGTGTAGTATTTCGTAGGATCATTTGCGAATGCTGTTGGGTCGAAAGCACACGGCGGAGAAAAATATACCGCGTTCTGTACCCGTCTATAGCAATACGTTCGTATTCGAATCGTTCGTCCGTACGCTAAATACAAACGTATTAATAATACGGAAGGGGGTAAATGCGCCGCGACTGTTATAACCGTGTTCGGAACACACGATGGTTTTTTCGAATAACATAAGTATAAATATTCGAAAGTTCTCATCGCCTATTAATAATCAAATAACATACTCGCCTCTCTTTTTTCGGCGGAAAATTTTCCCCCGTCTCTCCTCCGCCCGTCACCCCCCCCCCCCCCCCCCCACCCCGGCGCCCACGCCCGGACCCGATCGCGGCGGCCGTCGCCGCCGGTACCAGCCGCCACCGCAACGTCGCGTTTACTGCGCGACGCGGTTGCGCCGCTATCCTGCGCGCGTTCGTAACGCGTTGTTATTGTGGCCGACAACAACCGGTCGTCCTTCGGCCCGCGTTTAGCCGTGACCTTTATGTGGCGCGTACGCGTACGGCCGACGTTTTATCTTCGCGGCGCGCGGGCACGTTATGTGTTTCACGTAGCTACCGGCCCGCTGAAAAACGGCGAAAGAAACAAAAAAAAATAATCGACGTGACCGAGAGCACGTAAGCCACAAAGGCGTCGCGGAGAGACGGGCCCCGTTTCGCGATGCGCGTAACGGAGAGCAAGGACGGCGGCCGATAAAACATTAAATAATAAATATTCGACCGTTCTCGTCCGGTGGAGTTGACCCGACGATGACACGCTCGCGGCTTACGTAACGCATGTTATGTCGTCGCCGTCGTGCGTTGTTATTAATTATTTTTACGTTAAGACGGGAAAAAATCGCGAGGACGCTACTACAGTTATACGGAAACAGCGACGTCACGAACTTCGAATAATATCGATAACAAATCGTTTTTTTTAAAATTTTTTTTTCTTAACCGCCGTCCACCGCAATCCAGCTATACAAGTACAATACCCATAGCCGTTATTATAATATAGCTACGCGTATCATTAGCGACGCGTCCCACCTAATCATTTAAATTTCACAAAAAACTACCCGTATTATTGCGCATAGAATTCAGCCGCTTCTGAAAACTGTGGTTCGCTACGCCCGTGTATGGAAAAAACCGAATTTTCGCAATGCGGAAAGAAGAACGTGGACTGTGCGATATCGGAACTGTAAAACTTGAAAAACGGAAGAACTTTTTACGTATTGTTGATATCGAAAAAATAAAAACGATACTGTACGGTAAAAGTTCTCGTCTTTTAATAGTGAACATTCGGTTGTTGTCTAATAATAAGCTCTATACAGTCCTCCGAGTGGTTCCCGGCCCGCACAAAACGATTTTTACCAAAAAATTTGCGGAGGTGTGACGTCCTCTTAAAACGTCACGTCTTCGGAGCACTGAACTATAAAATACACGGAAGCGCGTAATATTCATCTAAATATGATCCTGACAACAAGAAGTTGCCGTGTGAATTCCGAATCGTGGCAGATTTAATATTTATATTAAGTACTAGAGTTATCTCCGAATAAATGGTAACGTTTTTATCACTGACCGAAGTCTGTTGCAAATGTGAAAAATCATTACGGAATGCCTAATATTGCGGTTCGCTTATAGGAACATTGCAGTACATATAATACGCATTCCGTGTGTTAATTTCGGTGTTTTGGAATGAGTCGCCGACCGGTTGTATACCTATAGCAGGTTCTGTACGAATGTTGTCGCGAATCCGTCGTTTCGTATCGCGTAATTGTTTTCGTAATTTATTCCGCCGTTTTCGTAAACATATAGTTTTATGTCGTTATTTTATGCGTCGTTTTATTTAATTAAATACGAAAACGGGTGACGTACAGCCGATCAATAATAAATAATCATGCGTATACGTACGTGTTGGGCGGTGTTTGAAAATAATACGTTCGCGAATGCAATCACAATTTTTTCTTTTCTGCAGGACGACAAATGTGAATTCTGATAGAACGCCAAAAGAAAAAAAAAATGTATTTTCGTCTAACATTATTTTACTGCAGTAGTTAAACGGCTCGACGTCCCAGCGCTATAGCATGAATTAACAATTTTATGACAGTTTTAGATCCCGAAAGCAGCGAGTAACATATTGGTTTTCACTGTGATGCGTGTACTTTTTTTCACTGTCTGCAGCAAACGTCTATTTCAATAATCTGGCTCCGATTGGAAAAATTGCCAAAGAGATTTTTTTTTTTTTCGTAGCACTTCGGATCTAGCTGGCACATTGAGGAAACATTTTTTTTTCCATGTAGCTTTCATGGTAACCTCGAAAAACCCACTAAATTGTCACGTCCGTCCGCAGTATTAGCTCTTTTTTTGTTTACAATATTTCCGCAGACACATTGGGTACAATTATTTCATTACCTTCGTTTACAAGCGAATCAATATTGACGACGAATAATAATTAATTTCCAAATGTTTTAGTGAATACCTGTGACACTTTTAAATAGTCGTTTAGATAACCTATCGAATATTTCGAATAGTTTTCCCATATATTGACGAATGCGTTCAATAACTATCGAACAGCTCGACAGTAACCATTCGATTGTGCCCGTCATTAGTATATAAAGAGATTTCGATAAAATGTAGAAATGGCACATGATCAAATTTTAAAACTGTTCCAGAAATACCAAAAATTCCTTGAGCAACTAGAGTTTTATTATATTTCATACAAATCACCGTAGAAAGTGATAGATAATAAGTGATAATTAACGCTTTAACGTGAATTTTTTTTTTCTGAAGTATTAAGTATTTTTGTCTAATAATTTAAACGTAACATTTTGCACTTTATGTGATTCCTGTTATTATAATCTTTACGGGTTTCATTGACTCATCACTGCAATACAATTATACCATATTATGCGTCGTTCGAGTTTTTTTTAAAAATTTAATACAATGATTATATATTGTTGAATCGAGTATTTTTAAATTTCAAGTGATTTCGCCTAAAACTACAACAGTTGACTATACAGAATAGATATTGTACACATCTAAAGACCTACGATTAAGTGTAGTGTTTAATCTTTATTTGTATAATATTATAGGGTATAAGTGTAACATTATTAACTGTTATAATCATTCCAAAACTATAATATTACCTATATAGGTGTATGGTAAAAAACAAAATGAAAAAAGAAAAATAAGTATTTATTTTATTGGACAAAAAAAAATGCGGTAAATACGTAATTTTATATTATTTATAGGTTATTATAGGTATTGGGTTTCGATTTTAACGTTATTTTCTTATCTTCGTATAGTTATTTGGTTAAAAATATCAGAATACAAGTATTTACCCACACATTGTGAAAAATCGTCGTTTATTATGTTAATATGTATTTGAATATTTTACGAAAAATATTTAAACATAATGTATTCGTTAACCGCTGTTTTCTTACTGTTGCCTGTATTATGATTAAACACGTGTCGGCAAACGTACCAGGTGATTCATTTAAGTGGGTATACTCATTATCTCGGAAAGTATTAACTTTTTCCGGAATTTGTTTTTTAGAACATTTAAGAAACAAGCTGCTCCACAATTTTATATTTTTTTTTTGCGATTTTCATTTAAATTTGATTTCAAAACGCTTACTAAAAAAAAAAAATTCTCCGATGATTCTGGAAATTTCACTACGTATAGGTAAGTCCAATATAAGTATTATTATCAAGTTTTAAGTCTCTACGTGTATTTATAACCGAATTACAGCAAAAAAAAAACTACCAAACATTAAAATTCCTTAAAAACTCAAAAGTTTTGGCGATGATACCGTAAGAAATTATATCAAAAAGGCAACAAAAAAGGTAACTTGTGACTTTTCGATTAAATTATTTTTTCTGGTAGAACACGTCGTACTTGTTTTTATAAAATAATGAAATCGTGAAATTGTACGTTTTCTTACGTTTTTTCCCACTTGAGTGCTTTTATTTAAAAAATGCCGTCGAAGATCAAAAAAATTACCTATCTAAAGTACCATTTAGACAACTTGAGCTTTCAGAAAAGTTGCTACTCGTAAAAATCGGAGCAAGTTTACTAGAAAAAAACGTGTCCACAGACTAGAAGAAAAAAAAAACACCTTAGTAAAACCAATAGTTCCCTCGCTACGCTCGGAATCTAAAACAGGTACCGGCCACTATAACTGATCGCGTTTATATTTGACTGTAATATTTAAAAAAAAAAAAGAAAAACGCGTCGTATTGCGTCTGTTTTTAATGTTTTTGACGGGTGCTCGTACTCTAAAATCAAAACTAGTGAGTTCTACGCAGTCTGGCATAAGGATGATTTTGTTATATCGCCCGTTAGCTGGACTAAGTCGGCACATGCGGTCCTGTAACGTTGCAGCGATATTTAGACGTCAAGTATAGTTTTATTATTATAAGTTTAGACGTTGCGTAATGATATTTTCTCGAGAATTTAATTTTATAATATTATGCTAATCGGCATGAATTATTGACCTATTAATATTATACTTTATTTTGTAAAATAAATATTTTAAAAATAATTTATTTTTATCGAAATATTCAATAATATAGTTTTAAGTAATATGACACGCTTGGACGGTTTTCTCGAGAAAAACGATATGTCAAAAATTCATATTTTTCGAGAGACGATTAAAATGTGTTTATCACGAAAATGAAAAATGTGCTTCTTCTATGTTTTTAATTCCAAGTAAGTTTTTGTTCACTTATCATGCGTGAAACGGAAAAAATGACTGATACCTGACTACTTGTAAAACCTCTCGCCTTGTGCACATAATTTTCATTTTTCTCGCAATATTTTAATATACTTGCCGTACGAACAATCGTTCAGTGTTTAATTCGTCACGTTTATTACGATTGAGCGGTCGCATATTTGGCGGCAAATATTTATCCGAAAGTGCTACCATTAATTGCGGCGCAAAATTTCCTACGAAATCGACTTATGATATGAAAAAATATTAAAATATGACTTACTGTGACATTTCTCATAAAAACCGTCCAAATACCTCTTGAAAATTTATATATATACAATTTGTGAGTCATTTTATTCTCGCCGTTAAATACATTATATTATATTTTCGTATTTTTCTTCTTTATTCATCCAAGTTGGCATTTTTTTTAGGCATATAGTACAAACCGAAGGCCCCAAGGCTCTGTTCAAAGGACTGGTGCCCAACATCGTGGGCGTCGCTCCGTCCAGAGCCATATACTTTGGGGCTTACGCACAGTCCAAAAAGTTTTTCAACACCGTACTTAACCCGGACACACCGATTGTACATGTACTATCGGCGTCTTTTGCAGGTAAAATATTTTTTGTGTGATGTTTTTAAAAAAAATATATATATATTTTCTAATTAAAAAAAAAAAACAAAAAATTACAGTTAACTAATTTTTATTCTAGTATACAAAAAATGGGCTTAATTATCTATGGTAAACGCTAATTTTAATTGTATTATCGTTATACGGTGAAATGTTTTAAATCGAAGGTTTAAGTGTATATTATTATACATTTGTATACATGCATGGTCTCTCGGTCTAATCATGCAAAAATTGGCAAGATTTCTGGTGTCCTATTTTTTGACAACTCATACTAATAATAATATAGTTCCACTTTAAATATGTTTTATATATATTACTATTGCGCTTTATAAATAAAAATCGATTTTAAAATATTTATTACTTTTCAATTTTTTTTTTTATCTACAATAAATATTACCTATAAATAGTGTCATAATTACAGTATACATTAGGTAGTTGGATACCGTAAAAGAAAATCATATACAAATATTTTTATCTTTTTCTTTTCTTTCAAATATTTGATAAAATTAGTATCATGGTTTTTACCTTCCTAACGATTGTTGTAATAAATCTAATAAAACATACGTATATATAGTAATAAAATCCTGATGCTGTGTAAATCATATTATTTTCTATTCGTTTTGTAGTTGTGTACCTATATTCTCTCGGAACGAGACGAACATAATATTATTATTGTTGATACAACGTATAGGTGCACATTTTGTTTAAAATGCAATTATCATAACGTGACCGTTAAAAAAAAATAAATAATAATAATAAATCCAATAAAGCAGCTGTTTCACTAATTTTTATTTATAAAAGTAGTAGTTTCCAAGAACCCATCGTCGTATTTAGGGGTAGCCGATTCAATACTAAGGTACCTTCGACAATATTGAAACAATATCAAAACCGTGATAAATTCTGGTATCGGTTTCGGTTAAATAGATTTTTTTTAAAAAAAAATTCGTATTTTGACGTCTAAATTCTGAATAATGTTTTATTGTAATAAAAATAATAGTTATTATAATGATTAATGTATCAACATACCTATTTTATTTTTATTATTGAACAAAAGAGAATCGAACGTTGTTTTCTAAATGTTCGGTATTGCCCGTCTACATAGAGACGCATTCGCGGTTTGTTGTAGAAAAAGTTAAACGTGTTCGTTCTAAACTTCTAAACTCTGAAAATGTACACATCATATTGTATTATAATAATAATATAATATTTCGAACAATATTAAAGAGAACGTCATTTCGTCGGTGTTATAGCCGTGAAACGAGTTAATCCAGTCGATTTGTTTTTTTTATCCCGTAAAAAACGAGTTAATCCGGTCGATTCGGGTTTTTCAAATGTGTTTTCTTCAATTTATTTATTGCGTCTGATCGGAAAGGTTTTGGTGGATTTTTGTGGAGTACTGTTATAGTTATATCGTAGACACGAAGTTGACTATTTTATTTAGAATTGTATTTATTATTTTTCTTTCGTTTGATACATATACGATATCAGCGGTTTGTTGACTGTGGGCCGGAAACAGGTTCAACGACAACAACAATAATAATTATGATCGTGCGTGGACGTCATTATCGAAAAAAAAAAATCGCAAAGAAAAAAAAAACCAATAACATTATTGTTATTGACATTGCACTAATGATTGGCGGGTACAAGTAGTTCAGACACTTTCCGGGGTGTCAAGTCGTACACAATAATAACACTGGGAAATCGAGCCATTGAAAAATATAAATTAAAAAATAATAGTAATAACGTTGGGAAATTGTTTTTTTAAATTAATATTTTCCGAAAATTTTATTTGAATACCTATTGAAATAAGTATTATTGTCACGCGAGTGTTATTATAGAGCACACGTGTGTTCAGAATAATCCTGACACGATACTGATGATTCGCTATGGTAAAAACGTGTGTTCGCGCAAACGAACGAAAAATGTCTAAACAAGCGGTTTTAAAGATAAAATAATAACTTATTTTAGAATGAAAAAACGAGGATTTTACGAAGGGAACTTGGTTATGAGTTTAAACAAAATATAAGCGAGAAAAATGAGTAGCTATAATTTATAACTAGAGCACGGATATTGTAGTAGTAAAAAATATTGAAATTGATTGCAGTTTGCACTAAAAATATTAAAAATTGCACTAAAAACGAACAATTTTTTTTACAAAAATGGAAATAGTGGGCTTAATTTTCGACATGTTCACAAAACAATAACTGAACACGATCACTCAAAGTTCACGGAGTGACTGAAGAACAGATAATAACAGTCGGTCACATTTCGCAAATTATTTTTGTATTGTATTGAATACCTATGAACTTGGAATTATCAAAATAAAAATTGATATCATTATTAGATTTTATGGCCGGCAACATTATAGTATAATCTTATCTATACGATTGTCGAGTGTCGACTATAGCCAAAATATTTGTATTATGAGTACATTCAACATAATTGCAAAAATTTCAAAACATTGCACTTAAAACTTATAGATTTCAATTTGTACTTGCATGAAACGTATTTATAACGTGCTTAGCAACAAATTGAAAATATAGAAAAAAAGTTTCAAATACAACAACATCCGTGCCCTAGTGCCCTGTGACTTGTGAGTATAATAGGAGATTAAGAAATCGCATCTTTTCGCATTCGCGTGTGTTTGGTTATGGTAACGCAAAACTTAGAGGTTTTCGCGGAAATATTGTTCTCGGCGGAATTCGCCTACGAATGTTTCATCTCCGAGATCACGTTGAAAGGGCGTTTTTCGCAGTTACGCGAATATTTTACGGTTATACGAGGTTAATTTTTTTGTTTTATTTCGTCACAATCGCCTAATACCGAAACCCCTTTCTAAAAAAACACTGCGATTCGCGCGTGTCGTCTTATTTAATAGGTTAGGTTACAACGGATGTTTTTTTTCCCCCCTTTAATAATATAGCTAACCTATGGGGGATGTGTTTTCGTTAGGACCGTTCGTACGTCGTGTTGTATTACGTAACACGGTCGACCGTTCTGCGTTGTGGTTGCGGGACAGTCGCGGCTCCACGCGACTCTCAGACGGCGATGCCGTAAAAACCTTTCGGTAGAGCGTTCAATGCATATACAGTGTATACAGGGTGTTTTCATTTTTTTTTTTTCACCGCCTTTCGATTTTCTAGTAATCAATTTGCTGTCGATTTCTGTATTTGTTTTTTTTTTTTTTTTCGAATTCATTTTTACAAGGTTTATTACAACGTTGTTTTCAATTTTTCATCGGACCTACCGTTCCAGTCTAATTTTTAAACCGTTGTGTGTGTGTGTGTTCGTAAAGCGGCATAATCGGTAACGGTTATCGTCACAACATGATATTATTACGCGTAGTCTTTGTAGGGATTTTATTGTTTCTGTATTGTATCCCGGAGGTTAATATCACCGTGTTCATTTTCGTGTACATTTTTCGCTCAATGCAAAAGTACAAGGTACTACGTCCAGTTATTATAAGTGACGGAAACCGCACGCCGTACGGGTTATGTCTAAAGGTGTAAAGCTGATACGCGCACAAAAAAATGCATTATTTTTTTGAACTCAACGAAATTCTTTATTGAAATTAGTGTTTTCATCTGGTGAAGAACACTAATAATGACGTATTGATCGCGGAGAAAAACCAAACGCGTATAGACGAAAATAGTCGAAAATTCGATGTCCTGTAAAACAACATTACTGTTATAATAATATTGCCACGGTGACACGGTGTCCGGGGCGCACAGGTTTGTAAATCAAAGTCGATATTATCATGTGTAAAATGTACGCGTGTATGGTTTGAGTGTAATATACAATACCGGCGTTAAGCCCTCCCCCCTTCCTCCCCCGAAATCGATTTTATGTTCGGATTAATAATCTAACGCCGAATAATCGAAATTCCGGACGGATCGTCGGTATAGGAAAACGAATAAGTGAATTCGCCCTGTATATATTACGGTTCGCGGTATCATATGTTCAATGTTTTGTTTATTTTTCCAACGCGGCGGCGTTTGGCCTCGTTCGTCGTCGTCGGCGTGTTGTTGTTATTGTTGTAAAAACGGGTCTGGCCGCTGCGCGAGTGCGCGTGCGCGCACTCGCGCCGCGGCCCTCCACGTCGTCGTCGCGGCACCGCGACCCGCAGCGTGCGTCGCGTCGTCCTCGAGCCCTCCGCCGCCGCCGCCGCCTTACCGTGCCGCTCTCCGCCGGCAGTCCAGCCGGCACGGAGTATCGTATAATATTATATTTTCGTAATTATATAAAAAAAAAAAATTTTCTCCCTCTCCCCCCCCTCGTGTAAATATCACGCGTATCGCGCGTATAGATGAGTGTGCACACGTTGCGTTTATCACGTAGGCCATACCGGCGGAGTTTTACCGGGCCGCCGTAACCGCCTTCGCGCGCGGTTGTCGGTTGTTGTTTCTTTTTTTTCTTTTTTTTTTTTTTTCACGTCTTGTTTTTGTTTTTCGTCCGCGACATCCGTCGTCGCAGCCGTCGGCAACGCGACGAACACACCCGGTAAATCGACCGCGCGCAAATATTATATATTTGTAACAAAATAACGGATTTCCGCGTAAATTTGATCGCGAAACGCCGATAGCTAATAAATATTTTTAAAAATACAAAAAATTTAAATTTACGAAATATTTTCGAAAACGTCACGGAATTTCGAAACAAAAAAATGCCATTAACCGAAACCGTGATTGCGTAAATATTGCCTTTTTCCCCGTTTTTACAGGAAATTTACAAGGAATATCAAACAAAATATTACTTACCGATCGGACAACATTTACTATCAAAACGGTAGACTGGAGTGGAATTTCTGGCCTATAAAATTATTGACAGACACAAAAAAAACACCCGTGTGCTCCGTCACTAGATAGAAATATTCTCCGCAAATCTGTAAATAACCGAGTAATACTTTTTTTAATTTCAAAATTTGAACACACAAATGGTAGAGGGGTGGACATTCGAAGCGTTCAATTAATATTATACAAAATTCCATCCTCCTCAAGCAACAACGCGGTGAAATTCTTATTGGCATTGAACTCGACTTTTTTGAACACTGCGGTTCGTCTCTATACATCGAATACATCGAATTACTGTAATTCTCGAGCTTTACGCTCGTTCGGTCCAGAAGAGGCCGTTAAAAGTGTCCAAAAGTGGGTGTCGGGAAAAAGATATTGTAATGCGTGTTATGTATATATATCGTAGGTCCCGGGGAAGACGGGGTCAGAAGTAAATTGTTCGCCTTCGTTGTTATTTGTTCCCGTTTGTATTACGGTCCGCCGAATCGCGTAGCCATGCGTGTGTTTTCAAAATGTAATTCGCTCGTGTCGAATAGCGAATCGAGCCCCTTACAACCCCCCCCCCCCCCCGCCGGGGGGCAAAAGATAGTATATTGCCGAGTGTCTACGCGCCGCGAATCAAAAAAAAAAAACCCGATTGTTATTAGTTGCGGATAGTTGTTGTTCTCGCGTCGCGGCACCCGCGTGTGCCGGACGTGTTTTCGGCATACCCACGACCGCGGCTGCCGTAACCGTAACCGCGGCCGACGGCAACCTAATAATAATAATACGGTTATTTATTCGCGGGCAATCCGCATTCCCCGGTGCGCGCGCAAAACACGTGACAGCCAATGTTTGAACGTGCGGGGTACGGCCGCATAATACCGCGCGCGATACCGTGTCGCGTCGTACGCGTTTTGTTTTGTTTCTTTCTTTCTTTTTGTCTCGTTGTCGACAACGACGCGCCGTAATCGCGCGTTTCCCGGCGGTACGCCAGCGATGCGCGCGGTCTTCTCGCGGCCGGTTTTATTTTTTTTCGCACTTTACGCTGTCGATTTTTTTTTTTCCCCTAGATTCCGAGCGTGGCCAGAGAAACCGTCCGGTCGGGCTACGCGACGCGCAGTGGCGCGACCTGCGGGGGATTCGGGGAGTTTACGTATCGTGTGTAAAATACAGGCATAGTACAGACGTTTCCTTGTCGTTCTCACTGAACCTATTATTTGACGCCACGAAGATGACGCGGTTTTTTTTTCTCCCTGTTGCCGGCGATACTTTTTTTCATTCGCACAAATCTTCCGGACGACCGACAAGTTATTCTATACGATTTGAGAAAACCGACAGCGAACGTCGATGTCGGTTGATGATCTTTCGGCTACAAAGGAAAAACGCCACGACCGATACTACTCCGGAATCGTTTTGTTTTTTTTTTTTCTATATATATTCATACTGTGCAGCTAGCGCGGTACGGACTCCGTCCTGCTTTTTTTTGTGTTCGTTTTTATTCAACCTGTCTTAATTAATATTGTATAGTTTTATACCGTCGATAATTATTTCGTTGTTTGTATTGTAACTACCTATTTGTTTCGCTTATTATGAGTTGATTTGTTTTCGGATGCTCCTTCGTGTATGAATATTTCGATTACGATTACGCTCCGATGTGAAATTTGAATTTTGGGGGTTTTTTTTTTTACTTTTTGTATGGTTTTTCGTTAACATTTTCGGTTAATTTCCAATGCATATTTATACGTTTTATATAAACTATACGTGCGTTTTGAATGGGAATTTCGAAATTCGAACGTTTATTTCATGTCGTTTCGTCTGTTTTTAGACAACCGCAGTTTTACATAATAATAACAATAATATTGTCAATCGATTTATTTGTGATTTGCATATTTTTTTTCCCCAAATGCTTTGGGACAATAATACATTCCGAACGCGTATAGTTCGGTTCGCGTAACAGATATATCAAAAGCGACACTTTGATTTGTTTTTTACGGACGTTGATGCGGTTCGAATCCTTTTTTTTTAACTATTTTTAGAACATTTTTTTATAGGTATTGGGTTTTATGTAGCTATAATATAATATGAACGGTGTACAAGACATTACGACTGAGATTAGACACCCAGTCGGATCGTATTTTTCACGAGATCCGCCGATCGGCATGTTACAACAAAAATATCAACCGGATAACTTACCGCATAATAATACTAACCTGCACACCGCGCAGTGTACACTCGAGCGTTTCACCGAAACGGATTTAGGCGTCGAAAACATACGCTATCCCATTAACGTTTAAATTATTTTTAGTATCTGTGCTGCGTCTACACGAACACAGCAATAATACAGTGGCCAACTAGCCAAATGAACATATTATTACATAAAAATTACCTAACCGGCCGCATATTAATAAGGAGGCTTGTATTCTATTCAAATGGAAAAAATAGGCGAAAAAAAAAGTCGTTTGCAAATATTTCATTAGACTCGTAAAATAATACGCGGTCTTTATGGTCTCTATCCACCCGCCATTCCCATTCCCATATCCTTAATCCGGGCCCGTCCGGCGGTAATTATTGTCTCTCGTTCGGATTCCGAACACGTCGAAATCCCCCCCCCCCCCCACCGCGATTTCACCGCAGACGCCGACCGACGAATTAATAATACGTTCGCGACGCGTGTCGGCCGTCGGTGGTTTTCGCGCGCGCGACAATACGATATTACGCGCGCGGCGTATAATCAATTGTTGTTATTGCGAAAGAGGTCGTCGGCGGCCCGCGGCGCCCGTCGAACTGCCGTGTTGTCGGCGCGAAAAAAATATCCCCGGCACCGCGAGACGCGCCGAAAATCGAAAAACGGCGCGCGGCGCCCTCCTCGAAACCGGCCGATTTCGGGGCCTCCCGGGGTGACCGCTCCGGCCGAGTGAGCGAATAGCGCACCGGTACCGCGTGGTATGGGCTACGGGCGAACGAATGGACCGTGTCCGTTCGCCAGCGCGCGCGCGCCGCAATAACAATCGTATTGTAATCCGCGCCCGTCGTGGCCGTCGAGTACGACGACGATCGCGTATAATGCAATGTATCGCGTCGGTGTTGGTACGACTGGCGGTAATTTTGACGGGCGAAAAGAGAAAAAAAAAAAAACTTAATGGTTTTCTGTTTTGTCGAATCGTAATGTGGAAGCGAAATGTTACGCATCGCTGTGACATAATGTCGTAGTCGACTCGCGGCCATAACGTGATTTTTTTTTTCTCCTCGCGTTTACAGTCATTTATCGTTTTATTTTATTATTTTTCTAGTAACATTGTATTTTCTAAATAGGTATTACGCACTCGCATAACGGTTTTCAAATTGTGTGATGTGGGACTTTTTTTTCGTTTCTTGTTTTATACCATAAGTGTCTTGTTGAGTAATTAGGAATTCTAATGCCAGTAGAATAGGTATTTTATTGTACCAGTCACAACTTTTAACAAATAATCTACATTTTTTTTTTCTAATCTTTATTGTTTACTCTTTAGACTTGAACATATAGCCAACATTTTTACAATTTATTAGAATTGAAAATTGTTAGAAAATAGGTTGGTATATTTCAAATAATTATAAATTACAATGTATAATAAAATATTACTTATATTTTATTAACATTTTGTTTTTCACACAATAATTAAATCTTAAACATAAATAACAAAATAGTCAACAGAATTAGACAGTTTAACAAATCTGTAACAAGTTTAGATATAATAGTACACGTATAATTATTTGTCTTAAATTATATACGATAGTAGGTATATAAGTTATAGTCTGTTTATTGACATTTGAAATGTAGAATTGTTCCACATAAAGTTTAAAACGTTGTTGAATGTAGGATAAAATCGAACAAATGTAATCAACCCTACTTGTCTTTTCGTCGTATCCACAAAAAGTTTATATTATTTCGTTTTAATTAACTCAATAATACGTAAACTATTTTGTTCTGTATCTGTCGATTCGGTTAAAACGTAAAATACCAGACATCTTGTTCGTACCTATAAATTCGTATTATTTACTTCTTGCCAATTATCTCATAAAATCTATTATCATCTTATTTTTTTTTCTGTTCTAGCGACGTCATATTATTATAACATTGTGTTATAAAAGATAATAATAATACAGTTATTATTTATAGACGAACGTGTACATATAATCTGTAATTATTATTGATTTTATACGGTAAACAAAAAACGAAAATACATTAAAACATGTACCTAGTCATGTTTATCGAAATATTTTTAGATTAGCATTGCAATTTCGGTCTTACAATATTGGTACTTAATCGAAATAACGTGTACCTAATACGCATCATCTAAAATTTAAATGATTAAATGATTTATAAATATTCTATGTATAGTAAGTTGTATGTTTTGTTATTGATTCCGATACAGATATGAGAATAACAAATTCCGATGACGCCGCGTAGAACTTGAATAATAAACAATAATAAACAGTATAATACCCACTTACATTGTTGGACATGTTGTTAAAATTGTATTATGTATTAGAATAATGACCTGCAATTAAATGAATTTGAACGATCCTTAGAAAATTTGAAGTTTACTTTACAACATTATTTTTTTTTTTGGGGAGGAAATGTGCTCAATAAAATATAAATAGATGGTCACTAGACTACTTAAACTCAAGAATTTTATTAAAGCAAAATTACTCATGAAAAAAAGTTATGAACTTGTTTGTTTTTTTTTTTTTTTTTTTGTAATATGCACATTAAATGTCCATTGATATCCAATGTCTCTCGTATAGTATATAATGACTTCCATAAAAAAAATTATACACGTTTCATAAACAATTTGCCAACCAAATATTTTAATTAATATAATACAGAATGTTCGGTTTCTTTTTCTAATTTGTATTTTTTTATCTCGTAGAAATTCAATAATAATCCTTTCTAATTACGCATCAAACCCAAAAGCAATAGAAATTATTAATTGTGTATTAACATTTATTTCATTGGTATACTCGATCGTATATACTCGAGATTAATAATGTATCAACCCGCATATTATATTTAGCCAATGACAATCGATTCTTATAATCTGTTAATAATTTAAATTTGTTTATTTAGTCTTATAGTTATTTACAGTTATTGATTATTGGTTTTATTTTTTTCATTTGGTTAGTAATTCATTAATTAATTCACAAACATACAATTAACAGTATTTAATATCGGTACCTAATAGAAATGCCTATAATATATATTATTAAGTTTTTATTAAAAAATAATTCTATATACTATATCAATAAACCGGTACGTTAAAAAATACATGTTACTCTAGGTACATAATAGTAGCCTAGTTGTAGTTGGTATAGCAGAAAGAAACAATATTAGTATCAATGGTAGGTAGACGGAAAATAGTGAATACTTGTGTTATACTCGTAGAAAATGCCAAACGAACGTAATAAATTATCGCGATGTTTAAGGTAATAAGGTGAACAAGGTAAAATCAAAATGATTTGTTATTGAAGTAAAATCGTGTCTTATAGTCGTCGGTATTATAAAAAAGCGGATTTTTTTTCTTTTGTTTCAAATGACAAAAAATAATAATATCATTACCGATACGACAGTATGGCTCATGTAATATTTCTATTAGTGTAGAGGACGCGAGCATTATAGTTAGATATCAAAAATCCATCGGGGGTTTAAATAATTTCCCGCCGAAACCCCCCACCCCCACCACTGCATTTCAAACGTTATACACAATTCATATTGAATTCATAACGAAAGTCACTATATAATTGTTGGATAGTCGAGCAATATCCAACTTGTCGCATTAGCTGTCGACCGTATACTTAATAATATTCGGTGGTAAGTTTTTTAACGGAAATAATAAACTCGTATACAAATTAAGAGTGCGGTATACTTAATGGAGTATATCACTGTCTTCAATATACTTGAACAAAACGACTCCGTGTCGTAAACAACGCCTCCTTTTCGAAATATTCCTATTCGCGAGTTCGAAAACACAGATAGACGAAAATCTATCACTCACATTATCTCCCCCGACCACGTAAATACCATGCAATCATTATACGAGTTCAACTGATGTTTTCGTTCTCGGTTGAACTGTGCAGGATATTATAGTTACGTCTATCACAAATGAACATGGAAAATTTCGGTACACTATTGGGCCATTAAATTAAAATGTCAACCGTAATAACGTACCTACATTAATTATATTGTTTGCCATCATTAAAGGTTTTTACACATTCTTGAAATAAATACCTGTCGTTAAACTATGTATTGCCATTTTTAGGCTATCGTGATAATTATATACTGTTTAAAAACAACACGGGGCATCACCACAAAAATATCCTGGATACGTCGGATTATTTTTAATGCCGTCGAGTTTTAACAATAACCAACGGCTACACAAAATGTAATTCGATTTTCCTCATTCGTCACATTTCTAACGGTGCGGGTGAAGCGCAATTCATATTGTTTACAAAACCTCATCGAGAAATGAGAATGATTCAAAATTTGTAACCCTCATCGCGCGAGATTGACTCTCGCAACTCGTAAGTCGTTAATAATAATGTGTAATTATGTAAAACGTAGTTCTCATCATTTTACTATAGTTGTAAATTTGACATTTTTCAAAGGGTCCGTAAAAATAAAACGTGCACACTTTATGTAACGTAATCGTTTTTTTTTTTTTTTTTTTTTTTTTTTCTTGTCTTATGTTATGTTTTCTCCCACTGTATACTATCCGGTGGTTGAAGAAAATGGTTCTGTATACGGTAGGATTTATTTCTCATCCCATCGCATTTATTTTTTACCCTCTACTTGATTTTATTTAAACGAGTTCAAATTTTAAACTCGCATTGTATACCCTAAATACAATATTAATATATATCATAACGTTAACGCTGATATCTATTTTTGATATATTATATTGTATTTCCACGCGTTTAACACTGAACCCCACTATACAATATACGCCTGTACCCGATAATCTAATTTTATTTACAAACTGACTAAAAACATAATTTCAACGCGTAATCATGTATGAATGTTGTGATGATTATTATTTATTACATTAAAAATAGCATTATTTATTTATATTATTATTATTATTGTTGTTGTTGTTGTTGTTGTTGTTGTTGTTGTTATTGATGATGCTGTTGTAATTCGAGTACCTAGAATTATCGGAGCGTGTGATGCAATTATAATTGTATACCTACACCAATCTATGAATAACGCCTTGTTCTTTTTATTATTCTAAAATAATTGTAATGTACTTTTCGAGTAGCTTGAAAACCAACAATATTACGATAGTTAGTTACTAGTTTTAATATAAATTACCCGTGGCTAAAAGTTCCGATCAAATAATGAAAACGTGAATCATTAATTGCTTATTGTGCACTATCGATAATCGGAAATTTTTTTTTAAATTTTAAATAATTTTTATCCAAATATTGGTCACACGTCTTGTCCAGCCCTGAATATTATTTTACTACAAAATTTGTATTTATTGACTTGAAATACCTAATAAAAAAAACAAAAACAAACTATTCGTAGACCAATTACAACCATTTTGCTCCGAAAAAAATCTCAAGCGCCTAATTTTCATTTAATCAATTCCGTACGTTTTAATATTGATTTTAAGTTAAATTTTATAGTGTATATTAAGTATTGAAATGTGAATTTTTTGTTTATTTAATTGGTATATTATATTGTTGCACTCTATTATTATTGTACAAATATTTTTAAAACGTTAAGCTAGGGGCTTGAGTATTTTTAAATTGAACGTTTTATGAGTAAATATTATTTTACAACGCATTTTTCTGGCACAAACAATAACAAAAAAAAAAAAAAGAAAAAAAAACCATCTTGTTAATAAATTACATTTCTTCAGCTTCTATGCAAAATCGTTTATTAACGTACCTATAACGAAATTATACATTGATTTGTAAAATAATTGGATATGTCGTGCTTTGAATGATCGATGATTGAGAATCACACACATTAATAATGATCGTGTTTTCGTTTGTGAATAGTACTATTGTGCGAATTTCTTGATATAACCTATCTTGAACTCTTTAAAAAGAAAAAATTATCCCGTTTATTGATTTCGAATACACCTATATCCTAATAATCCATTGACAAATCGCATATTTAACATTTAATAATAGTTATTTGTTGTGTACACAAAACGTTGTTACACATTTCGAGGAAAAATATATTTAGTTTTCGTACCTAATATTATTATAATTATTCGTGGTTATTCGTGGTACATACATTTTTACAAAGTAATTACTGTAATTTTTAGGTTTCGCTTCGTGTTCGGCGACCAATCCTATCTGGCTGGTTAAAACTAGACTACAGTTGGACTTGAATAAAAATGGGAAAAGACTCACTGCTGGTCAGTGCATCAGGAGGATATACAGAACTGGGGTGAGTTTCAGTATAGTCTACGGCTCTACTGTGCCGTGTCAGTGTTAACGACAGGCACCTGTCCATCAGTGTAAACCCAACGGATGTGCTATATCGATTATTGTGTTGTGTGTTCACAGGGCATAAAAGGTTTCTATAAAGGCATTACTGCTTCATACTTCGGTATATCCGAAACCGTTGTACACTTCGTTATCTACGAAGCAATCAAAGCGAGACTGGTAGCCGCCCGTGTTGGACTTAACGATCCGGAAGACAACACCAAATCCTCCAAAGACTTCCTTGAATTCATGATGGCTGGTGCCGTTTCTAAGACTGTCGCTTCGTGCATCGCTTACCCTCACGGTAATACTTAAAACTTCATTTTTATTTATTTTACACTATCATTATTAAGGTTAAATTTTCAAATTCATGTTCATGATTATCGTACACTATTCACTTTATATATATATTATTGTTTATTTTCTTGTGTGTTGACAGAGGTCGCTAGAACCAGACTTCGTGAAGAAGGTACCAAGTATCGTAGCTTTTTCCAAACTTTGTTAACGGTTTATAACGAAGAGGGTCCCAGAGGACTGTACCGCGGTTTAGCCACACAGCTGGTCAGACAAATACCTAACACAGCCATTATGATGGCGACATACGAGGCTGCCGTGTATGTGATGACCACTTATTACTGTCCAAATGAGGCAGTGTTCTACGAAGATAGTGATGATCGATACGAATGATACATTGTTCATTAATAATATATAATGGTAAGTTATTTTTTTTTTTAATGTACCTATTCTGTAACATTGTAATTGTTATTATGTAATTGTCGTCCCAAGAATGTATTTTATAACAAGATATTAAGGTTTAAAGCATATAATGTGATACTAAATTTAGATAATTTTTAATGATCATATAGTGAATTTCTTGAAAAAAATTCTAGAAATAAAGATTTCAAAGTCTAATTCATTGTGTCTATTAGTTCTGAGCTATTACTTTACCTTTTAGCCACTCAATAGATATTTTTTATTATTAATTTTCGAGTCGTGTTAACCTAACACTGAAACTACTATTGATATATATACATATTTTTTGTATAAATATATATATAATTTGTTTTTATTGTTTATTGGAAAGTTTAAAAATAAAAAACTGGTTTCTTTTATTTCAAAATTCGCATTTAATAACATGAAAATTAAACACATTCTTCTTTTAAGTTATTTATATTTTATATCGGTATAATTTTTTCAAGTAAATTTACACAATAAAATTTTTGTGATTTACATAACAAATATTTTTGAATAAAACCTTGAATTTTGTAATTTTAACAATTATCTGGGTTAATCAACTTAATTTTTAAACACACTAAATATTTTACATAACTACTAATATATACTAATATATTATATATAAATAATTATTAACATTTTAAGTCATTTGGTTTTACAGTTCAACGCTCTACACATATAAAATCTGTTTCACTTAATAATTCAAATAATATATTGTTTATCATAATATAATACATATATATAATTATAATATAAGTTTCAACTGGTTTTTTTTTTTTTATTTTTCTTGCATATTATGAATGTAGTGATTGAAAGTTTGAGTAGATAATAATCATTGATCATTTTAAATATTCTGGCTTGTGGAGAAAAAAGTTTTAAAATTACCTTCTTTAATTAATTAACACTGTTGTGTACTTATTGCCCAATCGCGTAATCACGTGAAGTTTAATTATTTTCTCCTACATGACTGCGTAATAAATCTATTTTATTGTTATTTTTCATTTTTTTTTTATTTTTTTAATTAATATTTTCTACCATGTTTTTCACATATAGTTTTCTGTGGCGAGAGCATTTTGTTTAAAATATTATTTTACAGTTATATATATAGACATTAAAATCAATATTACTGAGAATTACTGATATTACGTAGGTGAATAATTCCTACAACGGAGTTGCTGAGAGATTAGTAATACTTGTTATAAAATTTCACTATAGTATTACTCATAAAAATCTTTGTATAAGACATGATAATTACAACTTACACTCGATTTTAATATGATAATAAATAATTAATTTTATTATACGACATTTCGATAACCTTTGATTGCTCTGATGCGATAGCAGCAAAAAAAAAACAAATTGAAATACTTGAATACAAATCTATTTATACTGATCATTGACGTCTGTTAAACGTTAAACCTCTAATCAAATTGTTATTTCTTTTTATAATATAAACAATTGACCAGCCAAACGTTGTTGGTCTATTATGATATAATGGTTTTTCTTACAATTCATTTATCTATTTGTTATTTTTTATGTTTCAGATAGAGTTGATCTCAACGTATCGCAAACTGAATTTTAGTTATGTTGATGTAGTCGCCTGTTGTCCGAACATTTGCTCTATTTTATATTGAATTGAACAATATACTGTGCACATATAAGTCATCGAAGAGCATGAGTCACGTTTATTAATTATTACGTGATATATTTATTCTATTCCAATAATTTTTTCTCTTATATAAACAAAAGAGACTTATGTCTCTACTTTGTTTCGCCCATCCTTTTTATGCCTTCCTATTGATTTTCTTCTTTTTTTTTTTGATACTTATATTTACAATTTACTTATAATTTCTTAGTTAAGCAGTTGTTTTTTTTTTTTTTCTAGTTCATAATTCTTAAGCGATTTGTCAGACAATTTAACCAATGTCATTATTATTATTATTTATTGGCGTTGATTCTATTTATTATAATAATTAAATTCATTATTATAGCACTTAGTTACAATTCACAAAACTTATAAGTATGTCGTCAGAGGCCATCCTAAAATCAACTCATCATCATATTATTATTAGGTAATAAACTAATAATAATAATAACTATAGTATGTTATACTATTATATATTATTATAATAATTATTATTGTATTACTTTATTATATTGTGATATTTAAAATGTTTGTTTTTTTTTCTGCTCCCCTTCCACCCTATTTATTTGACAAAGGACATAATATTTTTTTAAGGGTTACAGTGTAATTAACACAGAAAACATAGGAAATATTAATCATATTATTTGGTGATAAATATTAAAAAAACAAGTGTGTGCAAAATATTAGAGCCTTGTTAATAGCATATTTATTATTATTATTATTGATTTTATTGAAACAAATGTTTGTTTTTTATTATTAAGTTTTTTTATAAATCAATGTTACTGGGAACATTTTTATTTGACATTTGCATTTTCCATATTTTTAAATTGTTACAGATGCCAATGCTCAACCAATTTATATTTCATCATATTCAGCTATATCCACAAGATATTTGTTAATATATTTAAATTTAATAAACAAACCGTATCTACCTATATTCTTTATTCTGTTGGATACTAGTAAAAATAAAAAATTTAAACTTTTTGTGTTCTGTTGCATAAATATTTGTAAATCTATAATAGTTATAAATATAGGTAATATAATTATAGTTATTTGCATAATAGTTGATTTTTAATAATTCATGTAGTGATTTTAAAATATATTGTTTCTTTGCATCTATCTTAACAAGCAAATGATTTAAAAAAGCTAGAAACTAAAATAAAGCTTTTTAGTTTAAGTCTACTGGTTTTAATTGTTTATAAACCTAAGTATACCAATAATAATATTAATATTTTTATTGATATATTGTATATTTAAACAATTATTTACTATCACAAATGTTGAAAAAGTTGTGTATATTAATTTACAACTGAAAACTGTAAACCGCGAATAAAACATTGAAGGTACATTACGATCAGAAACCCAGTGTTGTAATTATGAGGGGAGATCTAGGGGAACACAATTAGAGCAAAAAATTCAAATCAAATAAATGTTTTTGCAGCAAAGGTAAATAATAAGTACCTGCCTATATACATTATACATATTATAGTTGTGTCGTTATATTAGGTTTCCAAGCTGCGACTAAATATCAAGGGCATTAAAGTAAAGATACCTTTATGATAAAAACTGATTAGCGAGTTATAACTTACAAATTATACATAATATTTAATATTGATTGCTTAAAAAGAATTCCAGTACATAACTGTTATGAACTATGGATCCCTCCACCCCCCAGAAAAGATTGAAAATACGTCACTTAAGGTATATTCTCCAATTATATTAGGTATAAATTATATTATAATACTGTGGAACTTTGTATAAAGGGTGTTCTAGAGTAGAGACTTTATATTGGGATAATGATAATATATTATCTAGTAATAACTAAAAACCATTAATTTGTTTTTTGTACGATTTCGAATTTATTAATTAAGTACTTTCACAATAGCTACTTCAGTTGTTTTTTGTATTTTTTTCAATGTCATGGCTGTTACCTACATTTAGTTTAAGTTCTCGAAATTCGTGACTTATTGTGGTAGCTAAGATTCCTAATCTCATTATGCAATGTCATCAGTTTTTAAATATAAGAAGTGCCTATGCACTCGAGTGCCCTTAATCCTTATAAAGATCCGGATTCGATAAAATATGTTTTTACTCCACTCGATAATATTAAGAGATAAGTATACTGTATAGGTATACAGTCATATTTTTATTTTATCTGAAACACTGTAATCTAAATAGGTAATTGCGTTGTGTAGAACACGAGAAAAATATGTAAAAATAAATAAATAATTATATTATAATAATTATTGCTTTTCTTATTGAATATCAATAGTTATATTGATTTTTGCAGGCATAGCACAAGGCATTTTATAAATTACTACATTATAAATATACAATAATATTACAACAACAATAGCCAGGAACAGTTTAAATCATAAATACATATTTCAGTATTATAGGTGTAGCTATATTTGATGAAATAGGTAGCAAGATAACAAATACCAAATAAATTGAGAGTGAATGAGTAGCCTACATGGCAGATGGCATATTATGGCATGGCTACACCTGGAAAAATAAAAATATATTTGTTAAGTTTTCCTGTTGGTTCTTAAAACTTAAAAACGTCCAGAAAATAAATATTTTACATTTAAAACATTCTTTACTCAGGTAATATATTTTGTTTAACATAACCACATACGTCTCAATCTTACTATAATTAACGAGGATGACTAATAAGATGATAGGTGAATGAACGATAAAAAGAAATTTCAAACACATACAAATGTTTATCTGGCAACACATTCACCTATGTAAATTTATTTTGTTTTATAATAGGATACCGCCGTCGTTCAAACTATTATCAATTTATAAGTACATATGCAATATATTAATTATTATTTACATATTAATTCCCTCTGTGAAAAACGGTTGACCGAAAGAATAAAATAAAACACGTCGTTGTAATCATATCTTATTATGTATTAAATTATTTTATTTTATTTTTATTTTTTTGACATTTCCTTATAATATTTTAATATTCTAAAAGGATTCTAAAAGTAAATCTGACTGGAGAAATACTTTAGAGAGGTCATATTTTGATTTTTCAGAAGTTTTCTCAACAAATGGGAAAAATCGGGACAAAACGGAGGAAACCGTGAAAATGCACGAAATTTAGGTATTGGTTGAAAAATATTTCGGCCTTTTTATTTCCTCTGAACAATTTTACTACCAGCAATTTTGCTCAGATTTACAATGATAGCACTTTTTCTGAAAGGAAATCTCAACGGGGAGGTACTTTAAGCTCGTCATTTTTCGATTTTCCGAAGTTTTCCCAGAAAATGTGAAAAACCGGGAAAAAACACGGACAAAACGTAGGAAAAACGAGAAAATCGAAGATTGAAGAAAATATATTATGTCTATTTAATTATTATTTTACCATAATATGTGTATGTGACATATATTATATTGTTGATAAAGTATCACTTTTATTTCATCACTCTCTACTGAATTCTGCTCAGAATCGTTTTTTCGTTAGCAACGGTTTATTTATCGTTGTTCACAGATATACATTAAACTCCATAAAAACCTTTCCAATTTCCCACCTAAAATAGTGGCTGCAGCCACGCGCGAAGTATATACGTCCTTTTTTTTTTTTAATCTAAACTCGAATACAAAAGTTAAATTAAAAATCAATTGTATAATAATAATGATAAAAAATAATCTTTATTATTATTTAGGTAACGAAATTGAAGAAAATTGTTTTCATTAACCTTGGAATTTATAAAATATTTTAACCATAATTGTATTATTATGAGGTAGTTAGGTATATTAAGAAAAAAATGGTAACATGTATTATTTTACAATAATTTCAAAATATATTTTTGAGAAAAAATATTCAATTTTACGGAGTATTTTTTTTTTAAGTGGGCACTTGATTAACAGCTGTGAATGCTATCTGAGCAGTACGGAGAACTTTGACAAAACAATAATAATTATTTGAGTTCTGTTAGGTTAGATGGAGGTCGCGTAAAAACACGGGTACACTACGCTCCCTCATTTCCCATAAACAGATAAACATAAATAAAATGGGTACCTATAACTTCCTCGATTGTTGATATGCGATTCTGTGTGTTAAAAGTCACGGCATTCGACTATTGTGAGAACAAGGTTTTAATAGTATTAATGTCGTTTATTCAGCGACACTGATAAACAACAGTAACTACTAAATATTCTGTGTCACATACATAGTGCTTACTGCGTAATATGTAGAAAAAAAATAAAGTATGACGTCAATCGTTAATTAATTAAATGGGGCAGGTGAAATAAAAACATCGACATTTGTAATAGACACTATTATATAATGTAAGAATACAGATCATAGACCGAACGACAAGTTTACCGATCTAAATGACATTTAACAAGCGGTTATAAAGTATGAATAAAGCGCAGTGGTTCTCAATCTTTTTAGGACCACGACTCAAATTTTCTCCTGAAAATCCATTGCGACCAGCATGATATGATTTCACTTTTCAAAAAGTAGTTTATGAAAACAGCTAAGAAAATCAAAAAACTACTTCCTTAAAGTACCGCTCCGTTAGGATTTCATTTCAGAAAAAGTGCTATACTTGAAAATCTTATTAAAATTGCTGGTAGAAAAGTTGTTCACAGATAAAAATAAATAAATATTGTAAAAACAATACATTTCTTGTTTCGCTCAGAAAACTTTTTTTTTTCCAATTTCTTGGAATCTGTATAATTCAAAACAATATTCGTGACCTATCAAACATTGATTAGGGACTCACCAGTGGGTTGCAACCTACAGTTTGAGAAACGCTGCAGTATAGCATATCAGTATAGTATATCTCAATAAAATTTATATTTTTTTTAATGTATATATTATTACACAGTATGGCTATAATACACAACAAAATAGTCTGTATGTCTATTTTAACGAGTAATAGGTATAGCGGTATGAGTACTATAATATTATAATACTTACCTACTACATTATGTTAGGTTTACTTTGGTTTAAATATGTAATTAAAAACAAAAAAATTATAATATTAATTTTTTATATAAAATAAACAATAATGATAATTTGGATATTAAAATAATCAATAACATAAAATATTAAACTCTATATAAAATATAATCAAAAACAAGAATTGTCTACTAAAATACATCAAAAAATAATAAATATCTGACTAGAAACAATAATATAAGTAATATTTCATTATCAGTAATGTTACATGGCATCACAGTGAATATTTTGGTTAGTATAGTGTTGTGTATAATTATACACTATTTCATATAAATATAGATATTTAATAGTATTAGTACTATTATACATAGTCATTACTAATTATAGAACTGTTGAAACAGTCTTACAGTGATTTAGAAAATAAAATATTATTACTTTACTCAACGCAACAAACAAATATATTCAACTGGAGATCATTGCGATTTAATGTTTACGAGAAGAGATCCATATTGATGAGATTTCAAATTTTCACAAAAAGTAAGAAAAATAATTTTGCAATATTTTTGTATGTCTTTTGTTGGAGGGATAAAATATTACTGGAGTATAAATTACTTTTAGTGAGATGATTTTTGAGAATTCAAGGTATAGTGCTTCATTATAGAAATAAAATATTGCTTAATAATTTATGGTTGTTTGTCACATGCTTCTTTAAAGTTAGAAGCATTAAATGCAGTAAAGTAATCTTCGTGTATGAACCTGATAGCTGACTCTATGGGACACAGGTAGTCAGCTTGATCTGTAGGACCAGCACTATAAAAACCACTTGTACAGAATAAGACTGTTCGAGTGACATCTAGACCGTTAAAAATAACTCTGAAATAAAAATCTTTACTGGGGTCCGGAGTGTCCAACGTATTGTCACGATACACCTCAAAAACTAACCGGGAGGCATAGTACGGGATAATGGTTTGAGAGTTGAGAACGCCTAGCGCAGACAACAGATACTGAGAGGTCAAATCATGACCTGAATATAAGACTAGTCGCGGTTTGCCCTCAGATACCATTTTCAACAGGTTCTTGGCCATATTTAAAGCAAAACCGTAGGATTTTAGCAATCCATACTTATGCAGTTGTCCATGCTTGGCATACCTCTCTAAGTCCCAATCTAAGTACTTGAACAACTCACGCACATTTTCAGTGGTCACACAGTCATCCTGATAGCAGGGTAATGGTGCTCCATGACACACATAGGTCATTATCGAATCTCTCAATATGTACGGATCCACTTTTACATTGGACATAACGTGTACTATGGTGTGCAAACGTTGAATCAACTTTTTTATGACCTCGCGACGTTTCAATCGCCTTGAATAGGACTGTTTAATTTTAAGATGAATTTTATCAGTGATGGAACATGCACAATGGTCGAAACAATAACTGTAACTATCACTTTCCTTGAATGTTATTTTGGACAACACATCAGGAGACAGAATAGCATATGCAAATGCTAAAGCACTCTGAAATGTACGCCTGTATTTTGTACTGTATATGATTATATCATCAGAATTGGCAAAGCTGAACAGAGGAGAGTACACTGAACGCAAAATACGTCCGAGTTTGAGCATTTGTGATATACCCACCGGAGTCAATTGACTTAAGGAACAAGTGTTTTCAGATGGGTATAATGGGGACTCATGAAAAGGACCTAAGAACTGCAATGAGGATATGTTTTGTAAAAATTCCAAATAGTCATTGTACTCTGAATTAGCAGACGTTCCACAATCAATGTCATCAATGTTCCTGATGTGATTCATCGGTCCACGATCTCCATGGCGGGTCAAAACTATTACTCCTTGGAGCGTGAGACTGGTGTTTAATAAACCTATACAAATAAAATAATAACAATAAGTTTTTATAAGTAATTAACAAAAGTATAAAATTAGCATATTTAGAAATTATTAGGATAATAATATAAAAAAAGATGGTAGTAACTAAAGGAATATTTTTTAAGGCGTAATAAGTCATTGCAAATGATGGTTGCAATCTATTTTGTTAGACATGACATGTCGCGGTGACCCATCACTAATTTTTAGTTTACTCGCAAACCAGTTCACGTACAATAGTTACATGTATTTGTACAGTTTTTAGTTTTAATTTATAATTATGGTACAGTTAATACAGATTTGATCAAATTATTATGGAGATAAATAATGTACAATAATAATGATATTTTGACCTTTGTTATTGAATGTTATTCTGTATAATAATATTTATGTAACTATCGTCAGAGATATAATATAAAATAGAATTTGCTTGTACTTCCTGTATAAGAATTTCATCATCTGAAGGGGAAAAAACTAATTTTCTAATTTTGATGTTATGTTTCGTGTGATTATGGCGCAGGTACTGCAGGTACTCTGGAAGTGACAGTGTCGTCAGTTGTGGCGACCGAAAGTTAATTCATCAGAACCTGTCGTGTCTTGCAAAACAGTCTACATCATTTTTATATAAACATATTCTGGTGACTTGCCGTACTTAAGAAACAGGAAAAAAAAAAAACTAGTGCACTAATATTTTGGAAAACTAAATTTTAAAATATAATTATGTAACAAATGATTTTATTAGAAAATAAAGAAAACAAAATGGTAAAATAAATATAAATGTTTGGAAGTTTATTTATTGTAAATCTAAATAATTGGAATAAAAATGTTGTCAGGTAAATCAATTTTTATAGGTTCAATATATGATTTCTAAAATTTTAGTATTCTGTTTTTTTTATTGCATTCTGTTCATATAGTATTCTGAACAGTTAAAATGCATCAAATTATTTTTATTTTCAATAATTTTATATTCCAACTAAAATATTCGCTATCACAATATATTATGCATTATAATAATTTCTAGTTAGATAATTGTAGTACCGATATTTCCTTCGTCGCCGTGTTCAATAATTTGAGGAGAATTGCACACTTTTGTTAGATCCTTGTAATCAATCCTAATCACCGACTCAAAATACTTATGTGCTGCGTTGTTGGATGTGTTCACTATCCTTCCGTCAAGAATATGTCGATCAGATATTTTGAAGTACAATGCTGAAACCAACCAATTGTATCATGTAATTATTAAAATGGATGTAATTTACTACTACTACTTTATATTACATTTATACTTCTACCCCAAAAAAAATAAAATACATACAATACAATTCAATTTAAAATTAACTAGGCATGCAAAACATTTTACCTAACATAATAGGTATCTATCTAAGTAGGTATCTATAATAATTATTATTATATTATTTAAATAAATAATATCCTATCTACTGAATTGTTAAATAATTTTTAAAAAATAAAGAGATACGGTTGTATCGCCACGGTTGTAGGTGGGAAGGTATATGATATAGTCATTTAGTTTCTAAACATACTTAAAGTCTGTAGGCAATGGTAATAATTATTTAAATTAAAAATAATTCTGAACTAGTATCTAAGAACCTTAACATTTTATTATTAGTTGTAGTTTTTCCCTAGTAGCCAAGAATAGTCAAAGAAATCAATCAACGAATATAAAACCTATGTATCGTGATTTATTATGTTTCTTAATTTTTTTGAAAAACATTTGGGACAAATCGTTTAAATAAAATACCGTCGAGTTTAAATTCGGTATCTTTTAAGGTACTGTGTGAAGAAATCTGAGTACTTTGAATATCAAACAAGTTAAAAAAAAAAAAAATACTTTTTGGAAAATACACCATTATGCGGTAAATCATACACCTATTAATTAGCATATTATTATATTAATCAAAAATTATTATTATTGCGCACAGTTTTAGGCACTGGTGTGATGATGTTACCTAACGGCTAAAAGTTCAAATGAAAGACCAGACACATTAAAAAACATTGCCTACCTGGAAAAAAGATGCAAAGCCATATGATCAAGTACACTAGATATCGGTGACGAGCCATGTTTCTGACGGCCCCGGCCTGAACGTATGCCATTACAACGATTTTTGTTCGCTGTACACAAATCTCGACCCAGACACGCCTGCGTCCACAAACTTGCTATGGGCAATAGTCAACGGTTCACATTCCGATCGTTCAACCTAAGAACGCGTTGGTCCGACTCAACGTTTCCAACGACGGGCATTTGTGAACTTCCATGTTGTTGGACGGGCACGGCAATAACCGCGAATCGCATTGCATTCGACACCACACAACGAAAATGCCGAAATCAGAATTGGTGGCCGATAAGGCAATAACCCATAACCACGGCTATAGATAATAGCCTATTATGGATTATTATCTACAGCCGTGCCCATGACCAGAATAAAAAATATTATATAATATTTTATAATGATAAGGACGCGCGATAAGAATTCGGTATGATAAGATTTATTGTCAATTACTATATTATTATTATCTATGTCTATTACGAAAAATTATTTCGGAACGAGAAAAGAAACCGAAAGTAAAAATCATTTTGTCAGAAAAATGTTTATAGTATTTATTTTTATCCGAAGACATCACAAAAGCGCGTAATTAAGAGGTAAGGTCAGATCTTTAAAATACGATAATATATGATAAGAAATAAATTTAAAAAAAGACATATTTTGTACGTAATATTTCGAAATAAAAACATTGACATTCGTTTCTTACCTTTAATATTAAATTTTATAATTTCTACACACCAGTCAATAATTTCATTTATGATAATTGAGTTGAACCGTTTGATTGCAACGGGCCGAGTGTTATGTATTTATATCTATATCATTCAATGAAATTTATTGGTTTAATTTTAACGATAAAACACCAACATGTGTAAAAGGGTGTTAGCACTTGAATAATTTAAATGTTTACAAATGGTAGAAAAAAAATACATAAAACTTATTTAAATAATATCTAATAAATGTCTCAATCATGCAAGTTGGCTAAATTCCTTAATTTAAACTTGATTAGACAGGTTTTATGCAAATGAAGGTGAATAAAACTAAACAGGTTTATATTGAAATTGTAACTAAATTGTGCTAATTAAACTTGAACCAATTAAATTGAACTAAATTAAACTGAAATTGTAGCTTCTATAAATATATAAAGTTTTAAGGAAACAAATGAATCAGCCACATCTATTATCTAGTAACTATTGAATATTTTGAGAGTATTGAACTAAATATTATTATACATACTAAAATTTATATATTATTTATGAAAAAATATAAATACATAAATCACTACAGTGTGAATGTTTTTATTAATAGATAATTATAAACAAAAAAATATAAAGTAGGTATAAGTAAACATAAAAAAAGATAAATAGTAACAAAAAAAAAAAAATTGTAAATAACCAAATGTTTTTTCTTAGAATCACAGTTCAAAGTTTTCAATAGTTATAAAATAAATAATAACAAACAATTTAAATGTGAAAATAATAATTTTACATTGAATAGTGTTCAAAGTTTTTCGATAATTATAGAATAATAGATAACAAGGTAGAGGAGGGGCGTGCCTATTCAAATATTGAACATGTCAACGAAAATGTTACTTTTTAGTATAAATCACTAAATGTGGATTGACATATAATTGTTCGGGAATCGTATATGTATCGATGTGTCTCTTCAAATCATTGTGAGTTTCCCATAAGTTTTGATTTAAACTACGTATGTGGCTGGTATAGTGTCCACTCATAAAATTCACGGTGGAAAGTCAGCAATTGTAAATTGACTGGTTCTTTCGACTTGGTCTGTTTCAATAAATAGATAACGACTCAATACTCTCTTCGCTACAACTTTTTCGCTACATCTACCACAATTATACATCCTTAGTTTAGCATATTCTTTTACCGTGCCTTCTAAATTTTTTAAGTGCTCGAGTTTCTTTACATCCAAAATGATAGTGCTATTGTTTCTACAGGTATTCGTATTTTTACAACTATTGTTAGAACACTGTATGTGGTCTTTTGCCGACGGATACTCTTTAAACAAATCGCATATTACCTTCATTATATTGCATTCACAATTATTAATTTTTAAATTGGATACTCCGCTATCTTCGTTAAATATTCTCTTCAATATTTTCACTGGTTGTAAATTTAAATTGTGTGCACTGTCTCTAAACGCTATCGATTTGCAGAAATTCAAAAATTCTGAACTTGAATTTGCGTCCACGAAATTTGTATACGCACTGTTGTCAAGAAAAGCCCTTGATATAAATGTGGCAATGGAATCAAAAGCACATGTGTTGTTTATGTTGCATTTTTGTTCATCTATATTTACTATTGATGATAAATTACCATTCAATAGTAATGCAGTTAAAAGTCTTGGTTTATTCGATGTCCGCACTGTATTTTCTTCAAGATTTTTTTTCGACGTTAATTTTATGGTATTTTCTCGTCTCTTCACAATGACTTTGTCGTCAATTTCTTCTAGTTTTACTTTTTTATTTGATGAACATTGTTCATCGGAAACGCTGGAACCACGTTTTCGAGTGTAAACTAAGGAAAAGTCTTTATTTTCACCGTGTTCATTGGGTAAAACTGAAACGCGATTGCATAATTTCTCAACACTATGGCTTAACATAAGTTTTTCGGGTTCTGTTTCATTGTAGTAAGAGTTTTTAAATCGTTTAATTTTGATCACATTTTTAGATTGATTAGGATCAATCAACTCGTCTTTGGTGATACTCTCTGCATCTTCAAAACTACGTTTTTGAGATATCATTTCGGTAGTTTTATGAACTACGATATCCTGTTTCGATTCAATGGATACTACAATATTTCTACTATTCATTTTATCGATGGACATCGGTGATGCCCGCGAGTCACCCGATGATCCAGTAATATAATATTAATTGTTTTCCCCTTTATTTCGTTAATATCTAAAAGTCGATTTGCGTATGGAAAATATCCTACATACAAAAATTACAAAACTAATTATATCATAACTGTTCAAAATAAAAATATTTCACACACATTCTATACGTACTTATTAAGTAGGCAAATCAAATCCACAATGTATCACAATGATATTCAACACATAACGTTGAATGCTGCGTACAGTAAGTTAAAGTTGATAAATGATAACTGTATGCAACGAATAGTTTATAATAAACGGATAACAAGTTTTGTAACAGTGTAACGTTGTCAACACTCCTATATTAAACGTCTTGGTTTAAATCATTTATTGATATTAATTAGCTAATATAGGTACGATATATTATTTTAATATTTGGCCACATTGTTCTGAACTCGATCAATACGTAGGTACCTCGCACTCATACGACTAGAGTCTGTGGATTGACACACATTGAAAAGTGCTAAAATATTCCAATTAATAGGTAGTCAAAATTACTATTTGAACTTGAATTTAGAGGATTGTCCATACAATCAGGCGTGATTGTTGATATTTCGGACGCGGCGTATAAGAAGCACACAAGTCGAAATATAAATAATTTACTTAATAATTTAACAAAATAAAAAATTGATACAACAAAATTTTCAGAAAAATAAACTCTATAAATGGCAATTTTCAAATTTGTCAAAAATGATAAAATAAAAAACTATTTTTTCAAGTTTTTACCAAAACATCAAAAATTAATTGAAATATAAATAATTGTAGTTCTTATCCTTGTGAATAATATTAAAAAAAAAAAACAGAATTTGATTATCTTTATTATCTCTGGTGATATTTTATGTATCTTCGTGGGACACTCACCTCCTTAAAGTATCACCCCATACATATCTTCTTTCAGAAAATATGATACACTTGAAACATAAGATTTATATCAGATTTATATAAGATTTATGGTAGAAATGTTGTCCACAGAAAAAAAACATTTTTTTTGTAAAACCATACGCGCTTCTTTGCTCCACTCAGAATCTATCATGCCGACGATAAACAGGCGAAAAAACGGGCGAGGAATCGAGTAAATAACAAGTAATCAATAATTAATCGCGATAATATTACGCGTGGCGGACGTACGTTCTTAACCATAGATAATAGAAAAAAAAAAACAATGCGTCATACGTTTTGTTGTTTTTTTTTTCTTCAGAGCCTTTTAACGTCAACAGCTAGGACGTGGCCGAAATAGTATCGTATTGTCAAAGGGGGAAAAAAAACCCAAACTAAGCGAAATTCCTGAAAAACCGTACGGAACATAATATTATTGATGATTAACGGGCGTTCAAGTTTCGAATGAATCGATATAAATACCGTAGCCGTCGTTTGGATCGACAGTATACGTTTTTTTATCGTCCGGCGCGTAAAATCGTCGCAAAACGCTACGAAACAAACTTTTTTTTTTTTTTTTTATAAACCTATAAATGAAACAAAAAAAAAATGAATACAAAAAAATTACATAATATCTTCATAATTTGAATTAGAATATTTTAAAATAATGATATTCAAGGTTTGAACTATTTCATACAGAGGTGTGAATGCATTGGATCAGTTTTTTCTTTATCTGAAGACGCTAGAGTTCGATCAGAGCCAATGAATGGTGGAAATTGTTCTTTTAAGTTTAGTAAACTTTTTGTGGTTTTCCACAGCAAGCCTACTTTTCTGTTGAGAAGTTCGTAATTTTTTTAAGATATTTTGACAGCCGATTTAATGTTCGTTTGTCAGAAGGATATCGATATTTTTGGAATTGGGAGCAGGCTTGACGTTTTTGTGAGATTAGATCTGTTATGTCCGTAGTTAACACTTTTTTGTAAAAGTGTGACTGATTTGTTAGAATTATATTGTAAAAAGATTCATATACTGCAGATTGTATAGACGATTTAAAATCATGAGCAGAATTTTCAATATCGGTGTTTGTTTTGAGAGAGAGTTATAGGTTTGTGCTGTTTTGCATTATTTCCAAAAAAATGTTTCCAGCTGACAGTGTAACCACCGATTTCTTCAATTGCTATACCAATTTCAGATGTAGGCGTTGACGGGTGGATAATATGGGTGACTATTCGGAAAGGTTTGTCTTCATGAGCTTGATAGGTATGAAATTCAGCGTTTTGATCTTTTATATATTTGATAAGTGATCTGTAGGAGTTAGAATCAGTGAGTTTAATTTTTTAAATCTCGAGCTGTCGATTTGACAGTAAAATTAATAGCACCAAGTAATTTTATTAATTTTTCACGAAGTGCGAAATAGTCTAATATTCTTCAAACAAAAATAGGTGGAGGAGGTTTGGGTTTAGGTTGTTCGGTATGGTGAGCTGCCGAGTCAAGGTGGTAGCCGACAGAGTGTGGTGCTTTAAGTGCCTGGCCTTCGGTCATATGGGCAGAGACTGCAAGCGGCCGGACAGGTCTGGCTGCTGCTGGATGTGCGGTGAGGTTGGGTATAAGGCGGCAGCCTGTACGGCCACAAACGAGGCCAGGATGGCCTTCACGAGGGCGCTAGATGGCCATGTAGAAACCGACAGGGTGGAGCGTCCAATGGAGGGCGACGAGACGTCGGGATGATTGGTCCGCTAGACGATGTGCGGGGCGTTGCTGTCCTCGGGTGCAACGAATCTAACCTAATCCGGAGATTCAGCCACACAATAATTAAACTACTGCACATTAATGTAGGCATGGCCAAGGCGGCGCAAGAACTGGCGCAGACCACAGCAAACGAGATTAGCGCTGATGTACTCCTGATCACTGAGCAGTACAGAAATGCTGATCAGATGGAAGGGTGGCATAGCGACTCAGAGGGTAAGGCGGCAATAGTGACCGGTAATTGTCAACTACCGGTTGACTTGGTAGGGCCCGCAGAGAAAGGGTTTAGGTGGATCTAGGTGAAAAAGCTGCGACTTTACAGTAGCTACTGCTCACCCAACACGGGGCTGACGGCATATATGGAATTTCTGGACGCTCTGGAGACCAGTGTTAGGACGTCAACGGTCCCGGTGCTGGTGTCGGGGGACTTTAATGCTCACTCCTCGGTCTGGGGTAGCCCCCGCGAGGACCGGAGGGGGGAGTTATTACTCGACATGCTAGCTGCGAATAATCTGATTGTTTGCAATGTGGGAAATTCCCCTCCGTTTGTAAGAGGCGCATCGGGTACTCACATAGATGTGACCGTGGCTTCCGAAAGCCTTGCACCGCGCGTTAGAAACTGGCGAGTTTTCGACGAGGAGTCCCTGAGCCTGCACAGGTACATTTATTTTGAGATAGACGACGGTGGCAGGAGACCAAGACTACAAACCATGGAGAATAGCGGGTGGCAAATCAGGAAACTTAGCTTACAAAAACTTGAAGACGCAGTAAAATCGGAGGACGGCGGAGAGCTAGTAGCCAAAACACCAATAGCGGAGGATATTGATTCATTCGCAAAGGTGTTGGAAAGAATTGTTGACAAATGCATGCCTAAGAGAGGCAGACAGAGTAATAGGCGGCCGGTGCATTGGTGGTCGGAGGAGTTAGCCGAGTGCAGGAGAATCTGCAATTCGGACAGAAGAAAGTATCAACGGAAAAGAAGGAGATCTGGAGATGAGCAATGCATTGAGGAAGCGCAGGTGTACAAGGCAATCAGAAGTAAGCTAACTATAGCTATCAAGACGGTGAAAGAAAAATGCCGGATAGAGCTGTGCAGGGAAGTCTAGCAGGACGTCTGGGGACGCCCGTATAAAATAAGTCGGAAAAAACCAATATTAGGAGCCGAAATCGATGACAGGATTTAGAGCATAATTAAGGGACTGTTCCAAGGGAAATTAACTTGGGCGAGTAGTACAACCCCATCGCTAGATTGTCTACAGATAATAATAGCCAAGGGTTCCCGAGGATAAGCGTCATGGAATTACTGATCGAGGTAGGACAGCAACCAAGTGGCAAAGCTCCGGGCCCTGACGGTGTACATAACGAAATACTGAAGGCAGTGGTGAGAGCTATGCCTATCAGAGTGGTCACACTGTTCAACGCATGCCTGGATGAGGCACTCTTCCTCGAACCCTAGAAGATAGCCAAACTGGTACTACTTTCAAAGCCGGGGCGTCCGCCAGAAAATTCTTCCTCATACAGACCCCTGTGCCTACTTGACACGACGAACAAGTTATTTGAGAAAGTTATTGTGCGTAGGCTTAACGAGCACTTGGGTGACAAACTGGATGACGCACAGTATGGCTTTAGAAAAAAAATATCAACTACGGACGAAATCAGGAGGTTGCAGACTAAGGTAAGGGACCTCAACGCTAGGGGCCACGTGGTAGGCATGCTGGCGCTAAATGTGAAGAACACCTTCAACTCAGCGCCATGGAAGTTCATCCAACAGGGCCTGGTTGAGTTTAATACACCGCAGTACCTAGTAGACATAGTCGCTAGCTACTTTTCGTGTAGGCTAATACAAATGAATATTAAGGGAAGGGAAGTAGACTTCGCGATGGAGCGAGGAGTCCCTCAAGGCTCGGTGTTGGGACTGTGTTTGTGAAACGTGTTATATGACGAACTGCTAAGGCAGAGGTTCCCGGAAAAAGTGGAGATGCTAGCCTATGCTGACGACGTTGCGGTCATTGCGACGGCAGAGCACAACAGCTCGTTACCGGGGATGGTAAGCGAAGCTTACAATGTGGTGGATTTGTGGTAGAGGGAGCACGGACTGATGCTGGCGGAACATAAGATCGAGGCCATAGTATTCACAAATAGGTGGTCGTGAAATACTATGAGGGTCAAATGCGGCGGTTCCGTCATCGAATCAAAGAAGGCCGTTAAATACTTGAGCATAACAGTTGATCAAAAAATGAACTTCATTGAGCACGCGACGTTAGTGCACAACAAGGTGTCCAAAACACTTAGGCAACTATGGCATATCCTGCCGAATATGGGTGGCGCCAGGGAGAGCAAAAGGCATCTACTGGTCAATGTCGCCATGGCTCAGCTCCTATACGGAGCACCGTGTTGGGAGGCTGATATGGGCCAGTCTGGATGGAGAAAAATAGAGCCATTGCACAGGCGCATAGCCATACTCAAAGTATGTGCGTACAGAAGCGTATCCTACGCAGCGGTAGCCGTGGTAGCGGGTATGCCGCCTATTAGGCTACTGGCCAAAGAGAGGGCGGAGTTATACGATGGATTAGTCAGAGAGGGGATAAGAAGAAAGCTAATGGAAAACTGGCAACGAAGCTGGAACGAGGACCTTAAGGGAAGATGGACCCACAGGCTTATACCAAAGATTGACATCTTGGTTAACAGAAGGCACGGAGAGGTCGGCCACTGGCTATGTCAATTTCTGACGGGCCATGGTTCTTTTGGAGTATACCTGGTGAAGTGGAGAAGAAGGAGTTTCGATAAGTGCCAATTATGTGGGATTACGCCGGACACCATCGAACACGTGGTCTACAATTGCGATGCATGATATGCCGCCAGGTATGAGGCTACTGGTTACTTGGGCGCTGCATTAATAGTGGAGAACACGGTAGAAATTATGTTGAGTTCTAAGCAGAACTGGCTCAGGATCACCGGGCTTATAGAGATGATTATCTAGCAGCAAGGGAGGAAATTGAAAGGGCTAAGGAAAGAGCCCAAATAGTTCAGGTGCAGGCAACGGTAACGTGACAACAAGGGCGGCGGTCGAAGACGGCCCGCGAAACCGAAGAGGAGAGGCGAACGCAAGGTCTTGCGGAATGCAGCTATGTGGGCGCGGTACCACTTCAATACCGAAGTCGTCGGAGGTGCCACCGACACCGTCCACATTATTGTGGCACCGGGTGGGTGGGAGGCCGGTGGCGACGGGTACCCAGTACCTCTAGCCACTGGCAGATTGCAAGGTCTCAAGCTAATTCAGAACGTGAATACCAGGGTGGTGGTCGGCGACGGCCCGCTAAGATGAGCCACCGAACGTGACTTCAATGGCGTCGGCCTTTGACGGCCAGCGAAGAGGAAGGAGAGTTCGTACGAGCAGTCTAGAGCGGCGGGCGAATGCCGGCTCGGGAAGATCGTTTTGTCAAGCTCATTATTCAGCTACTATTTTGTTATCTATGAATTTACATTTCTTTGTGTTGTTTTTTCTTCATTGTATTACTGATTATATTACATTACATTACACTGATGTATTTGTGTTGATTTTGTTGTTTTAATAAACGATGTAGCTGGCGGGGAAGTAATGCGAAAGCGGTTCCCCCCGAAGTTGAAAAAAAAAAAATTCACTAAGCATGCCCCATGCTACATTATGCTTACCCCATTTTTTTTTTTTTGGCTAAATTTTGTATGTATTCAAATTCGGATTTTTGAAATTTTTAAATGTAGTTAGAGCCGATATTTTCGAATAGTTAGATTCTTCAAAACATTTAAGGTGTACCCTGTGATAGTATTAACTTTGGTTTTTCTAAGAAGAACCCGTAATAAAAATTTCATAAATAAATGGAATATTACTTTAAATAAATTTTGGTGTTATAATTTTTGATTTCCGCCAACCCGGTGACGAGATAATTTATTTGCGGTGCAGGCTTCTCCCGAATTTTTAAAAATTCCCTCTGATTTCGTACTGTACGCGTGCGAATTGTAAATGTAAGGGAAAATAACTAGCAGAAAATTTATATAAGCGTTATTGTTTTATCAACAATATTTAATAGGGACATACAGGTACTACACGAGAAAACTATAGAAATAATAAAAAGTAAATTAATTAAGTATAAAAATACAAAGATCGTAGCTATCTACTAAAAATTATTCTAAATGAAAAACTGTTTTGGAAAATTTATAATAGTATATGTAATTATTATCAAGTCGGTGATGTACATAAAAATCAATACGTACCTATAATAATATTCACTTTAATACAGTAATAGAACAATAAATATAACTTTAGTACCTATATTCATAGTCGCATCTAGATGGCTGTTAGGAGCTTTTTAGCACCTCCGAGTTTAAAATTAGTTCTCCCAAAATGAATCCAATCAGCTTTTTCATAGTAACAACTAAATATTTTATCCATGTATTTTATAATTAATAAGCAGAACAAAATTTCTTCGGATGGGAATATATTGTTTTGTAAAATATGTGAGGTGAAGGTTACACGTGAAAAACGATTTACAGTTTTACAACATCTTAAAATCTTACCACTCACGTGGTATTCAACGACTCAGCGCCCAACAACAAAAGATTCAATAACTTTTACCTACCATAATAACAATTAATTCTTTCAATAAAGATTTGTGGAAAATTTTGTTAGCAGTCAATATACCCGTAAATAAATTACAAAATACCCATTTTCGTTCATTTTTGGAAAAATATATACATAGAGACATTCTACCAGTATTTTTTTTAAGAAGTACCTATGTACACGAGTGCTTTGATGAGACAATGGACGCTCTAAGAAAATAAGTGCTTGGTAATAAAATCTGGATTTCGATCGACGAAACTACTGACGTACAATCTCGATTGATTGCAAACGTAATTATTGGTATTTTAAATGTCAATGAACCAGGTAAAATATTTTTAATTTTTTCCGGTGTTCTTGAAAAAACCAACTACTCTACGATATGTCAAATTTTTGATAAAGCTCTTTTCATATTATGGCCTAATGTACTTTTGTTTTTGAACGACGCCGCTCCTTATATAGTTAAGGCAGCTAATTGTTTATAAGCTTTTTATCCAAAAATAGTTCGTGTAAGTTGTATGGTCCATGAGCTACACCGGGTGGCAGAAAAAATTCGTGGTCAATTTCCAAAAATAGACAAATTTGTCTCAAACACAAAAAAAATATTTTAAAAGCACCAAGCCATTTTAATTTTGCGAGTTTTGTACGTAATTTTTTTTCGGTAGGTATTCCGTGGTCAAATTGTTAGACTTAACAGAAATGGTTGAAAAATTAACAGGAGATTCATTAAAAGTCGTCCTTTAATAATAAAAGAAAAAAGTAAAAGTATTTTTATTTATGAAGGAATTTTAATGTGAAATTTAGATGAAAATCGTTCGAGTAAAGATTATGTCGAACAAATTAAATTTTTCAATGTTTTATTTTAAACATAGGTATATTGCTGATTTAAGAACGATGGTGAAATCAGAATTGAGTGGAATAAGTTTTGAAATTATAGCTTTTTGAAGTTCTGCTATTATTTGCTATGTTAAATAACTCTGTCTTCTCTTTGTCTTCTCTTAATGTACGTTTGTCGTAGTTTAATGGTTATGGGTACCTATAGTTGTTATCCTAAGGATCGTGAGTTCAAAACCGGGTTTTGAAAAAAAATTCTTTACATTTATTATTTCCTTTTAAAGTCTTAATTTAAACAAGAAAAAAATGAATTTTAGGTGTATCTAGAGCTCAGCTATCGCTTGCTCGGGCTATTTTAATCGAAGAGTACCCCTCGATTTGTTGTACAAACTTTTCTACCAACAATTTTGCTTCAACTTTTAACTGTAGCACTTTTTTCTGAAATAAATCGGACTTAGGAGGTACTTTAAGGAGGTCATTTTTCGATTTTCCGAAGAGTTTTCCCAGAAAATGTGAAAAACTGGGGAAAAAACACGTGGAAAACAGGAAAATCGGTACAATTTATATAATTTATTACAAATATTATTTAAGGAAATATGTAATGCCTATACAATTATTTAACCATAATACATACATATTGTTGATAAAGCATCAGTATCAACTGAACTCCGTTCAGAATCGTTTTTTGTTAGCAATGGTTTATTGTTGCTTACAGATATAAATTAATTCTTTCTCTATATCTTACATTCCAAACTTTTCACCAATAACAGTGGCTGCACCCATTGTGCGAAGTTTATCCGCTTTTTTGTTTTCTTATTTTAGTTTTTTAAGTTCTTTTCTTGTTTTTTTCTGACTGAATAATTTTAATTAATAATGAACAGTTCATTAGAATGGTCTTTATCAGATACATTAGATATTTATAATGAAGAAATAATTTTAGAAATATTTATGAGACTGCCAAAACCTAAAGTGATTCGTGACAGCCATAATCTTTTGAACAATTTTGAAATGTCGGTTTAATAACCAATATTTTGGTAATAATCTAAATGTAACAAAAAGATTGAGAAACACTTGTAAATTTAACACATGTTAAACATTTAGTTTATCAACCGTTAATTTATCATTATACACATATTTAACACCAGGTTTATTAATAGATAACAACAAGTTTGGTGCAACCGGGCATTCAAATCTAAAAAATAATACAACAATTAGAAATCGTATAACTATAATATTGGAAAGTTTTTTAAGTATACAAAATATTAGGGTAATTTGAATAAATATTATAATAGTCGATAACGTTAATTTCTATGCAATATAATATTGATATACTCGAAAACACAACATCGGACAATATCTAATAAAAATATTCTGTTTAAAGACAATCAATAACAATAATAATAATATGTATTCAGGTGATATACCTTATTTTAATTTTATATGTTACATCAGAGCGATAATTTTGATAGGCATACGATTCTGTATATAATATTACAAAATTATAACAATATTATATAATATGAGTTTAATAATTCGTATAGGATTGTTCAAACGGTCCTGCGGTAATTTTGAAAATACTTTTATATTATGATCATTGATCTTATTATTTTACTTAGCTCGACAAACAAAAAACAGACGTTATAATATTGTTCAATAATTATTTATGCTTCCTCATCCATTTTCTCCAAATCTTCCAGTTCTTCCGGTACGCCTAATTCCTCTATTTTCTTTGCACATGCTTCTTCAAAGTTAGAAACATTAAATAAAGTAAAGTACTCTTCTTTTATAAACTTGATGGCTAAATTTACGGGACATAAGTGGGCTGGAACTTGCGGATCTTGTGGATATTGCGAATCTTGTGGATCTTGTGGACCTTTTGGATCTTCTGGATCATCACCTAGGGAATGGTTGTCTTTACAGAACTTAACCGATTCAGTAACATCTCGACCGTTGAAAACAACTCTGAAATAGAAACCATTCGTACTGTCCTCTTCCTTGTTGTTCTTGTCGTCCTTGTCATTCCTGTCGTTCTTGTTGTCTTTGTCGTTCTTGTCGTCCTTCACCGTATTATTATCACGGTATATTTCGATCACTAATCGGGAAGCGTAGTGTGGGGATATGATATGATGGTCGAGAACGCCAAACGCGGATAATAGATACTGAGTGGTCAAATCGTGACCAGAGTATACAACCAGACGCGGTTTGCCTGTGCGAATTAAGGCCAACAAGTTTGATGCTATATGCTGAGCTAAACCGTAGGATTTTAGCAGTCCGTATCTTTCAAGTAGCCCGTGTGTGGCGTAACGCACCATATCCTGTTCTAGGTAATTGAACAGATTTCTTACGTCATCTAAGCTCACACTTCCAAAATTCTCACTGGAGGGTAATGGTTCTCCGTGACACACATACGTCATTATCGAGTCTCTCAATAAGTATGGATCCATATTTAATTTTTCATTTGGCCCGTATATTATGCGGTGCATCCGGTTAGCCGAACTTTCTATGGCATTGTTAGTTTTCAACCGGTTCGAAGAAGAACGTTTGAGATTATCTCGCATATTAGTAGTGATAGGGCATTCGCAATGATCGAAACAGTAATTATAACTAAGGCTTTTCTGGAACTCTACTTTTAACAATACGCTCATAGGCAAAAGCGCATACATGAGTGCTAAAGCACTCTGGACCGTACGATTGTATTGGGTACTATATATAATTATGTCTTCAGAACTGATACCACCGAGTAGATGGGAATATACTGTCCTTAAAATACGTCCAAGTTTCAGCATTTGTGATACGCCGACCGGAGTCAGTTCGCTAGGGGTACAATATCTATCAGTCGGGAGTAACTTTGTGAACTCGTTAAATGGACCTAAAAAATGAAACGTGGATATTTCCTTCATATAATTAAGATACTCTAAATCGCCTGATATGCCACAATCAATGGTATTTATGTTATTGATGGGATACATCGGACCACGATCTCCATGACGAGTCAAAACTATTATACTTTGGAGCTTGAAATTGTTGTTTAAAAGACCTATAAAAGACAACAACAATAATAATATTAATAATAACCTACTTATAGTATTTATACTCTGAGCATAAAACATAACGTTAGATGATAGTGGCTCAATCGAATGTAATAATTTAGAATACCAATATTTTAGAAAGTAAAACTAGAATATAATCGTTATTGGATAACATAATTTTGTTAGAAAATAAAAAGTGATTTCGTAAATAATATCTGCTTAAAAGATTATAGAAAATAAACATGAAATTAAAATTAAATTTGTATTACTTGGTTTATTAAAAATCTAAATGATCAGAATGAATATTTTGGCAGGTTTTGTTTGGTAAATTTCAGTATTATATTTTCAAAATATTAATAGTATGTTATTTTATCGTTCTGCATTATTAAAGTATTATATTTTTATTGTTGTCTGCATTATTTAGATTATGGTATATAGTAGTGTCAATTATTAATTTCCATCAAATTAATTTGATATATTTTTATTTTTAAATTGTGAGTGGAATGTATTGGTTTTACAATGATGTTTATTTTTTTTTTACGTGAACACTTTTTTTTACTAGAAAACATACTCTGATTATTAAGTATAGCATCTTTTCTGAAAGGAAATTTTTTCTGAGTGGTACTTTAAAAAGGTAATTTTATGAAATTCTTATTAATATTCGAGATAATGAAGAAAACCTCGGTCTTTAGGTTAAAACGGATTGAAAGTTTGAAAAGAATGTTATCATTGGTAACCGTTTTTATTTATTTTTTGTTGTTATTAAGTTTTTATTATTTTAATCTTTTTTAAACAATCATTGTTGTCATAAAAACGCATATTGTTTTAATCATTTTATCATAATTCGACATAATACTATATACTGTATTGTTGACAAAGCAACATTATCAACTGAACTCGGATCAGAATTGTTTTAGCAATAGTTTATCTTTGCTTGCAGATATACATTAAATTCCCGTCTGTAGCCTACCTTCCCAACTTCCCACCTTAAACAGTGGCTGCGCTCACGTGCGAAGTATGCCGTCTTTTTTTCATTTTTTAATTATCACTTTCGATAATTTTATAATCCAACTAATTTATTTTCTGAATAATTATTTACTAAACTATTATAGCGTTACACGTTTCTATACTCTGTTCAAAATAAGAACGTAGTCGGCGGCCGAGTTGTGCGCATGGGCGTGGCCTTCACTACACGCGCGGAACGCTGGCACTGCCGTCCTGGAGAGCGAGTATTAGTCATATTATCGATTGATACTATCATCGTCAGCCGACCAGCACAAATAACTGCGGTCATTGTCGGCTGAACAACAGGTGGTTAACTAAGCGGGAGTAAGAATGGGCGTGGTTCTGACCGTCTGTGACGAAAAATCGTCGCTGCCGACTACGCGTTTCTTATTTTGAACAAAGTTATAGTTAAATTATTATACTACCGATATTTCCTTCGACACCGGGTTTAATCATTGAGGGAGGATTGCACACTTTTACTAGGTTTTCGTAATTGACCTTTTGTCCGGACGTTTTCAAGTACATCGCTGTAAACAAGAAATTGTATGCATAAAATTTAGTACTCGGAAAGCTCATTTCAAGTTTTATTTCAAATTCACGGTAATCTTGTTAAAAAGGAATTAATTTCAAACTCGCTGCAGGTTTAAAGAAAGAAATTAATTCTGTTCCTCGGGGATTTTTTCGCTTCTCAAATATATAAAAAAAATCATAAATTTATATATTATATTTTAATTTAATTTAAATTTTCTTTATACTCGTTTTTTCGACAGATCCAAAACCCTAGAAAAACCGGTAAAAGTAGCAGGTAGCCTCAATTTTGAAATAATTTCCAAAATGACTTAATTCGCATTACTAATTAATACGCATTGTTATTTTAAATATACAAATTAGTAGGTAATTTATAATATTTTTAAATCTTCAGGAACCCCCAAAACCGGGATTTTAATAGTAGCGAGCGCAATTATTATTATATATTTCCATAGTTATGTATAATAAATTAGTTTATAACGTACACTGTCCAGCTAGTAGTACAATAATAAAATTATATAATAACATAATAATAATTTATATCTGTTGTAATAATGATAACTAATTTATAAGTCAAGAACATATTAAAATAAAATTTATGTTACAAAACTTAATTATAAAAAGTGGTGGGTGAAAATTGTACCACAAAGTTCACAGAATTTAAAAATTCTTTCGAAAATGTTACTCTGTTGGAATTTTTTGGAAAAAATTTAAAAAAAGTTATTCAACTTTAAAATTTTTGGACCAAGTATATGACCAACACCTCACTTGGCTGTAAAGATAAAAAAAACTTATCCAACAATGATCACATAGGATTATTGGAAATTTTTGGTTTTTGATTTATAATATTATATTACTAAATATTTTGTAGCGTTTAACTCTTACCATTGCATAGTTTTTTCGTTGGTCGTATCCATCTGTTAGTGTAGTGTACATCTGAAATTATAATTTAATTTTTATTTTGTTGTAGTCGGAAATATATGTATTTATTACTAGTTATAATGGATTATATTGTTAAGAGGATTTGAAATCTAGTCAAAAATAAAACATTTCAGTGGGGTATTTATGACTTTTTTTTTTTAGGAGGGAGTCGCATTAACACAATTTAGACAGTTAAAATACCTAAAGCCCACTAATAGTATAGACGTTCTATGCCTCTCTCTAGGGGTGAGTTATAAATCCTTTATTCTTCCCCCCTGTATATACGGGCGCACACAGATTGCCTTCTACCTGACCTCGAATTGTCTCCTGTGAATTTTTTTTTTAACAAGGTCAATTACTCGAATTACCTACTATTTTAGGTAGTGACCTTCTTGTATCGGAATTGATTTCTATTTCGATTTTTTTAAAACTATAAAAATAATTATACATAGATATTAGTGCACAACATTAGTACACTATATTAGGTAATAAGTCGATGTCAAAAAAGCAAATAGGTATATAAGTATCAAAATTTCACGTATTTAATATCAATAAAAAAATATTATAGATGAATTAATATTATGTTTTACAATACCAATACTGTTGTATAACAGTAATTAATAATAATAAAAAATAGTAAACAATCAATAAATAAATATCATTGTTTTAAAATCGAAAATTTAAATTTAAATTACTTGTGTTGTATGTTTCCGAGGTTTAAATTTATTTGCTAATATTTTTGTACATTGAAATTTTAAAATTTAATTTTTGTTTAATTTATCAATTAAGTTATTAATAAAATTAATTTTATTTTTAGTAGTTTTCTTATTGGTTTTTAAACCGAATTTCATTAGGTTGGTTGGTTTTTAAATAAGCTGAACATATTTATTTTGTACACGTCAATCGTTTAATGTCATTAGCCAAGTTCTTTTGAAACCCAAACTTAAATCCATCCCAAACTAAAATTGTTTTACCTTTTTCACTAAAAACGTTCATTTTTCAATATTATTATCTTATATAGGTATGTAACGGTTGCGCAAATGAACCTATGTTGAACTCACGATGTAGATAAAACAATGTCGTCGAGTTTAAAAGCGAATCCCAATCAGATAGCATTAGCGCGCCTCTCCCAGGTAGCGCTAAAAAGGCCAATCAACAGTCTGCTGCTATGGAGAAGACCGTAATGACATTTGGCCTTTGGCATATTGTCCACGGTAAAATGTTTAAAATTGCAGACTTCAGTATTCATTTAAATTTATAATAAATCATTACTAAATATAATCAAATATGCATTATGTAATACTACTTAATACTATTGTCGTAAAAAAAAAAACTAGAATGAAGAGTTTTTGATTCTCTCACGAGTCTTGGCCACTGACTGGAGGGACAATATTCATTGGTAAATAAATACATTACTTTACGCCCGGGAGCCCCAGATTGTATCTCCCCTAGATCTGGTGCTATTTGTGTGAATGCATGAACTGACCTCAATGTTGATCTATAGATGCAAGGGATCGTGTACAGAATTCAGGGACCGTTATAGAGTGTATATAGAATGTTATTGAGTGTGACTGCGTGATTGCTAGTTTGCGAACGCAGTTGTTGCCGTCATGACTAATCTCCACTGCACGTTTATATACGAGTTACGACTTTCTACTCCATTTCCCTGCCTGTTGCCTAATAAAGGAATGTCCAATAATGAAGCACAGACTCTCTACTACTATCGGTTTAAAAGGAGAGAGAGAGAGGGTACTATTTTATATAATGTTTGATAATTATTAGTATTTATACTTTACCCTTATGCAGACCAGCCATTACTGCAGCGTGTTCTCCCAGGTGATCATCCATAGAATCGTCTGCAATAGTGTTTAATGCGTGTGAACATTAAAAAACAAAACTGTCAGTGTTTATATTATATTTACAATATTCGAGTATTTCATAAGAAAAAAAATGCTCAAATAATACCAAGTATATCTAATATTCGTTAATTTGATTGGTTATTATTTTTCGGTCTATAATAAGTATTCGTATATGGTACATGGAATACAAACGATTAAAAATAAATGTTCCTTATTACTGTAATACAGAACTCACCACTATCCTCTAGCATTGTATCTACAAAATTGTTAAACGCGTATACACATTAAAAAAAAATATATGTCAGTGTTTATATACAGTATTCGAGTGTTTCGTTAGAAAATAAATTCCCAAATAATACCAAGCATATAATCTAATATTCGTTAATTTTATTGGTTATTATTTTTGATCGGTAATGGGTATTTGTACATGGAATACAAACGATTAAAAATAAATCCTCCTTATTACTGTATTACAGAACTCACCATCAACATCCAGCATTGTATCTGTTGTTGTGGGATCACTGGTTAGGTTAGGTACGCCTGTACCTACATAAAAACAACACACAATTATTTTTCGTAAATAGTTTTGATAATAACATATTTAATGCATTAACATGTTTTAGACTGGACTTAGCGAGGAATGTATTGGTTTTGGAATGACGTGTGCTTATTATTTTATTTTTTTTTTCAAAAAATGACAATACACCGCTTTTGTCGAATTTTGGATCTATTTATGTGTGTAGATGAGTTCATTTTTTTGAAAGACCATACGGTTTTCATAATCAGGTAAACTGGCATGTTTAGAGCAATACAAATTTCATTAATTTTGATTTTTTCAATATTATTTTTCTACCCGAAATCGTATCCTGAATTTTTAGAGCAGCGCCATATATGAAAAAAAATGTTAGTAAATGCATAAGTAAGTCGATTATTGATTTTCCATATAGTTTTCTTGATAATTTAAAAAAAAAAAACGTAAAAACTGAAAAATGTATGGCATTAAGGTTTCATTATTTTTGATATTCGATTCTATGTGTAGCAAAGAATGTATTGGTTTTACAAAGATGTTTATTTTCTTATTTTCTTTTTTTTATACTTGGTACAAAAATTCTACCAAAAATCATGCTCCAATGTATAGCATTTTTTTCTGAAAGGGAATTTTTTTGAGATAGTATTTAATAGGGTCATTTTTGATTTTTCCAGAATTTTTCCCAATAAATGAAAAAAACATGGGAAAAACTGGAAAAAAACGTAGAAAAACAGGGAATATAGGTACAAATATTATATAAATATTATTGAAGAAAATACAAAACGCATATGTAATTATTTTACCATAATGTGACATATATATCATTGACAAAGTAATACTGTTAATCGAACTCCACTCAGAATCGATTTTCGTTAACAATGGTTAATCGATTGTTACATGATGTACGATATCGCGTATAGATATACATTAAATTTTCCCTCTACCTTCCCAACTTCACACTTATAACAGTGGCTTACATTTTCACAGACTTTTTATACTGATCTTTTGTAGGTATAATACCATTAAAAAAAAAAATCCGTCGATTCTTAAGCTATTTATATCAATATAATTTTTAATCTATAGTTATTTTAAATACTCTAGTGTTATTTTGTTTTTTAGTTTTTATTTGCAGGCTTATACGAAGTATGTTTGGTTTCCAAAAATACTTAAAAAACTATATTAAGGTTTATTAAAAGTGATACTATAATATAAATATCGAAAATCCGTAGTGAATATTTTTGAGCTATTACAATAGACATTATATATTTTCAAGGTTTTTTTATATTTTTATTTGGTTTTCTGTAGATATAATTTTTCGCAAAACAGAAACGATTGAAAACTGCAAGCGAGGTTCATTATTAGTTGTTCATTATAGTAGTAAAAAAAAAAAAAAAAAATAAATAAAAGTTTAGTATAATGTAGTTGTTTTTTTTTTTTTTTTTTTTTTTTTTTTAGAAGTGAATAACGTTAAAATTTTAATGAAAATCTAAAACATTATGGTATTTAAAAACATGTTTAACTGATCTTTGCCGAGAATCGTCTTTTACCAGCAATGATTTACTGTTGCGTACATAAATACATTTAATAATTTTATGTATCTTAACTTTCCAACTTCCAGTTACAACCAGTGGAATATCCATCAGCATTCAGAAGTATCTACATTATCTTTTTCCTTTTTTTTACTTAAAAAAAAAAAAATATTCGTCAATTTAATCATTTATTATTTTGAATTGTAACTTCTAATATACGAATATATATACATAAATGTAGGTACGGAATGCAAACGATTAAAAAAAACTAATCTAAATGCTGCAATTCACCTGATGTATCAACTTTGGTTTTTCTGAAGCCTCTTTTTTTACCTGTGTACACAAAAAACAACTGGCAATATTAAATAAATGGACTTATTTCACACGTGGGTGCAGCCACTTAGTGAGAAGTTGGGAAGGTAGTAGAGGGAAAATTGAATGTATCTGTAAGCAACAATAAATTATTGCTAACAATAAAACGACTCTGAGTGTAAATTAATTATAATTTAAATTATATATTTTCTTTAATAATATTTGTTTAATATTGTACCTATTTTCCCGTTTTTCCTACGGTTTTCCTATGTTTTTCCCATTGGAAAAGCAACACTATTAACCGAACTCCGCTCAGAATCGTTTTTCGTTAGCAATGGTTAATCGTTGCGTACAGATGTATATTTAATATTTCCTCTACTACCTTCTTAACTTCTCACCTACAATAGTAGCCCAACTACGTGTGAAGTATGTCCGTATTTTTATTACATGTAATTTTATACATATAATACAATATTACAATAAATCATTGTCAATAATATTAAAATTTTATCTTTCAAGCATTTGTTGATTTCGCGTCAAATCTAAATCCATTTCACTGCTAAATCAAATTAATATTTTTTTATTATATCGTCTGATTGATGGTACAGGAATGAAGAATTAGCCGTTTAAAAATTCAAAATCAGATATCACTTTTTCCATTTTTTATAACGGGTGGATTTTATACGGTTAATGAATGGAATATTAATAATAATTATAACGATTGTTGTTAAATATTTATAACGGTTTATAGGTTTACTTTTTGTTTCGTCCGGACTTCCTTCAGTGATCTGAGTTTTCTTTAAGTCTTGTGTAGTTGTAAAAATACCTATACAAATGCGAATGTATAATAATTAAAAATAACTTCGATTAGTATTCATTATACAGGATTTGAGTGTTTCGTAAGAAAAAAATATCTTAAATAAATCCATGTAAGTGGCTGATCCGTGGGAGGGGGCGATAAGGGTAATCACACCTTCCATTCACTGTTCGATATAACTTTAACCCCATTATATTCTTAGCCCCATAATACTCTTAACTTGATTCATCATTGATCTCTATATAAATGTGTCTCGAATATGAATTTTCAAGCCCGTTAACTTATCCTGGATCAGTCCCTGAACAATGTGTATCTAATATTGAAATATTATTTTTAATTGGTATACGCATTCGAATAAGGATTAAGTAAAAACGAATGAAAAGAAATCCTCTACAATACCATGTTTTATATAACTAACCATCGTCATCATTTGGTATTGATTCTGGTGGTTTGGGACCGAGATTATCGGTAATCGCTTCTGGTCCACTAGTATTACCTGTGTAGATAAAAAAAAATAAAAGAGCACGTTATTAGTTTTTCGCAAATTATTTTGATAATATCCTAGGTAATTACTAAAGTTGTGAATTTAATGTATATATATTTTTTTAATAATGTACGAGTAAAATCATGTAAGTGGTTGATCCGAGGTTGATCCGATATATGTATAAATTGTATAGAATGTACACCTTTTCTAAACTGAATGTATTTAAATAGTTGAGAATGAAAATTTTAAATGTCGCTCACTAGTTGGAAAAAGTTGGCAACCCTTGGTCTATGATCATAATCAGTAATATGAGATCAGCTTGAAAGTTTTAATACAAGTCATAGATATTCCATTACCTATAGGAAATTTGACTTACTAATATAATATACATAATAATAGTTGCCTACTTCAGTGGTTCTCAAACTTTTTTTCCTGGCGGTGCCCTTTTTTGTACTAAATTTAGCCACGGTATTCTTCCGTGAATACCGCGAGGAATATACATATAAAATCAACACTGATTGTTAATGATAATCAGTTTTTATAATTTTACTGAATATAATATAATATAAGAATTCTAAACATACAGCCGATTTAATGTACTCTTTATTTTTAGGATTAAATTTCAAATTAACAAAAGTTAAAAAAAGCAATTACAACAAATTATTATAAATCATTTCTATGAGTCACGGTGCCCCTGGAAAGTACTTGTGGTGCCCTTAAGTTCCCACATGAAAGCAATTAAAACGTGAAAAAAGTCTTAACACTATTTGTACCTATGTCTTGACACTATTTGTGCCTATGCACACATACCAGAAAATATACTCGGTGATCCTCCAAGCAACTGAAGCAGGGTTGGTGTAGAGATCTCAAAATAATCTAAATATTAAAACTTCAATTGTTAAATTCAAGAAGTAAGATATTACCAATACTTAACTCTCTCACCCAAGTCTATCATGTCTACATTAGTTTTATTTTTCAACAATTCCGCTTATTGTACATAATGTAAATAAGTAAATATTGGTTATTAAGATAAGTTAAAATATATTTTAAAATAAAATATTAATATTGAAGAAGATTTAATAAATCAATTTCAAGTGTCTTCGTGTATTTACGTGTATTTATAAGTAAATTACAACAAAAACGCCCAAAAATTAAAATTCCTTAAAGGATCAAAAGTGGCTCAACAATTTTAGCAATAATACCGTAATAAACTAAATCAAAATGGTAACAAAAAAAGGTTATCTTGTAATTTGTCTGCTATTTTTTCTAGTAAAAAACGTCGTCCGTGTTTTTATAAAATAATGAAATTATAAAATTTTATGTTTTCTCAAATTTTTTCACACTTAAGTGCTTTTAATCAAAAAATAGCGTCAAAAATCAAAAAATTACTTGTCTAATGTACAATCTAAACAACTTGAGCTTTCAGAAAAAATGCTACACGTAAGAGCCGGAGCCAGTTTACTAGGAAAAAACGTGTCCACAGATTAGAACAATGAAAGAAAGAAAAAAATAAACATCTTAGTAAAACCAATAGCTCCTTCGCTACGCTCGGAATTTAAAACCAGAAAATATTTTTTGCAGTGCCGTGTTTATAACTCATTGTCATTGCCATTTTATTCATTATTTTTCATTTTATAATTCAATACAACAATAAATTGGTGTTGGCCTCTAAAAAAAAAAAAATACATGTTAGACCCTACTGTTATAATATTATATTACACAAATACGTTGTGTTATTTTGTTGATACAACTATTATATTATGGTATTTATCATATTTCCTTTTCATGACCTAAGGAGATAAGATAGTTATTTATCGTAACATAATCTCGCACCCGGAGTTAATTGTGATTAAAGACATTTTAAGTACTGGTTAGATTTTAGATACTGGTTAAAATTATCGTAAGTGTAATATATAACAGTATAGTAGTTTAGGTAAATAAAAGAAAAAATTACATAATTGTTTAGAATTAGTAAAATAAGTATATTTTCTTCAACATTTTTCAATTTGTTAAAAATTAAAAAAAAAAAAAAAACGGTTTATTAAAAATACATTTTTTCAATAACCCCGTAGTTTTTTTCTCGGAAAATTGATTATTTTTTCGGGAAGGGGGGGTATTATTATAGAAAATATAATATTTACCTCCGATTGCATTTTTGATTACGACTAGGATGATTATTATAGTCACCGAGAGCACGGAACCGTATTTAATGATTATCATATTATTATTGTTTTCGGTATTTATGCTGAAGTCAACCCAGCGAACTGCAGAGTGTGTAATAATGTTGCGGTAACGAATATTTCGTCTGCGTTTTGAGCGTAATGTAATTTACTATACTCAGTATAGGCGCCTGTATAGTTTGCACACACCAGCTTTACCTGGCCGCCAAACGTCTGATCAAATAGTACTTACTCGAGTATTTCTACTGTATTGTATTGCGTAGGTATTGCTAAAGCTGAACAAGTTAAACAATATTTACTACTGAAATTTTAACAGTAATAATAATAATAATAATAATATAAACAAAATAATAGAGTAAACACTCTCTCTTTCTCTCTCTCGCTCTGTGTAAATTCGCGTTTTATATTTTTATTGTTATATACCTGATGAATTTTTAATTCGAAACCGGTCGTATAACACACATATATTATAATATTCCTCCAGGCAATGCATTCATTCATTTATTTATTTTTTTATTTTTATGTATACATTTTTAATTTATATTTTTATTTACATTATTGAAAAATAAAAAAAGGTTATAGTTATAACTGAGCTAAGTTAACAATGGCCCAATTTATGGAAGTGTTGGGATTGTAATTCACATGGGGCCTCGTGTTTTGGGGGGACCCTGAAATATCATAATACATACAATCTAGGTACCCAGGTACGCAGATTATATTATTTGTTTTATCTTTTAATTTCAAAAACTTTGAATAATACCAAACCGTATGTAAATGTATTTGCTCATCTAAGTTTCCATTATATAAGTTCTAAGTATGTATAATTAAAAGCGGCGTTTAGAGGGGACATAAGAGCTATGCTCCTCCCTCTCCCCATAGACATTTAGTTAAACTGCACGCAAATGCATAGGTAATATTTTTAGTACAATAACTTCCAAGCCCTAATAATATGTATTAATTCACATTAGGTGTATATAAATTGCAAACAAATATTTTATTTTGTATTCATTTTTTATTTATTCAATTTTAATTTTAAATTATTAAGTGTCAACATTCAACGATTTTACGGTATCATTATTGGATAATTAGATAATTGTTTAAACTTTTAACTCAATAGTATTTGTACATATCTGAATATCTACTGCCATAAGAAAAATATTGAAGGTAATTTTTACAATTCAGTATTTAAAAAAAAGTTCAATATTAGTACAGTATTTAAAAAGTACAATTTTTTTAATAAACTTTGGAATTTATATTTATTTCCTAGATAAAGGTTTAGATTTTAATTTTTAACAGTTTATCTGCTCATAGCTGATGATTTAGTCGCTTATTTTTAAATTAAGATATTGATTATTGTTTAAATTCACAAGTGAAGTAAATAATTTGAAAATACTGCAATTAGCAGGAAGATGGCAAAAATAAGAAAATCGCATCTCGATCTGGCATAATACAACTTTGTTTTTATGGAACATTAGTTATTCTATCGGAGTAGCCTATCTCATTTAAATTTACTATTATTTTTATTTTACCATTTAAAAACATATTTTTTAAAAAATCTTTTCGGAAAAACTGAAATAATTTAATTCTTGTTTTCACCCTTGTTCCTATCATAGTTAACCATTGCACTTATATTTCTGTAAAACTAAATTAAATAATTATAACTATTTTGTAACTAAAAAATCAATAAAACAATTAATTCAGTATTTGAACTAAAAATACTAAAACATGAAGAATATATCATCTTTTAGGCGTATAATTTTGGGTACCAAATCTCAATGTGCACAAGCACACATACTCGTTCACCCGCTACTGTATGTGTATTTCCAAGCCTTTGCATATACAATAGATTCAGCTTTGATCACGTACAGACTAACAAACACACATTTTTTTTATTAATAAAAACGATCTTAATTAAAATTCAACAATTGAGTATTAAATATTGTAACTATTATAAATAGTTTTAGGATTGTTCGTATTAATAACAGAGCATGGCAAAAAACAATATTCTATAACTTTATATATAACTCAATATTGCAGTCTAATTATTCACAGAAGTAAAAAAACAAAAGTCTTTAGATAAAAATTAATTACATTACAATACTTTTGAACTATTGTTAATTGTTATGAAAAGGAAATATATTTATACATCTAAAGGTTCTACGGTGTTACTAATATTAAAATAAAAATTGTTAAAGAACAGTAAAGATGTTAATTTATTATAGTGTTATAACATATAGACTTATCCCTGCCTGATATGAATATAGTAACTTAATTATTATTCATTCAAAGTATTTTATTTTTACTTGATACTTTTATAATATTGATAAATTATTTTCGTTTTACCACCCCTGATATATTTGTACGCGGAAAAACATTAAACGGAAGCGCACGAAATTTGCCTATAAAAGTTTTCGACGGCGCTGGACGACAGATGATCCCGCGCGACTCAACGGGGACGTTCGTTCCCTCGTCATATCGTTTAGATATAAATGTATTAATGTATTCGATCTATGGTTACGATAACCGATCCGGGCAAAACGTCTTTGGTAAACGTATGAAAAACAACTACGGACATACTGAATTCAGCGGAGTCACTCTTCGGGGATTAGTTTCCGTGAGTAAGCGGTTCGCATTTGCAATGGTGCGCGCGCCTCGTACGGGACGATAATAATTTAAATGTTAATATAATAATTATATGTAGAGGTTTTCTTTTTTGTCGATTACGTTGTACAAAAATAAAATTACGGGCCTGCGGTATTGTAGTAATTATTGTCATTCATCAGCGATGTCAATATTATGTGCTACGTGTCTGCAATGTCGGCGATCATGCACCTTTATTATAACAAGTGTTTTCCCTTTTGTTTGGAAAGTTTGTGAAAATAACACCTGTCCATAAGTCTGGTGGCTCATCTAATGTACAAAATTATAGACCAATTTCAATCATTCCCCATATTGCTAAACTATTTGAATCTCTAGTTTATTCAAACATTAAAAGAAGTTTGAATCGTATAATTGTTGACGAACAACACGGGTTTAGGCCAGGGAAATCAACCATTACAAGCAGTGTTATATTCTCACCTTACCTAACTGATGTTATAGAGAACAGATGCTAGGTTGATGCGATTATAACTGATTTTAAAAAAGCATTTGATACTGTGGATAATGGTTTACTAATCAGAGAACTCAAAGCATTAAGCGTGGGTGATCCACTACTTTTTAGGCTAACCTCGTTCTAGTGGGTCGAAAACAATACGTCAAATACACGATTCAGTATTTAATATGACGGATGTATTATCCGGTGTCCCACAGGGTGGACATCTCAGCCCTTTACTTTTCATTTTATTTGGAAATTCCATAAATAAATGGATAAATAAAGCTAAATTCTTGCTTTCTACCGATGATATCAAAATATATTTAAAAATTGACGACCAGGAAAGCTGTCTCGCACTTCAATCTGAGCTAAAAAAATATTTTTATTGGGTCAAACACCTTAAACTTAGCCTTAATATAGATAAATGCCAACTCTTATTATCTTAATGATATTCCTCTCCATCGAGTTTTCCTGTTCGAGGGTCTTGGTATATATTATACGCCGTCTTTGAATTTTAACTATCATATTAATACTATCCTCAGTAAAACGCTCAAAGTAATGGGTTTTATAAAACGCAACACAACAATGTTCAGGTCTGCAAACTGCCTTCGTACATTTTATTTTGCCTTTGCCAGGAATTTCATTATAATATGTACTTAGTGGTCAACAATAAAAAGATGGTTTTAATATAGTATTTTTTTTTTTATAATAAATTGACTATCAAATTTTAACGAAAATCGTTAATATTACGGCCTTTTAAACATATGTAACCAGTCCTATCCTTAGAATTATTATTCATTAGCAAAGATTATTCGTTGCGTACAGATATACATAAAATTAGCCTCTATATCCTACTTTTCGAACGTTCCACCTATAACAGTGGCCCGCCTATCGTGCGAAGTATGTCTGCCCTTTCTAGTATTGTTGTTTTGTGTGAATAAAAAAGTTCTTTTTAAAATCACAAAAATAATAAATAACGATGCGACCTTTTTTCATCATGTGTTTCGATTATCAAAGCGTTATATTCATGATTTTATGATTAAATATTACTAGTATAGTATTACTAGATACTACGGTGTTTGGAAATGCCATAAAATATATTATATATTTTTCTTAGGGGATATGGGGACAAAACACTTTTGTTACAAAATATGCGAAACGAAATGACGTCATTCTGACCTAATCTAACCTTCCCAACGCTCCACCTATAACAGTGGCATACCCATCAGCATAATATCTGTTATTTTTTCCTTTGAAAAAATTATGAAAATACGACCATTTTTTTTTAAAGAGTTTATCTATTTATGGAATTTTTAATATATTTTGCTGTTTGAAAATCAAAAGCTGGTATAGTGGTTACACACTCGAAAATAAGGTTGTCAAAACTACAGCCATACAACTTATTGTTTCATTAGTTTTCCAAAAAATTAATAATTATAATAATAATTGCAAAATAATTAATTTCTAAATGTTTGCAAACGTACGAACGCATTTATTACAAGAAAATAGCGAACGATTGGATGGCTTAATTTTTATACTTTTTGATAGGAATTTTCCGGTCAATTTCTGCAATAAGTGTAACGCGTTTTAGTCATATTCGTAATTCATACGATAATATAATAATATTAACGTATACAGATTATAAATTCTTATTGTTATAAACGCGGCGTTAATACACGCAAGTATAAGTACTAAATACGCTGTGGTGTATATTGTGTAGCATAATGGAAATTGAAAATGCACCAAGGCGGATCCGGATTTTACTACGGATGTGTATTATTAAACATCATATTCGTGAACTGTGTCGAAGTATTTTCGCCCCGAATCACCTACTCGATTTTCCGGCCCCGCGCCAACCGAAAACACCCCCTCCTCACCGTGCATGTATCGAAAATTTGTTGAACTACGTCAAATTTATCAAATTATCGCAGCTGCGCGCGGTCTAAAATTCTCTTGTCTTTTAAAAACATAACAATTTTCGTCGTAATTCTAAACACCCGGACACCCACCCGGGTTTTCGTGAACCGCGCGTGATTCAAATACACCTCCTTCGCGCCGCTACTGTTCATGAATACGTGCAATATCATTTATTTGCGGACGAAATGAATAATACGATACGGCCGTACTCCCGCGAGAGAGAAAAAAAAAAGCTATTTGTATATTATGTTCGTTCTTTCGTTTTCTGAAAATGACTGATATTTTGTCGAACGGCTTACGCGTGTTCCGTTCCTGTTATTTTCTCTCGTCCGTACGGGCCTGCTATCGTCGCCACCGTTTCTAGTTCACCGAGGTCGGATTAACGCAGTATCCCCGTTACATTTATTTTGGCGTTAAAAACGTTTACTAACGACGCGCGACGAGCCGTTATAATTTTCTATCGCAATTTGTTTCGAGTTTGCGATAATTTATACATCGTCTTCGTTGCGACTGTTGAAAACAAATTGCGTATCAAAACGGATTTGCCAATACGTCGGATCTCCGTGACTAGGACACTCGCGCGGCATCTGAGGGCAATTTCTTTTTTCTTACAATTTTACATTCCCGTAAAAATTGTTCCAAGTTTCGAGCGCCACTCGAAACGCAGGACCCATTAATAATCGGCCGCGAGCTCACGGCGGGACGCGCTTCCCCGCACCCGACCACCCCACCCCCCTTCCGTCCCGCTCGCCGCGTAAACGGGTCTCGCGGCCGGCGCGCGCGCGCATCACGACGCATCGTGCACGCATCACGTATAGCGGATCGTAGCGCGCGGGGGTACGCGCGTAATACGATTTCGGTACGGCGCGCGCCCCCTCGCGTCCGTAAAGAGCGATTTTTTTTTTTCCTACGGACACGCGCGACCGCCGCAGTTTCGCGTTCCAGATGCGCGCGCGCTTACGTACGGTACGCGAAAAACGGAAACCCCCGCGATTTATTTAATAATCCGGGCCGCCTCACCCCCCGCACGTCGTACGCGCGCACATAATATCGTTATTATTGTACACCTATATCGCGCGCACAGCCGTTACTACATAATATCGTATATGTATAGAATAATAATAATAATACGCGGGCAGAGTAGTCGACAAGAGAGAGAGAGAGAAAGAGAGAGAGAGAGTGAGTGAGTGAGAGCGACAGGAGAGACGGATTTTATTTGTCGCCCGGTACGCGCGCACGCATTACGTAGGTACGCGATGCATACGGCGGCGGCCGCGCCGGAGGATATTATAATATCTATACATATATACGTATAGGTGTGGTTGGGCGCGCGGCTACCGAACGCGCGCGGGTTTTTGTTTGTGGAAATCCCCACCCGAGTGCGGTATCAATCACTGCGCCCCGCCGCCGCCGCGCGGCTGAAACCTATACGGCGTCGCGCGGGATACGCCCGCCCCCCCGGATTGGCCGTGGCCATGGCGACGGGCGGCTAATCATGGGCGGGGCGACGGCGGCGTGTGGTGCGCCCCGGTCGCGCCGCCCGACGGCGGTGGGGACGACGGCGGCGCGGACGGGGCGGGCTGACGGACGGACGGACGGACGGGAAGGGGAGGGGACGGGACGGCCGGCCGGGGCGGGCGCGGCGATGCCAACGACACCGCACTCTCTGCCGCCGCGGGCCGCGCACCAGTAGTAGTGTTCGGGCCGGTCAACGATATTACGATGATCTGACGCAAACGATATCCCCCGGACGACACACGCGCGCCGCACACGCACACACGCACACACCGCCCGACGACCGTACGCAGTGTACACGTACGCCGCTGCTGCCGCCGCCGCCGCCGCCGCCGCCACCGCCGCCGGACGACCGACGTAACGCGTAAATTATACGCGTGTAGCGTTATTGTAATAACGACCGTGCCCGCGCGTAGTACGTATGTATCGTTACGCGTACGCTATAATATACGTACGCGACAACGTTATAATATTTACGGTTTGCGATATCGCGTGTATTATTATCGCTCTGAGATTATAATAATATCGTTACGTTTATACCACAGCGGCCGCAGTGTTATACGCGACATCGACGACGAACGTTCTCGGCATCCCGGCGCGATACGTTATACGACATCGACATAGTACGGCCGCCGGCCCGGTTTCCGTAATTCGGCGTGCGTTTTGTTTTTGGTTTTTTTGTTTTTTGTTTTTTTTCTGTGTGTTTTTCTGCGCGTTTCGCGCCCGTACCGTAACCGCCACTCGGATCTGCCGCGCCGTCTCGACCGTCCGGCCCGCGGTTTTCGTGCGTGGTATGTAAAATAGAGCGATGGCACTGGGCATATCTTCGACGCCCACCGACTCGTCGTCGGGCCGGGGCTCGCCGGTGAGCCCGATCAGCAGCCCCGTCACGCCGCTGGCCACCCGGCTCGCGCCCATGCCGCCGATGGTGCCCAACCCCATGTTCGGGCTGCCCATGCTCAACTTTAGCGTGTCCCAGGTAGCCAGCGTGTGCGAGACGCTCGAGGAGAGCGGCGACATCGAGCGGCTGGCCCGGTTCCTGTGGTCGTTGCCCGTCGCCCATCCCAACATCGTCGAACTCAACAAGAACGAGGCCGTGCTCCGGGCCCGGGCCATCGTGTCGTTCCACAGCGGCAACTACCGTGACATGTACACCATACTCGAACACCACAAATTCACCAAGGACTCGCACGGCAAACTGCAGGCCATGTGGCTGGAGGCCCACTACCAAGAGGCGGAGAAGTTGCGGGGCCGGCCGCTGGGCCCGGTCGACAAGTATCGGGTCCGCAAGAAGTTCCCGTTGCCCCGGACCATATGGGACGGCGAACAGAAGACCCACTGCTTCAAGGAGCGCACCCGGAGCCTGCTCCGCGAATGGTATCTCCAGGACCCGTACCCGAATCCCACCAAGAAAAAGGAACTGGCCCAGGCCACGGGACTGACGCCCACCCAGGTGGGCAATTGGTTCAAAAATCGCAGACAACGTGATAGAGCCGCCGCGGCCAAAAACAGGTAAGCAGCTATAATAATTAATATTACGATATTATAATACGCGGTTCGACGTAATCGTTTTTTATTTCCGATCAAATATTATACTTAATATAAAAATGATAAAAAAAAAAAAAAAAAAAACTATTATTATGTTCACATTTTAGCGCGAGGTAGTTTGAAAATTACGCCCTTAACGGCACCGACGATAGCCCTTTTATAATAAATAAATATGCGCGCGATTCGTGCGAAATTTTCAAAAATATCTACTCACGTACGAAGGAAATATATGTTATTTATAAATACGTTTCAAAGGAATAATACGTTTTACGAGTGTTTCACGCCAAAAAATAATCTCTACGTTATTATTATCATTGCGACGTAGTATACATTATTATATATATGCATAATTAAAGACGACCGACGTGATTTATCGTTGATAAAAATCTATAAAACCGTTGATCTTACGCGTGTATATAAATGAAAACGAATCCAAATCGATAAATACAATACCTAATTGAAATAATTACAACAACGTGAGCTATGTTAAATTATGCGGATTTTATAATAACATGGTGTAAATTTTAGGTACTAATGTATCCGATTTACAAACGCGAACAAAAAGAAGTATTTATTATTGTTTCATACTCGTACGAAGTGACGAATTTTTAAAATTCGATTTTAACAATAAAATTAAATGTGCATGATACAATATACTTGCAGCAACCTTCTGCAATACAAGTTCAAACGCGTTGCGGTTTTTAAAAAATAATTTTTTTTTTTCGAATAACCGAATCGCAATTTTTCGGAACGTAATGAAAATATCCGGACTCGTAGAAGTTTTGTGTGACTGTATGAACACTGCATTGTACGCAGTTGTTTAATTGTTATTACATTATTTTCTATACCCTAATTTTCGAACGGAAAAGAAAAATTGAAATTCGCGACAAAACACGTTGTTGTACGCGCACTGCACAATATTATCGTGTACCGCTGTCCGTGTAAACATTACACGTGTATAGTTGAAACGAATTGCGGCCGTTCGAAATTTTGAAAATATCAATGCATTCCTATACGTGATCGCGGTCGCGAATCTCCGGAAAAAAAAAAAAAACACCGCGCCGTCAAAAGCCTCGTCGCGTAGACATCGTACTTGCTCGCGCGTACCGCTCGCACGGCGTGCACCGCGCGCAGTATAAAATGTGTACGCGCGCGGCCGCGCCGTGCGACGGACCGCCTCGTCGCGACGGCAGTCGGCTCGGCGAAAAACGTGACGTTTCGGATAGCCGCCCGCCGTATTCGATCGGCACGGACGGCCGTGCGCCGTCCATTCGCCGGGCCGATTCGATTAACCGCGTTCCGAAAATGCCGCGGGCCGCGGGTTTAATTCGTCGTGCACGCTGCGGGCGCGTACGTTGCGTCTCGGCGTGCGCATTTGTTTCGGTAATTCACGCGCGTACGGAAAACCGCGGAGTATCGTCGAATATAATAACAATAATATAACGTACGTAACGTGTGCGCGTACACGTAGCTCCGGATTTTCGCCGATATCGGACTGAATGGGTAGGGAGGGGGGGGAAACCGACGGGGACCTCGTACAATACTCGGGGCCGGCCGTTATACGCGTACATCCATTACGTGTGTACACGCAGCTATATTTGCCGGAAGCCGTTTTTCCGAAATTATCGTTACTTTTTTTTTATATGAGAGACGTGCACGCGCGTACGGACGCACAGACAAACGCTAAAATACATATTAAAAACAAAAAAACGATGCAATATCGTGTGTGTTATACCGCAGTTATATAGACTGCTGCAGCGGCGCCGGAGTAGATTTTAACCGTATTTCTACGGTCGAACTCGTTTTTAATACTCGGATACTACGGACATTTTAACCGGTCACTTCGACTTCGAGTTGACCTGCAAGTCCGACTGTGCCATACAAATATTTACGATAATAGCGATTGGAAAATAAATCGTTATTCGATAACGCGTACGTGTAGACATATTATTACGAACCGCTAAACGCAGACGGGGCGCGCGTTCAGATTTTCGAATTTTTCGGGAAAGATAAAAATGACATATCTTAAACAAATTGCAGAAAAACGATAATTCCCCGTCAATCATATGTAAATATTCAAACAATAACGTATAATGTTGTATAGCGTTAGATATCATCTATACGAGTGTCGCTATACAGCGTGCAGCAGATCTCATAAAATGTCAATAGGAGATGTCTTTAGTTTTTCTCGAAACATTTCTGAAATTCGAACGCGCACATATTGTTCTTTCTGGATTTGGCGATTCGTGTCTACGTATACGTATAATCTGCGTGACTGCGTCGTCGGTTGAACTATACACAAACGAAAGTGCCAATACAGTGCACATATATACAAGTAAATATATAAATATATTATAATATTGTGTCGTTATAAAAATACCATTCAACATTTCGAGTCGGTAACCGTAAAACTCGTTTTAAACAACCACTACATAAACCCGGTATACCAGCTATAATAGTATATTGCTTATAGGTGCGTGAACGTAAAACTGTTTTCATACAATTTTTATTCGAAAGTAAAATTATATACTAGGTACAAACGCGCGTATGATACATAATGTTATTAGATAGGGGATACTTTAGAGTTCAGAATATATCTTATACAGGCGTTAAAAAATACATCGATACAAATATACATGTACATAAATGCAACGGCACGTTCTCGGATTTTCACGGGATAGGGCACGCAGTTTACAACATTCACGTATCTGGGCGTTATTTTCTTTTTGTTTTTGGAAAGAGTTCAATTGCTTAACGTCTACATAAATTCCAATCGTCTAATCGCTTAACTAAATGTCATACAGCTATAATCCACCAACAATCAGTTTTTACGCGCGATAAAGTCTTTACGTATTGTTTTTATATTTCGTTAAATTTGACACGAGTGCACGTGCGTACAGCGTTCTGTCGGCACGTTACACTGAAAATTAAAATTTCTCGAGTCACTGTAATTATATGTACTTTTTGTTTGGCCAAAAAAGGCACCGTACAGCTATTGAAAACCGTAAAAAATTTTAATTTAGCCATTTTTTCCCCGGGACCAAAGGTGGTATAGAATATAGAAATAAGTGACATATGGTAGTGTAACATATACGCTGCGAGTATTTTCAGCATTCATCGTGTAGTGTCGCAGCACTGCAGTGTATAGTGTCGTGCGTTATACTAATGTATTATGCCAACCACGAGGTCGTATTGGGTCGTTTCGGTTGTCCAGAACTTCGGTTTTTTAAAATCAACGAAAAACATCTTGTGAAAAAAAACAAAAGGAATGAAATAAACCGGTTTTTATAAAAAAATGTTTATGAACGAATGCAAATTTCTTTAAAACGTATATTTTACATACACACACACATATACACACACACACGTATATATTTATGTATATATAGGTAATACGCGCGATATGCAGGCAGGTGGACCATGGCACATAATGTTTATAAGAAGGATAATGCAGGTATAAATGATAATATTACATGAATTATTCGTGTATATTATAAGGTACCTGTCATACACCGTCCACTCAGGGATCGAAAATAAAACGTGTATTAAAAAAAAAAAAAAAAAACTGATATTGCTTATTATGGGTGTACCACATGTTGAATATGTATAGTTGGAAAAGTTGAGAAACACAGAATATGTTAAACATTTCAAATACGCCATCACGCAATAACGAAAGACGTTAAAAACAAACGAATTATATGTATTATCAATTTAACCAAATAATATATAATTCTAGTAAAGTTTATTTATTTTTTTTTAACCGCTTTTTTCGAAATAAAGATACATAATATTGTACAATAACGGTATATGATGTACATAGTATACACACGGGGTCTTTTAAAATTTCAAACTGCATAATATAAGCAATCTTTTTATTAAAACAGCAATATACGTACATGCAGATATGCATTTGATTGTATAGGAGCGTCGTATATCTTTGCAGCAGTCTCGAGGAAGAAAAAATGCCAAATATCGACTCAACGGCCGTCTATTATCAATCAATAATTAGCATTTTTCGTTTAACTTTATACCGTGTAAATTCGTTTCCCTTTATTTTCCGGTCAAAATGACATACAATTTATCTGTATACGTAGTTCCATTTTCCGACATTATAGTTGTTTGCGGCGCGGTGTTTAACCCTGGGGGGGAAGGGAAAGGGAGGTGGCTAAAATTTATCGGGAATGGCTCTCCGATACGCTCTCGCGGCTTGATTTTCATCGTAAACGTGTGCCTTGTATACGGGCGTTAAAAAACGTCCCTTCTGCGCCCGTTGTCTTGTGCCGGGTCCGCCTTCGATGCAGTACATAATATATTTTTTTTATAGTGTACACGAACGAGTGTGTGAACGTTTTAAATATTTAACGCGTTTGTACTGAAAACTATACGCGAAATCGACTTTCCCCTCCCCCACCCGCCCCGCCACGCCCCTGGCACCCATGGCAATTAAGTACGTTATTAATCCGTGTATTATAAATACTCTCAAAAATCAAAAAAAAACGAATACAATTCGAAAGATTCTGCGGCAGTGTACAGTTTACGCGCGCATTTGTATACGGCGATAAATCGTATTTTCGTAGGACGTCAATATTCCGGACCGCGATCATTGTTATCATTACGATTATTGTTTATGTTTTTAATTTCGAAATATCATTAATACGCGAGTCTATGGGTGTGTGTGTGTGTGTGTAATATTGTCTATTATGATATTAAATACGCGCGTATTTAGCGACCGAAACACGGCGAACGGACGAGTGCCCGTACAGTAACGACAGTAACGTATTAAAACGCACACTCTTGTTTAAAGTAACGCGAGACTCGTGACGGTCGTAAATCACGTCGAATATAATATTATTATTGCATTGCGGGTAACAGGCAGGTAACACATATTACGCGTGTATTATACGATAGGACGACAGCTGTAAAAATCGATTTAAATAAAAAATAATAAAAAACAACCGGCACGTGTGTAAAATACGCGTACACCTATTATGCGCGAGCAATAGCGAAACATCAATTACACAATAATACATTATATTGTATTGCACGTGAATGTTTTAATTTTCTTTTCTTTTTCGTATATACCGCGAATATCTCGCGTCGTCGTCGGGGACGTTATTTCGAATGACGTCGTAATAATGCGCATAGCGTATATTTAATATATATATAAAAAAAAAAACGCCGCTATCTATTTTTCTCTCTGTGTATATCGTTTGTTGTTTTAATATTCAAGTCCCGAAGACGCGCGTGTACATATAGTTTATAGTTTATCGGCGATTTTAACGACAAAATTTAAAAACAATAATCCCGGTCAAACGTCACCGGACGATATTTCGTTGTGCATTGTAATATTATATTATATACATGTATTTACCTGTGCAGGGCAATTCTTCTGGATATCACGATCCGTCGATTTCCCCGAGGATTGTTCAATAGTAAACGATCCGATTTCTGTTTGTCTGTTTTTCGACCGTTATGACAACATTATACAACGGTAGTGATTTTTCAATTTTTCGCCGCTATCCCTGTAATATCGTGTATGCATTGAAACGAGTATACGTGGATAACCTGTTGTTAACTTTTGCTTTTCAAACGATTGCGTTTTCGGCACGGATCGGGGAGAAATAATGTGCTTGCGAAAACATTGAGATACCTATCGTAATATTAATTTTGGATTTACCGGTTGTGATTCACGGGCATATATTATAAGTAATAAGATATGATAGTTGTATAATTTATAACGAACAGTTTATAAAACTAAGAATTTAGACGGGAACAATAATTAGGGCCGTACGTGATGGGTGTGAATGGGTGAATCGATCATACAGTATTGCAAAACGGGACTTTGATAAAATAACTATCAGTCTTGTCGAACACTTGCATTTAAATACATTTTTAAAGTGTTTATTTTTTTTTTCTACCGTATTTTTATTCCGGCGTGCAAAATATAAAACAATGTCGTATTTTATAGCGGGTTTAAGAATTTGCGTTACGATTTCTTCAAAAATGCATATTTTCGTTATTATTTATATAATTTAATAACTCGTTTATTAATTTTAAACTCTAATAGCGTAATCCGCCCAGTTATAAAATCAACCTCTCGTACAAACTCGTTTACACTAACGACGTAATTAAATAATGCGCCGACGTACAAGCGCGATATCTCCGATTCTCGAAATTATACGACATTACCGTATACTTTGAAATTATAAATGACCGTAAAAAAAAAAAAAAAACAAAAAAAACAAAAACAATACGTCCGGTTTCTAATTCGCGATTTACCGAATGCAGACATATTTCAAAGCGTACACCACCTTATGGTATAATGTACAATCGATCAAAGTAATCAATATTGAAAAAAAAAAAAATCCCGTTTTAAATACTTTTCGAATGTACCTGCCGTATAAATACATTATAAAACGCATTGGAAAAGTGTTTTCGACGCCAGCGCCCGACGACGATTAACACGACAAACAACGGTCGTCGGCGCCGACGTGCGCGCACCGCGGACGGTTGCGACGCGGTTAACCGTTCATATCGCGACGGGGAAATTCGACGTCTGCGATGCGCGATTTCGACCGTTATCGTTTTCGAACGCTTAGACGCGCGGCGAGTGTACGGACCGAACTTAAATATTATGCGCGTTAAGGCGTTCGGAGTGATAAAGGCGAACGTAGGCGGGGGAAGAGGAGGGAGGGATCTCGATAAAAAAACGATATTTATCATGTCGTATCCGCGTACGGAATGTCGCGTCTCGTTTTTTTTTTTCAAGTACAATAATATCTCCGCGCGTTTATGCGTTTTCGCTATCGGTTTTTTATTTGCCGGGCCCGCACGCGCAGAAAAACCCTCGACAATGACATTATACAGTACAAGGATGGAACCCCCTCGCCCCCCCCCCATTTTCATAAAATTAAAATCCCCGCAGATTCGGACGCGGAAGGTTATTGCGATAACCGCGGCTGCGGCGCGCCCGGAAATTTTCGACGGGCGGGGACGAAGCGAATAACAAGTATCNGACGCGGAAGGTTATTGCGATAACCGCGGCTGCGGCGCGCCCGGGAATTTTCGACGGGCGGGGACGAAGCGAATAACAAGTATCGCGTAAAACCGTCTTGTACTTTACTCGACTCCGCGCGGCCATGTGGAAATTGATGATTTAAAAGCCGGGGAAAAAAAAGCGCCGATTTCTAATCAATACGTCGCGAGTTTATCCTCGGAACATGGGTGGAATATACGCGGCGCTTAGATCGCTCGAATTTTCGTTGTATTTTCAAGCCGTCGTGGGGGGGGGGTGGTGAGGGATAGTCGGGCGTACGACAGTCCGGACGCGACAAGTAACGCGGTGGCCAACAGAACGCGGGTATTTCCTCCCGCGGGCTGTTGGCGACAGAAACCGAAGCGGTGGGCGGCGGCGAGAAACACTGCGCAGCACAGTACTCTTCGGCCGATCACCGGCAGCCGCGCCGCGACTGCACAGCGCGCCCCGACTGCACAGCGCGCCCCGACGCGTACTCCCCCCGCAATCACGCAGCGATCGGTCGGTGCGCGACCGTTTCGCGGCCCGGCGACCGGTTCCGCGCGCGTCCGGACAAGCGGTCGGCCGTCTCGTTACAACGTCGTCGCGCGCGCCCGTCTCGAAACCGTAACAAGACCGTGCTCTCGAATCGCGCCGTCGGCCGTTTAACACTGTCGGCGGCCGGCGGCGGTTGTTCGTAACGCGGCCGCACGTCACACATTACGCGTATTATTACGGGCGCGCGTTATTACACGCTGCCGCGCGATAATCATGACAATAACGCTCGGCCGTTATCAATCGAGATAAATAATCAATTGCGCGATTCGATATATTATTACAATGCGACTCGGTACATTTTTTCGATCGTGTTACCGTTATTATTATATCGCGTGCGGTGGCGGGTACAGAATCGGACTATTTTTCAGGGAGGGGGAAGGGGCGGAAATATAAAATGCTGCGGGCAATAAGATTGCAATCAAGTATCGACATCGCGATAATATTGCGGGTCTAACCGCGATATTTGAACGACGGTTCATAATTATTATCAACTCGTGTGTTATTACAACTAAAAAACATAATACAACTGACAAGCGGGGAACCGGACCTTCTCGCCCCCTCCCCTCCTTAAATCCGCCGCCGGTCGCGTGTTGCTATACAGTTTCAACGACGGTACGGCCATATACTGCAGCAGTCAGATCGACGATAAAATTTATCGAACAGTATGTAAATTATAATTTTATATGCAGTGCATGCAGCATACGCAGTGGAGTTGTTTCCGTTAATCGTCTTTTTCGCGGGTATACACTGTAACATCCGATTTTATTACGTCTTTCTTATTGCGGATTATATTGTTTATGTACGGGAAAATACACAAGTACCGATTATGTTACGAAAAATAAATAATAAATTAAATTACGTTCGAAGCTACTGGAGAGCCGACAGATTTGTTTATAATATTAAATCCTATAGTGTTATTGTTGAAAAGGAAAAAAACATAATAATAATTAAGCCATAGATCGAAATTTTCGTTTGATTTCGAATAATATGGCGTATAAAAAAGAAACGTATAGGATTTTATACCGTAGGGCGTGTTTTCGAGCCAAATATGCGCTGGTACCGGGCCGCTTAACCGTAGCATATCCTCATAAACGTATATTGTACTTTAAATAACGTTTTTTATACTTTCGGTAATTTACGGACAACATCACGTCAGACGAGCGATTCATCGTTTGTTCCGTCCGGGTATCCCATAATAGGCCGTATGTCCGTCTATTACCGTGCGATATGACGACGTAAACATACATGAGGTTTTTTCGTACGGAAAATTCGTTGTATTATTATTATTATTATTTTTTTTTTTGCACAGTTCTTCAGCACTTTTTCGGTCAGTGCAAACGCGTTGTTGTAAACCGTTCGCTTTCGTAACATTTTTGTCGCTAGAGCCGAAATAATAGTACAACATTCATAATTTTCTTATGATTTAGAATACTTCTACTTGTTTTTAAATTTTTACGGCAGTTTAAACTTAATTTTCGTATAATCCGTTTCCCATTACCCATTCCATTGTATCCATTTCCCTATGCAAACAAATAAAAAAAATATAAAATAACGCGTGTAAGACACAGGATATACACTATAACAACCTATTTACAACCAATAATATTATATACTCTCAAACCGTCGAGAGTTCCCGCTTACAGTGCAGTGTTTCCCGACTATTTTATTCTGCGCCCCCTCCCTTATCCCTCCGGTAGATTTTCAAAAATCTCACGCCTCCCTTTGTTGATCAAAAACGCTAGACACTTTTTATGCTATCCTTACGATTCCATCGTGTCGCGCTATATTACCGCCCACGTGGTACCTACACGAATTCCTCCCTAGAGAAGAATTCGTCACCCTCCCACGTCGGGAAAACGCCCGCGCGCAGTCGCGGCGCAGCGCACAACCCATAGCAGTGACCCACGGCGCGAAGTGCGCCCGCGGCTATTCGGTTAGATTATATTTTATTCATCGATAATTCGTATTTTGACTTGATACAATTCGCGTGTACATTTTGTTTACCGTGCCTACGCGCGGTTCGAGTACGTTTTATTTATAATGAGTGCGCGACGAGTGCTAGTGCCGCGTTTTCATTTCCGGATATCCGAATACATAATGTAATGTAATAATGTCCGAGAAAAATTAAAAAAAAAATAAAATAAAATAACGACACACTTTCGCGGTCGTACAATGTTTACCGCACGGCGTACGTTATAGGCGCGCCACACATTCGTACGCACGCACTCTCGGTGTTTACCTCGTGACGTACGTAACGACGCGAACGGCGGGTGTTTCGATGGGGAATCCGGTGCGGGCGCGCGAACACCCGAATCCGGAAACGTGTGCGCGACACACGAATATCCTCGTGTCCAGTGGCGTGGCGAAGTGAAATATTTTATCGGGCAGTTCATTTTTTTTTAATGACCTACCACCACCCCTCGACTAGTATAAATTATAGTACTGTAGATATATAGTATATATACTGTAACTATATAGTATAATATAGTATATAATAATACAAGCATTACAAAAATATAAACTAAAACGATAGTGCTTTAAATTGCCATATTCCTTGTTGTTTTTTACAGTATTCTGGGCTGATGGCTTTTCCTAGAACACTTATTATTAATTTTATTATTCTTATTTAATATCGTATGACATATTCTGATGAAGTTAATCTTGTACTACGATTTCTCCACAGACTCCAGTACTCAACCACCAGGCACCCGCCCACCCGCCGCTTAAAATTACCGGGCAATTGCCCCTCAAAATCACGGCCAACACGCCACTGCTCGTGTCGACTGTAGTCGCCGCTGCGCGACGCGCCGCTGTGCACCGGCGGCGGCGGGTCGCGCGCGTCGTGCTAAACGCGTACGCGCAATACGGGGTGGGGATACGGACCGACGACGAAAACAAAAACGTTATGATAATAATGATAATGCGCAGAAACGGAAAGACGCTTTTTTTTCCCCTTTTTTTTTTTTTTCTTTTCTCCGACGAACGACGGACCGTGAGAACCGTTGATGTACGCGGCTATAGCGGTACACCATTATTGTTATTATTTATTGTCGTACGGCGCTTTCGGCCGCGGCGCGGACGACATTCAATACCGTTCGGCGTGCTATTATTATTATTATTATTATTATTGTTGTTGTTGTTGAAACGGCGAGTGCGAACGCCGCGTACACGCGTCCATCTTTTTTGTTTTACGCGCGCAATATAATAACACAACGAAATATTACGTGTTTGCCGGAAATTTACCGATATTATTATCGCGTAACAGTTAGTTACCACGGACCGGTTCAAAGGCGCGTAGAGACGATGGGATAAACCTTTTTGGAAACGGTCGTGATAAAGAACCGAAACCCGGATTTACTTTTCACACGGAAAAAAAAAAAAACAACCGTCCGCGATAAAAAAAAACGCCGGATAGAATAATCGAGCCCCGCGACGTTATTATCCGACGCGAATCTGAGCGGGGAGATAGGTGGGAGGGGGTGGGAGGAAACGCCGCGAGCCGTGCGTCCGACGGAATACACGCGTACCGCGTATCGTACCTACACAGCGTACAGCGTGCGTGTACGTACGTTACACAAATTATTATCGCGACACCGAAAACGCCCGCACGCGTCGGCCGTCCCGCGATAATCGGGCGTACCCTGTAATTTTTTCCCGGGCCATTGTCCGCCGCGCGCGATCCCGGCGCCTTATCGCGGCCGATCAAAACGGTGGCGTACGCGACGTGTGTACGCGTATCACGGGGACGGACGGCGGCGTCGGCAGCAGCTGCCCGCCTCGGGTGTCGAATTCTCGGGTGCCGCGGCGACCATTTGTACCGCGAGTGTAAAACACGCGAGTGTACGTGCGCCGTGCAGTACGGGGCTCGTGGGCGACTTGCAGTTCTTGGGAAAAGAGAAATAATGAAAGAAAGAAAAATAAAAAAAGGTCGTTATATAAGTACCGCAAATAACACACGCGTGCCGCTCTTAATAAACACCGTGTTACGCGCTAAAAGCGAAGCGATACGCGCATGCGAACATATTGCGTTTGCTAGTGATACCGCGTGATAACGCGAAACATGGAAATAAAACGCTGACGAGCGCGATACGTCGAGATTACCGTATTGGCCGTACGCGCTGACTTATGCGGGGCGGACGGTTATGGGAAAACGTAACCGTGAAGACTGTTCCGGACACTGTTCAAATCGTTTTTGCCGTGGTGTTTTGCAGGCTGCGGTATGTTCGCCGAACACGCGAAAAAATGCCGTTTCGAAATATGCGAAAATATGCAACACAAACTTCCGTACGTAGCGATTTTCCGAAACGAATTTATAACTCGCGTACGGTATCTGTAATATCGCTCGAATAAAACAAACAAAAACTACACAAACGAGTAGCACGTAACTACAAGTTACGAGCCTCGGCTTATTAAAAATATTACATACTGATACAATACTACACCTCGTACACAGATCATATTTGAGTATTTAATTCTGACAGTATTACCCGCGTGTACAGCGGGATGTCCCCGTCTAAGGATTTTCGCATCTCCGTCGATAACGCACATCAATTATTCGGACGAATTTTGAAGATTCAACAGCGCAATTCGTTGGAAATTGTTCAAAATTTACCGACACCCCACCTTGATTCTTTTTATGGCCGTTTTGAATAACGAACGAATAAAAAGTTGTGCATTTTTCCGGTGATCAAGGGGTGAAAATAAAAGGTTGGTTTTCACACGCGTTCCCAGACACAATATCAGATTTGGGGAAAAAACAGCCGAACACTAATGCAGAGAACCGTAATAAAAATCCGTAGAACACGGCCGGACGGCCCGCAGTATATTGTAATAATGTACGCCGAACGGTGTGTCCCCTACAATATAATATCTTGTAATAGTTGACATAATATTATGTATAGGGTGTACGCGGTATATTATACGCCGAAATGATAACAGTAAAATATATATACATACATATATATGTATACTCGTAATTTTTTTTTCACGATATAATATACAATACGCGATCGCGAAAAAAAAAAAACGTCGATCGGTAAACGCGATTAAACGTCGGGGAAAAAGAAAAACACCGCGAATATCGTTCGAAACATAATACGAGGTGTATAGGTATTACACTGCCCTGTATATAATGTAACGCCGCTGTATAATAACATTAGGTGTGTATTACCCCCGGTGAGTACGGTATTAAACAAATGCCCGTATAGCGTTAACTCTTTTTCTGCGACGTCCAAGATGTCGTTACTGTTAATCGCAAACACGTCGAGTTGGATCCGGGTAAGGGCCGGGTGTCGGCATATCATTACTCGTGTGCGCGTATTATCGGCAATAATCGAAAATCGCGCGCGCTGTTAAACGGCCGGGTCTATTATTATTATATTTTTTTGTTTTTTAAATATTTTTTTATCGTACGCCGCACACAATACCGATTGTGATATTATATTTTGTTGCGAAACGCGTTCTACACGTTCGAATTGTTATTATTATTGTACGTACATAGAATTATAATATTGTACACCAATACAGGCATGTCGGCGACCGGATAATTATATTTTTTATGTCGCCGCCGACGAGATTAAACGCGCGCGCCCGGCACATATTGCGCGTGCGGATAATATTATAATGTACGCGACGATAAAAAAAAAAAAAAACTTTTGTAACACGCGTTATTATGTCGCTTATATACCATATACATACACACAGGTACTAGAGCTATATTATGTTTCGTAATTTTTTACACCTGTTTTCGCGGTACCCATATTGTTATAATATGCTCGCATCGTTATAATGTATGCACGTAGCTTTACTCGTATGATTTACATTTCGACGCGGTATAATTGTCGACGGTTCTGTCGCGACAATCGCGAAACGAACTTTACGCATAATAATGTACGCGCGGGAGATTTGAAAATTAATTTTTAATCGCCGCCGTGTGCGGACCGAATGATGTGGAAAATGATAATAATATCAGAGTCGATTGCGAAACGCGACACAGCCGTCACCTATTACGATTTCGGCGGTAAACGATTGTGTCATTTTGTCGGCGGACAAAAGAGTTTTTTTTTTTTGATTATTATTAAATATAGATTGCAGTATTACATATTATTACTATAATCACACGTACACACGATTGCGCAGCGCGAAAAACCGTATCGCAACGTTTGGACAGTGAAGTGACGATAGGGGGGGAGAGGGGTTTTGGTGTTCAAACACCCCCACTCCTTTTGACCGTATATATTTATGCCGAAAATCATCGTTACCATACGCTTCAGATTTCTACAAGATGTGGTACGCATAGAAAATTATTAGGTATACCTATGCGTTATGCGCAGTGCCTGATTTAAAGAAATCTGTGCCTTGAGCACAGCATACTGATCATTTTTTATATATCTATAATGAAAACGGAGGGCTAAAAAATTGGGAGCTTTGTGCTCGTGCACCGCGTGAATTCTGTTAATTATCCAGTATATCCTGTAGGCGGGCCCCTGATCCGCGCATGGGCCCTGGACAATCCCCATAGTGTCCTTGCGTAATTATGGCACCGGTTATACGTGATTTGTGTCACATTCGCACAATTAAGTTACAAAGTCGCATCGATCTAAACACGAAGTTTATATATCCCCTCTAAAAACAATTCCGGTTATACGCCACCGCTAAACGGACCGTTTACGATTTGATCGACGTTGTATACGTCGCGGTACATTATCGGTCATTTAAATCGGTCCTAATTCGTGATAAATACTTTTTTTCCTGCGCCGGTCTACGTTATAATAATTATATATGTATTATATGTATATTGTGTATTTTGCATAGGTAGCGGTACCTACAGCATCATATTATACATATTGTATACGCATAATAATAAACCGATCAACAAGACTTGTCGGCGACATTAAAAGGGAAACACCCTTTTTTTTCTCTTCATCTCGATAAAAACTATATATTATTCGTTTAAAACCTTTTTTTTTTTTCCGTCCGGTTCGAACAATATACAGCATATACGGTTTGACGTATTTTTTTTTAATATATATTATTTTCTATCGCTTATACAATATATAGGTATACGTATACGTATCGATGTCCCCTCGCGCCTATATTTATAATCTACCGGAGTATAATATTACACACTCACACACGACATATTATAAACTTGTTTATTTATTAATATATGCGCATTAATATTATATATAGGTACTCCCGTACGTGTGTATATAGTTATATACCGTCGTATACGTACGCGTTCAAGTACTAAAGTACCGCCACCGAGCAAAAAAAAAAAGAACAAAAAAAAAACCTTAAACGGGCTTCGAAAAATCTGACGTACCTATAATATTTGATTTTTGAATAATATAATAAAATGTGGTAATAATGTATCGTGTATACATACTATACTATACGAGTATACTATAATCGTGCCACCGGATATTTTTGCGGATATACGGGGACGAATTCTGCATGCACGGATTTTGTAAACTCGCGGTCGAATAAATCGTTTACGAAATCGCAGTAGTCTAAAAAACGAATCGAGTAAGTGGGCGAGACGAGCGATTTATGAAAAGATATTAATTTACAGTTTATGCATGTAATCGGCGAATGATCAGACGAGAAACATGGGAGTTCGTATATAACCGTCAACGGTGTGGTCAGGATTTCTCAATGGGGACGGGCCACCATCAGCTATAGGTCTTGTCGTTTTAGCCAACCCTTTCTGTCGTTCGATGCTCTCTCCGCGTCTGTGCAAGAATCAAGATCCGAGTGCTTTACCGTATCTTTAAAAAACAGATTCTCGGTCTTTCTCGGTTTTTTCTTCCCGTAATCCTTTCTTCGGAAATGGTCTCCATAAACGTGTCTCTGCAGTCGGATGATAATATAAGACCAGTTTGTTTTGTCTTTCTCTTCATGACGAACCGTTTTAAAACAATTCGCGTTTGCTTGTTCTAAACTTCTTTAGTTTTTCTCTCTATCCAACTTGTACCTATATCATCATTCTCCTCCACACCGATATTTACACGGTATCCAGTCCATTAGTTAACGGTCTACGTTTTGTCAGATCACTCCGAGCGAACACGTCTTGGGTTAGGGTTTATATTTACACGATGATTTTATAAGATAGGTGCGTTTTTAGTACAATCGGACAAAATTATCGGTCGCCGAAACGTAAAGTTGGACATAAACTATAATCGTTTTTACGATAACCGTGCTTCACGTTCAAATTGAACAACCAAAGGACGCCCTAATATACGTTATAAACGACAGACTAGAGATCACGATTTTTTTCAGATTGGATGGGAGGGGGTCTAAATATACAATTTATCACCGACTATCAATAATTATTGTTCGTCGGGTAAAAAATAATTGAAACGTAACGGGTACAGGGAAAATCAAAGTCCCGTCTGATTTCACGACGAGAAGCTGAAATATCCGTTGAGTTTCCCCGGAAATAATACGACGCTTTTGTCTTCGCCGTGAAACTCTCGCGGTACTCCGGATCGCCGCAGCCGCCGCCGGTAGAATATTAGCACTCGGTTCCCCGAGCGCGGGAATCGGATCCGTCGGGGGAGAGAAAAAAATTCAAAGACAAATTTAAAAAAAAAAAAAAAAAGCCCGTTCGCGTGCATAATAGTATAATACGGCCGGTACGCTAATCGCCGCGGCGGACGCACCCGCGACGGTTTTGTCGCATTAATTCCGGAATTTTGCAGCGGCTCGCGCGAGCAAGCGTATACGGTTACGCGAGCGCGCGCGCGCGCGTGTGGTGTGTCGCGGTATACCGACGGCGGCACGTCTGTCGCGCGTGCGGTCAGCCGGTCGCTAATGCAGCAATAATAATAATGATAATAATAATGCGTCCGAGCGATAAGTATACGTACCTATAATATAATATTGTTAATACTTACGGTTTTTTTATTCTTCCCTCCCCCCCCCTCCCGACCGGAGACACTCGCGTGCACGAGACGGCGGACAGCACGCACACGCGGACATTAGACCGTACCCGGCGTACACACTGGCGACGCGGCGACGGACACATGCCGTGCGACGCGGCGGCGGCGGCGGCGACGACCACGGAGACGACGACAAGTGGGTATTGCTTTTCCCGTGCGTGCACCGCCGCCGCGTTTTTCTCCCGTATAAACCGTACGCGGCGTGTGTGACGGGCATAAAGGCGTACAGTCGCGCCGCCGCGAGGCTGCTGTCGCCGCGACCGGCCGTGGACCCGGTGTCCGGTTACGACCGGACCGCGCGCGGCATCGTCACGCGACCGCGACGTTACCGATAACAATACGCGTCTGCCTGCCCCGTCCCCCGTTTACACGGCTCGTCGAATCGGGTTTTCCGTCGCGCGCCCTATACACCCGCCTGCGCGCACATGTAACTCGTACGCACAGCAACAATAACGTAACGACCGGTGGCGGCGCGAAGCGGGTGTATTCGATTTCACTCGATTCACGAAAAACCGGGCGGGTGGGTCGCGGGCGGGCCCGGGAAATATAACGATTGGTCGGTTAACGCTTAATTCAAATCAGAAGTAAAGTATAGGAATGGTGCGTAAAAATGTACGCAAAATGAATTCATATTGTACCTGGCTCGTCTACAAAGCCCGCGATCGGATCGGATTCGCACTGAAAAATGTGTGACGATAATCTTTCGGGGGAAAAAAAAAAAATTCTTCCGAATCGATCCGTAACCGTGAATAATAATGTTTGACGATGTTATTAAAAAAAAAAAAAAAGAAGAAGAAAAATACGCTACGAATCTATAGAATCTTCTTTTTTAATTTTTTTTTTCTTTTTTCGAAGCCGGTTAAAAATACACCGACGTTCAACTCTCAGCGCGGGGGAGGCTCGTCGTCCTCTCGCTGACAGATGTGCCGCGTCAAAACATACAAAGCGTGTGCGACGTATTACGGCGTTTGCGGGGACAAGGGGCCGAGTGCACACAATATCGTCGTCGGGTCCTCGTCGACGAGACACCGTCGTTGGTGGGCGAACCAGTGCCACGGGTGTCATCGCGGTCCCTATATATATACACACACACGTTTATAATGTAGGTATACGAAAACGTTGTTTTACGGCTGACAGCGCGTCGCCGCCCCCACGACCGGATAGACAAAAAGAAAAAAAAAAAAACAACGTTTCTAAACTTAGCGATTTCGTGAAAATAATACGGCGTCCGTGTCGCGCGTACCCGCCGAGGCATTCCACGCGCCTAGATTCTGAGCGCAGCGAGGAATGTATTGGTTTTACAATGATGTTTATTTTTTTTCTTTGTAGACAACTTTTCTACCTGTAATTTCGCTCCGATTTTCAAGTATAAAGCACCTTTTCCGAAAGGAAATCTGACTGGGATGGTACTTAAGTGTGGCCATTTTTTTATTTTTCCAGCTGTTTTCAGATAAATGGGAATAACGGGAAAATGTACGAAATGTATGATTTTCAAATCGTAAACATATTACGGCCTTTTAAAACTTGTCTAACCGAACTCTGCTCATAATCGTTTTTTCTTAGCAACGATCAATCGCGAAGTGCGTCTGAATCTTTTTTTTTTGTTACTCACGAGGATGCGGGCATATTTATACTTCAAATGATTTTTTTACGTTTCGGTATCAATTTTTTATTTCACTAAATTTGTGATTTTTAATTCATTTTTTAAAGTTTAGGAAAAAATACGTATAATTATGCAGTAGGCATTATAAAAGCATTCGCCAATTGATTGATGTTATTATTGTGGTTGCATACTTTTTTTTTCTCGACTTTAAGAAACTTCAAAATCATGAATTCAATGAAAATACAAAGTCGATATGTAAACAATGCTTAGAATGGCTGCTTACATATGTTTCAAAAATAATAAAACAAAAAGTTATTTATATTTATCAAAACGTAAAAAAATAATTGAAATATAAATATTTGTAGACCTTATATCTGAGAGTTATGTAAAAAAAAAAAAAAACATAATTTGATTATTTTTATTACCTCGGGAGATATTGCAACGAGTATGTCTTCGTGGTACAGTCCGTGTTATTTTCGCTTTTATGCCCGATCCACAAAGTCAACGGTCGTTTTTGAAAAAACATAACAAAAGCCTATGTATCGTTTGCGATAAATCGAGTTCCCGGTCTTCGCGACTGGGCGGCGGCGATTTTTCACGGTTAAATTGTCGGATGAATATACTCGGTCATTTAGTTTTCAAGCCGACGGGAAAATGTAGGGGATATGATTCCCGTCATCGTTCCCTCTTTTATACCCGACTCGTCCAGCGACGACCAAAACGATGATCTGTCGTTGTTGCTATATCGTCGACGATGGTTAATATTCAACGAAGTTTGAGAAACTTACCTATAGGGGAGGAAAAAACCATCGAATTGTCGACGGTTAAATGTAAATTTGTAACAACAGCGTTATAAATAAATACAAATGTTGTAAAATTAAAAAAAAAAAAAAAAAACAATCCGTAATTTTTTCCCCACTTTCGCTCCGTTGAACTTTTTTTTGACATACGTATACATTATTAATATACTGTCAATACTTTTTCCGAGAGTTGGTCGCCCGCGGGTTTACTCATCCAGAACTCTGGACTTAATCTTCAAATCACTACTGTAGAGTTGAGAGTAAAATACGTACTTATTATTTTTCATCGACTGAACTCAATACGATCAGTGTTTGTGTAGATATGAATGAAGATAAAAGATAATCGGTAGAATACTTATCCGGACGAACATATCAGATATGCTGTATCGATTTGATTAAGATAAATATATAGCAACTTAGATACCTGTATAGATAAAAAAAAGAGATAATTTGTTTCATAAAACAAAGTGTTAAACGTATAGTTAAAGTGTTTCTGCAAATGTGTTTGGAACACATTTATAAATTTCAAAAAAGGTCGTGCGATTGACGTTACTTAAATGTAAATTAAGTATTTTATGAATATTATGTCTATAATAATAATAAAAAGTAATAAATTACAATTTACTATAATTGATCTAGACGCGATTCAATTTGACGTTTATCTCGGATAACTTATTTCCCATACATCTGAATAAGATACAAAAGTTATACGAATGTATCTGTAGATAATTCGGCTACACAACACAAAACTGCACCGGTGATCGAGGGTTAAGTGTTATTATTTCCAGTGGCGCGTTTAGGGGCGTTTTAAAACGGCGATCGTCCCGGGGCGTCAAAATGTCAAGGGCGGTAAAATGTATTCAAACGTTTTCGGTGCGTGGCGATTTGTGTATAGAGGTCAGAGGAAGCAGGAGGTTCCTTGGCATAAGAAAATAAAGAAAATGTTTAAGTGATGCCGATGTACCCGCGTAAATGAGAGGGGCGTGGAAAGGAAAATTATTTCGGCCCGGGCCGTGAAAATTATATTAGACTCGTCGAATATACCCGACCGTATAACGTTTCGGCGGTTTTGTCTTTCGTGTTTTATTTTATTTTTATTTTTTATCGTCCCGACAACCTCGTCGCATTAACCGTCGTCACTGTATATTAATAACCATAATAATATCATGTTATTATGCACGGACGAACTTGCAATAATATTCTTGTATATTATATTTCGTGTGGTCGCGCGTTACACGCTATACAGGGCGATCGACGGTCGACAAGACGCTCGTCGTTTCGGAACGTATTAACGTTTCTCGAAATTTGTTTCGGAAGTATTTAAAAAAACGGACATAGTTCGCACGTTGGACGGGGCCATTGTTTTAGGTGAGCAGCTGGGAAGGTTGGACACGGAGGAGAATCCAATGTCTGTCTCTACGCAACGATGATAAACCGTCGAAAACCGATTCGGAGCGAAGTTTCGTTCATATATACGTGTATATTTTCGCGCTAAAACGATCGGCGGAGACGTAACGGCGAAGCAATACGCGTTTTAAAGCCGTTCGTTTTGAATATTTTCCGGATAAAAAGTCGATAATAGTATCGAAGATGTTTTGATAAATTTCAATTTTTTTTCGTGGAGCAAAAAAAAACTGTGTGGCAAAACAACAGCAAAACAGTTTTGAACGATGTTTGTCACGGAAAACAATAAAATTACTCGTCGTACACACAACACCTATTGTGCACGGAGCACGTAAGCATTGAAATGCGGTACACGTCCTTTTAACAAATCAATATCGACGTAATTATACATTTTAAAAGGGCGTCCGGATATCGTTTAGTGGACGTTACTCGATTTCCCGTACAATGAAATACGGCCCATTTACCGGTTAACACGATGCTAATTTTTTCGACCGTTCGCGATGTTCGGCGGTATACGGTCAATCAGACGAAACACCGTCGATATTAATTGCCGCGCACTCGCGGAGACGGCCGGGCGTTTTGTCCGAGCGCCGATCGCGCCCTGTATGTCACAGTGACGGGTACGCGTTAACGATATTCTCGAGCGCGGCACCATGATACGGTTGTCGGCGAGCGCCGCGGGTATACATTTCAACGCGCCGTCACCTGGACTCGGCGGCGCACTACCGCGCTATAATAATAATAATAATAACGATGACGGTATACGTATCCGCGGCCGGCCGTACAACAATAATACGCGCGTAAGCAATACGCACCCGTATCCGTCGCGGTGTAATCGCGCGCAGCGGGAATCCGCGTACCGGGCCGGTAATTAGCCCCGGCCGTCGTCGCGGGGCCGGGGCGCGGTCGCCGCGCCATCACGCTGTGCCGAACCCGTTGTCCCCGCGAGAGTCGCGACGTCGTCGTCGTCGTCGTCGTCGCGCGCACATAATATCGCGCATTATTATTATTATTATTATTATTGTTGTTTATAGGGGTTGATGTGTTCTATTGTTTACTCGCGCGGCGGCGCTGTATCGCGTTACGCCGCCGACAACGACTACGGTAATCCGCGGTGCCCCCCCCCACCCCCGGCGCGCGCGCTCGCCGGTCCCGTCCGAGATTTTACGCGCGCGCATACCTACACAGCAACGATAATCGTCCGTGCGGGGATAACGTTGACGATAACAATAATAATAATAATAATAATACGTAGTAATACGACACGGAACCGTGCCGGGCGCCCGCGGAATGGCCAGATGGAAACAGATTTTACCGTTCGTACCTACGCGTATACGCGCAGACAGTCGCGCGTATTGTCGTTATCGCCGGACGCTTTTCGGATGTCCCGCCGGGAATCGCGACCGTACCGCGGTGATCCCGACTCGCCGGATCGGCGTCCGCCCGTTTTCGGCCGGCAGCGAGGGCGGATCCGGGATCCGTTTGCGGTGGAGCGCAGTCATTTCTTCCGCGCTGCAGTTTTGATTCGTCCACGCGTACGAAATTATTGAAACATAGCAATATTGTGATACGATAATTGTAAAAAAAAAAAAAACTGAATTGTAACTGTCGGTTTCTCGAATGCATCCCGTAATATGCGTAATGTGTATAGTATATTTATTTATTTATTTATTCGATAATTTTTGAAATTATGGACATTTTCATTTTATAAGTTAGAGCTGCTAGAGGGGGGAATTTTAAACCCGTTTACCGTTTTTGTTTTATAAAATATATTAAATGGCTTTATAACGTTTTTTATTTTTTTTTTCTGGTGGATATTATGTGCATAAATAACCGTACCGCCGCCTCTCGTTTTGTACGATAAAAAAAGTGAATATTGACATAAATCCGGATTATCCGAAGTCCGGATTTCGGATTTAAACTTCCGAAAATTCCAATTTTGGATTTTAAAATTCGAGTTTTTGTATTCTCTAAATTCGAAAAGCCGGATTTTACCCATTGCCGAACAATAATTACGCTGCTGTTACGTGCAGTTTCTGTTGTGGATGGGAAGTTGAGAAAGCATATAATATGACGCATAAAGTTATATAATTTTTATCTGTAAGCATCGATAAACCATTGCTGGTTTATTTTTCGATTGGAGTAAGATTTCTGATGAGAAACAAAAATGTATGGTGCGATATCGCAACAATACTTTCGTTGGTCCTCTCCGTTTTTCTTCCTCGAAAATCCCGTACTGTACGCGCGTTAATCGAACGATTGAGTTTGGAAGTAAAACCGTTCGTACGGTCTATGCAAAGTGTGGGGAGGGCCGAGGACCCCGGGTCCCCTCCCCCGCAACTCCCGGATCCGCTGCGGCGTTTCGGCGACTGCTACGGCGGCGAGATCGTATCGGACGCCGCGACGGACCGGTCGGTCGGTCGGCCGGCCGGCCGGAGCCCGGGGCCCGGGTAGCGTCTCGACAAAGGGAACGCGGCGGCGGCGTTGGAGTCTGCGGCGAGTTTCTGGCGGCGGCGTTTCGGGTTACACGCGCCGCACAGCGATACATTCAAATAACCGTAATAATAATATTATAACTATACGGCGATCCGGGTCACCTGGCTTGCGGTCAGCCACGTGGTAGCTAATGCGGGCGATATTTTGTACCACCGCGGCAGCGCAGATGTGTCTCGGACGGAAAGCAAAACGAAAAAGACAAAAAAAAAAAAAAACGATATTTTACGGATAAGAAGAGACCGCGGTAACACGAAAAGGAAAACCGTAATATTACGTATCGGGCGGCTTTCACGGGCGCGTAGTGTACGCCGCACGTTCTGCGCGACATACGATACCGTATTTATAATGTATTATCATTATTATTATTACTCTGCGTATCGGTCCGAAGACGCACGGCGGCGTCTTTGCCGCGGTCGTTCGCCGTCGCTCGCCATTACCGGCGGACCGTGCTCGCGCGTGTTTTTATAACACGAGGTTTATTTTTTATTTTTTTTTTTTCTCCGGTCCACGTCAAACCGATTTTTTCCCGTTTTCCTCCTGCCCGTTGTTCATTCATGATTTCCAACAGCCCCGCGCCCCCCGGTATAAGACCCGTTTGCCGGATTAAGACTCGCGTACGCCGCCGTCCGTAGTGGCGCGTCCGCGGTGGTCCGCGTACGGGTCATTTTCGGTTTTCGGAACGCGTCAAATACTACGCGTTGTACACGTCGCGTTTTACACGTCATTACGTACGGTTTGACCGGGGCAGGGGGTCCGGCCGAATCGTCGGGATCGTATCGATTGGGAAAAATCATAAAAAAAAAAAAAAGAAAAAGATCACGTGCTTTGCACGACGAGCTGAGAATTACCCGTTATTTCCCGGGCTCGGCCCTTTTCAAAGAAAAAAAAAAAAAAATCAACAATAGAAATCGATAAACTTGCGAAATCCGATTTTTAACGCTTCTCCCCGGTTACAGCCTTATCACCGCGGCGTTGCCTGGTAATTATTATTGCGCGTTTCTAAAAGGATATCATAGCTCGTATACGTCTGTGATGATGACAAGCGAACGAAATAAAATATAATACAACCTGGTTTTTTCCACACGACGACCGATAAATCGACAAAAAAAAAAATTCAATTCAATTTTCAACGTCCCTCTCGAAAAATTGAAAAATTGAGCAATGCTCCGGTCGGGTCCCAATAAATATTCGTATTAATAATAATATCGTCGGCGACAATATGAAACCGGTTGCCGACGGACAAATTAACCGTTGTAGACTAAAGGTTTGTTCTTATAGTTATCGACGTGTTAACGTGTTGTGTATAGGAAATTTATCGTTGCGCAATTCAACCAGCACGTAATTATTTAGGTTTTTAGTCGACTACGGGACAAACAATTTCTTCGCTTTTGTTTCGGCTATTTCAGATACTGCACGATAGTCGTTTTTATTGTACAGCACGCATTTTTCAGTATTGTTTATCGTAGGATAAAAATAACGGGTCAAATCATTTTCGAAATTCGGCAAAATTTTTTATTCACGTACCGCCCCTCCGTCGATTTTTTTTTTTTTTCATTTGAACGGTTTTTTTTTTTCGAACGACGTTTGGTTGCACATTTCTCGCGAGTCACACTGCAACACGCGCGTAGCAGCCTAATATTATAACCGTACGGCACGCGATAACAACTTGCGTAAAGACGAATTATTGTCGTTATCATACACATTTACCACGTCATAACTCGTAAATTTTCACGCGTCATCGTGGCGATATTGTATTATCTTTACATACGTAATGACCGTACGTAATGTTTTCGCGCGTAATCCGAGATTCGGTGTATATGTAGTACGCTTGGAATATTATGCAACAATTCGCGTGTCGCAACGAAAAACGGCCGTGCGCTTATGCCAGATGTTCTGTACAGGATCCTCTAATCGTCCGATATCGTCCCCACGCCAAACGTTCGCATCTCCGGTGCCGTAACGAGGGGGGGGGGGAGGAGAAACCGAACATGCCCTAGAACCGTTACGTTAATAAACGAACGATTGTCGCAAAGAACGAGATTCGGATTTCCCGGGCGCGTCCGATGGCGAGCTGTGTACGAGAGATAGTACAATCGAAAACCCCGTCGTCTGATTGTGAATATCGCTCGGCTTCGGCTTTTTCCCCGAGTGAATCCGCGGGGGCTCGCGGTCTCGGTTCGTCCGCGACCGTTTCGGTCGAATCCCACCGGACGGGCAGGGCCGTAGACGAAAAAAGACGGACCACTCCCCGGGTCCGGGCCGCTCTCGTCCTTTTCGTCGCCATCATACGCTCTCTCACGGAGGGGCATGAACCCGGAACGGACGCCGAGTCGACAATTGCGCGTGAAATAATTATTAACGACCGCGCAAACGCAATTAACGCGCGCGGGTATGAAACCCGAAAAAAACGGCCGCGGGATTTCGCGGACACATCGCGTCCTAACCGTAATAATATACGCGGGACGGGGGGGGGCGTTGTTGTCGCAATGATTCGTAACAAGCGCGCCCCGCGCACTGCGCGGCACGTGATGATATTATAAATTGCACTGGAGGTGAACGCGAGAGGTCGGAAAATCGTTTAATTTCGCACGGTTAAACGGCGGATAGAGTGAGGGACCGTCGCACGGGTCTTGATAAATAATTTATCGCCGTTGCCGCGCGTGTTCGGCGTATACGACGTGTACGCGCGCACACACACACACACACACACACACACATTCTGTATATACATACAGTTTTGTATAATAAACGACGGCGAGACTATCGTCGTAAACGAGGGGAAATTCGGGGTCGGATAAGGGCCTGCACTCGACGCGGACGGAGTACGCCTTCCAGCCGCCGCCGTCGTCGATCGGTCCGTCGTCGCGCGCAAAGTCATTAAGTGCGACAACGGCGGCGGCGGCGGCGTAGAGACACAACGACCACGGCTATGCCGGCCGTACACAATAATAATATATACAGGGTACCCGGATTCGAGTGTTTGTCAAACAGCGGGCGGCTGTCGAATTTTAATCGCTCGCGCGCAGTCCTCTGCAAATACGTAATAACAATACACAACGATATAATAATTATTACAGTGCTATTATGTATATTGCGTTATTATTGTTACGATATAATAGACGCAGGTACCTATACGGGCGCGGTGTACGGCTTTTGCCTTTTCGCCGTTTGCTATTGTCGCGACGACGTCGTTTCCCCCCGTAACGTGTCGCCGGCGAAATTCGCGTCCTCTACAACGACCGTCGACACTCTAGAAAGTATACTAGCCCGTCGCGGCTAAAACCAGTGACAGGTATAAGCGGAAAAAATCGAATCGAAATTTCTTTTTTAAATTTAGACATACCATTGCACGGTCTATAATCGAGTCGCTGTGGGCCCTACCTCTTTAAACGCTTAAAAAAAAAAAAAAAAACCGACAATAATTTGTTCACACTGTTGCGACGACAGAGGCGATGGGTTCGTTTCGGCGGAAAACGGCGACGCCCTCCGCGAACTGTATTACGTGGACACGGTCGGCCACCGGAATTTCGTCATAGCCGTCCGCTATTTAAAAGGCTATTTAGAGGGCGTATCCATCCGTTGTCTGAGAGATTTCGGCGTTTTGTACATTCGCATGCGGCGTGTACACTTATTGCGCGTATCTTACACGCGCGGCTCCGGAGGACTGCGGCACCGCGGGCTTTTGCGCTCGCGGGGCGTGATTTGCACGGGGAATTTAAAGGCGCGCGTTATAGTGCGTTATGCTGCCACCGCCGCCGCCGTTGCTTCTGGATTTCGATGTTCGCCGTATACCGAGCAGATTCGAGAAAGAAAACATCAAACGGCCGCGTAATAAGCCCCTCGCTGTGACCGGCACACGCACTTATAATGTTATATACCTTTTTTATAAACTCACTTATTCGGCGCGGGCGCCTTTGACGCGTGCAACGCGCCCAAAAGCAATTTTAATTCTTATAGCGGCCGCCCCGCAAAATCCGTCACTGTCACGTGTCGCTTCGCAGCCGCTGCCGACGTCTCGTTTGGTTTTTAATCGATCACCCGTGACACTATAATATCATTTACAACTATTATTATTATTTTAGATTTTCAGCGCAATAGCGATGAACTATTTGGTTTTGCTATGACGTATGTTTTCGATTTTTTTGTACGTGTGTAAACAGCTCTTCTACCAGAAATATAGCTCTGATCATTAACTTCGGAGAGGGGAGTCGAGATGTTTACATGATTTCGGGTGGCGAATTTTGTCAAGTCGGTGCATTCAGTTAGGTAATTTTCCTTTTAGTTTTCTTGAAAAACGACGGAGGAGAAACGGGAATAACGCGGTTTTTGTTAATTTCGATTTTGTTCTTTTGGCTAAAAAGATAAGAAGAAACGCTCGCGGGAATTCGACGCATGGATTCGATTTACCTTTATATAAATTATTCTTACGGAAATATAAAAACATCGAAAATCCGTAGTTTACGGAATTTCGCGTAATACGAGTCATGTGGCTAAACAATTTTGCATTCAAAGAAATGCTTAAAATTGTATGGGGGGAAAAACACGGACAAATGTACTTTTTTTTTTATACGATTAAAAATTACTACAATTTTCAGTATAAATTTATCAATACTGTACGTTTGACCGAACTACGCTCAGAATCGTTTTTTCAGTGACGACGGTTTGTATCGTTGAGTACGTATCACATGATAATAATATCACCATATATATTATTATCCTATACCTACTAAACTTTCCGCCTAAAACAAGGGCAGTTTATTATTATTGATGCACGAGCGAAAAATCGTCCGAAATCACTAATGCGGCTGTTAAAATCATTCCGTTAAAAATCTCTCAGATAAATGTCGTCCGTCATCTTATTCAAAATTGCGAATACTGTATAGGGATTTAAAAAAAAAAAAATTGATTCGAGTCCGCGAGTTTACTGTTGAAATTGAAATCCCGGATCAAACCGTGAGTTTACGATTGAAACAAACATCGAAATTAAACGTTATAACGTTCAGCGTTATTCCCGATTCGTCTGTCAGTTTTTGTTCTATCGTTGAAATTATTGGCCGTACGCTAATATCGTGCAATAGACTCAAAAGTTAATGGATACGGCGATGTCTGCTGCAGTGTAGAAGGACCGAACATTCTTTTGAACGTCCATTCTCCGGATTGAACGCATTTTAATTTATATTTAATTTTAATTGATGATGCCGAGTGCGTTGTCAATATAACGGCAATAATGTATAATCTATTTTCGAGCACTGTTATGAATTATTCGAGCATCATCGCGCGGCTTAATAAATACCCCCACTATACACGTTAACGTAGATGATTAATAATAAATATTTTCCTGTACGATCGTCATAGTACGACACACGCGTATTGTATATTCCATTATGATTTAAAAAATGAAAATATGCCATTGTACACGTTACGACGGCAGTGTCGAGTATATCAGTTTTCAATTAAAAATAACACGTGGGGGACACGCGAAGAAATGCCGTTACGGATTAAACCGTCGATTTCAAACGGTCATTTAAACACTGCCGTTTCCTTTATGTACACCTGTATACTCTTAAGGTTCCACTCGCAACAGTGTTTTATAATTCGGACTCGACCATAATTGTTATACTGCAATATAGGGGGGGGGAGTTTAATACAACAACCGTCACGATTAACAAGGCATATGATATGCCTTGGTAATACGTATCTTACATATAAATCTTCTTTCGCGTGAATACTGAACAGGCATTTACTCCGTGGCATAATTAGGTTACGGGTTACAGGAACATCTGTACAGTAGCCTAAGTCACGGTCTCCCGATTTCTCTAGACTTGCACATGGCGTTTTTTTTTTGGCCGCCACCGACGTATACGTGTACGAACAACATATACGATTTCTTTTACTCGTCATCATATACGCATTTAATACACGGACTATAATAATAATAATTTATAATCGCGCGCGCGTCACGATCGGGAATAATTCTATCGGTCTCTAAACAAGGTTGGTCGGTCGGTCGAGATTTATGTGTACCGCGAGAAAGCGAGAAACGGCGCGCGTGCTAGTGCAAGTCGGAGGAGTAGGGGAAAAAAAAAGTAGAAGCGAATTATACATTCATATACACGAGTTTTATAATTTGTTTTCGCGAGCGAATCGATTTATTATTTCAATCAACTGCTAATATATAGCGTGCGTGTAATAATGTTATTATTATGTGTCCCCCGCATCGCACGGGTGCAAATGTACAGCTGACGCGTGTAGCTGCTGGATGCTGGCGCTCGGCGCCGCAGCGGCGAAAAGGAAATTGTCTGTGATGCAGTTACGTACACCAGCAATAACGTTCCTCTCGCCGTCCCTTTTCGAGCCTTTATATTATCGTTATTATTATTATTATATTATGCGAAATCGTATAAATCAATTTTTTGACTGCCGGCCGACGATTTGGGCGGCGATGGTGTGACGAGCGATGGCGACGACGGCGTTGCTATGGCAAAACATCATCTCGTCGCGAGCGCGGTACATATATTATATTTAATATTTATACACAATCCACGCGGCATCAGCAACGTGAAGTTATTTTATTATTATTATTTTTTTTTTCCAGAGGAATATTGAAAGTTTCGAAAAACCCCGACGACCGAGAGCGCGTTTGATCCGTCCACGAAAACCTTTTGGTTTATTACGCGAGAGCGTGTGGCGAAAAAGCTATTATATATAATATTTATACGATATTGGTTATATTATATTAACGATATGCGTTATTTTTTTTTTTTTTATACCCGAGAAACGCTCTTTCGGTTCACTAAAAATGCTCAGATTTTTTTGCGCAGTAGCTATATATATAGTCGCGTACCTTATATCATATTCCATTAAAAACGACGGATTTGTCAAACCGAATTCCCATGTAGATATTTCTCGACGATTTTTCCATATGATTTAATAATGTGTCGATAAGTGCGTGTACAGATTTTATTATATTGCGACCGACCTTTTACGAGTTACTTTTTAGCCGAAACGAGGAACGGAAACAATAACGACTAAACACTATGTACTAGTATTATTATCACTGTTCAACTAGGAATCGTGTTCGATCGCAATGATTTCTCGGCGTTTTAACATTGTCCACATCGAATTACCCCGTATCTCGTGTATACGTATCCCGTAGACGTACATCATCGAAGTTCCCGGCGCGTATGACTCACCCGGTGCATACCGGCTGGAAATGTAGTTCTTAAAAAGTGTCGCGAACGTTCCGCGAAAAGAGCGCCGTGTTCAAAAAAATGCGCTCCCTTTTGGAAAAAAAAAAAATGATTTATCGTCGCTTTTTCACGTTATACTCATAATAATACGTTATAAACAAAATAATTACCGGCGGGAGTTACCCACGGTGCGCGAAGTGTGTCACATACTTTTTTCTTTTTTCTTTCTTTTACTCGTTTGTACTATTTAGCGTTGTAATAATGCAACAATAATAGTACTCGTGCGCGTATAGAGTTATCAATTTTCCGAACACCGCAGTCATATCCGGCGACTGCAGGTGCCGTTTCCGCCGCGGGATTCGTATTCACAACGCGCGTGTTATTGTTGTTACGCGCGAATTCGACGCGACGGCCGTACGCGTACACGCACAGTAATAATGTTATACCCGATATTATTATTATTATTATTATCATATTATTATTATTATCATATTATTATTATTATTATCATATTATTATTATTATTGTTATTGTCAATGGCGACGGACGGGCGGCCCGAGAGTCACGGGACCGTATAAAACAAACGTACGCGTAACGCGCGGCGTTGTACAATCGTTATCGGCGACGTGGCCGAGGACGGGGGCGGGGACGCTGAGTGTCGTGACCCATATCGTGCCCGCGGGTTTTTTTTTTTTTTTCCCAGCCGTTACGGAAAAGGTTAAGAAGACCGTAAACCCGTCGTCGTACTACCCCCTCCCACACACACACACCACCGAAACCCTTCCGCCCGTTGACGAATCCCGGCTTCGCCGCCGACCGTTGTTATCGTCGTCCCCGTCGTCGTCACCGTGATCGTATTATAAGCGCGCGTCCGTGTCGTCAACGACCCGTAATAATAATAATAACAACAACAACAATAATAAAATAATAAACGGGGCGGGAAATCGCGAATCCGCGTCCTGCGCCAGTCCGGCGCGTTTACCGAATGGATTCGCGTGGTATACCAGTAAACGCATGTGCGTGCTATGATTTCGCATTGTCTTTCCGATAATACAGTCGTCCGCTGCACGTGTCGTGCCCATCACTCACACCCGGTTTACAATAAGACAATAATGTACTTGATCCGAAAATATCGGGTTGAAAACTATTATGCATGATACCCGTAAAACGATAATTGTTGACGTTACGATTTCAAATAATTCGGTTTTTTTAGTTGATAATAAGCGGATAAAAAAAATATTGTATATAGCCGGAGATATGCTATGGGTGAAACGGGTGGAATAGTATACACAATACGCGTTGGCCAATTCTTTTAAGGGAGGGGTTTTGTTTTTCAATGGAAGACCTAAATTTTAAAATGCACTTTTTTTCGGATTTTTATACCTAGTGTCCACAATTATACCTAACTGCAGTCACGGCTTATTGAAACCGTCATGGTGCGTCACAGTCGGATACTCGAAGTGTTATAATACGATCCGAGACGAATATATTAATAACGTGCAAGGTACGGCGCGCCGCGTGAGGGGAGGGGGGAGACGAGGGCGTAAAATGTTGTGAAACCGCGAAAACGCGTCGGATGCGCGTCTGTATGTCTGCGGGTATAAAACCGCGCCGATTCGAAATCCGTTCGAGATCCCCGATCAATTGTTACAGTCGATAACACGGCCGACGACCGCGATGAAAGACAATCGTCCCGTCGCGGTAATATTGCAACACGCGCGCATCGACTGCAATTACAAACCGGGGGTAAACATTATCGCTCTTCTAGTATGTTTCTTGTTCGCCGCTCGCGCGCGCGAATAAAAAACGAGAATATAATACGCCGCAGGGGAGTGGCCGCAGCGGGGAGGGGAGGGAGGGGAGTATCGCGCGCCCCACCCGGAACGCGCCGAGTCGTCCGCTACCCGATGCGGTGTACACGCTAGGGGCGTGACCGCTGTGTCATCCCCCGTCACACTGATTACGGCACCGCGACGACAGTAATTATACGAGCGCGGCCCTCCGCGCGTCTTTGCTGGTCGCGGTGCCCGGGCGACGGCGCGGCGGCGGACAGCCTGCACGGTCGGATAACGATAATAATAATAATAATACTATTATCGTATTATTATATTTATACAAGTGTGTGATAATATTGTTGTGTAGGCGTTGCGGTAATAATAATAATAACAATAATAATAAAATATAATACGGCCGCGAATCGATCTATATGTGTATGTATGAAAAAAATAAAAAACTCGCTTTTTTGACGGTTGTGTTTGATTATCGCAGTCACGGTCCGTCACATTCGTAAATTATATCGCGCCCTCCCCTCCCACTTTTCTCCCCCTCCCCTAGCTCCCGAAATATTACAATAACGCGGCGGTCACTGTTTGGAATTATTATTATTATTTATTATATTATGTCGTTACAGTATCATGCGGTCCGTGACGGAAAAAATACAAACGTATACAACGAATTATAACGCGATAACGATACCGAAACCGTATTATATATTATGTATTTTATGCGACGTTAGCGTGGGCAGAAACGCATTCGAGGCCGCCTCGGCGAAGGTCCAAAAGGCTCGGAGGTCGGTTCTATAATTCTGCGTTCGAGAAATTCGCGTATATGTATTTCGCTGGTGGTTCTGCAGTGTCGAGCGACTAGAGGAATCGAAAGGACGAATTGCGTTTTTAGGGGATGTGAAATGCTCAGTCAACCAGGCCGATTTTCGAAACTGTTCGGCAGAATGAAACAAGACCAGTGGCGTAACCAGCGAGTAGGACTGGGTAGACCCAGGCCTATCCATTTTTCTCTGGAAACTAACGCTATTTTCAAATCAAAAATTTGTATAAACAGGTTTTTCTATTCAAACAATTAAATTTTTTTATCTGATCTACTCAGAAAAATATTTCTTGCTACGCCTCTGAACAGGACGAGTATATATTAGTTCCGTAGGTATAACTATACCTAGGATCTGTGAAACTTGTCATCTTTTCCCTCCAGAGTTTGATTGAATCTGTGACATGATATGTCCATCATATCACGTACATATATGAACAGTGGTTCATCTGCGTATCCATATTGTAAATGGACTTGCGTTATTACTACACCGAATTGTGTGGCATCTATATTTTGTTCATTCAAAATTATTGAAAAATCGTTTCGAAAAATGAAATAAAAGTGAACCTCTCTTGTGCTGAGCCCTTTAATTTATTATAGGTGTTAGTGTACGAAGTTGCCGGAAGGAAGCGGTGACTAGCTAGAATGTCGGACTTTGATTATCAATAAAGACAATAAGGTCGAGAAAATTTACTTAGGAAAACGCGAGAAAATCCTTTTTAATTAAATTGCATTACATTTGTGTACAATAAATGAAGTGAAAGGATGTGTGGCCCGGGAAGACGTATTAGTTTTTGGAAGTGGGCCGATAGGACGGTTTTGATCTTGACCGGTAGACCGGAGATATTGGTTGTTAGACGGAATAGTCACTGTCGCAGCGGAAAAGTCGGGAATGTATAATACGAGTAGACGTGTAAGGTAATTTAAGCGATATCTGTGCGCAACGATTGTTCATTTGTTTAAACATATTTTGAAATTCCGTGATTTGTATCGTTTTCGTCGAAACCTGAATTTTTAAAACGCTCTCAAAACAAACTACAATAACTATGTACACATTACGCTCGATGTCTCGCTTCCAGAAATCACCAACCCGGAATAATACGATGATCGGGGAAAGATGTCTGACACAGAAAAGTTTGTTTACAGGCGGGAGGAAAAATCACATCATATAATTAGATATCGTATAATGCATACTTGTGTAAAAATATAATAGTCAGCTGTATATATTATACATAATTACGAAGCGCTAGATATAATAATCGGATTGTACAGTAAAATAGTATATCAAATATTACGAAATTGTATCGCTGTTAATCTGTTACGCGGTGTTCCCTTTCCTAAACGAAAATAAAAACGCCCAGCACCAAACGTGTTCGCGGTATACCGACGCTCATAGTGAATTATTTTCGATAACATCTTATTTTTTACATTATATATATTTTTACGTATCGTTATATTATTACTATAGATGATGTATTTTGGGCACGCGGTAAACTATACATATATATATATATATATAGGTATACTACTACTGATGCGATATTATATGCAGTGTGTGTGTGTGTGTGTGTGTGTGTGTGTGTGTGTACATATCGTTAGTCGAATGACAATTCAGTTTTACAGTAAAAAAAAACGTAAACTTACCGGTACGCTCGTTGTCGAGTGGGTACAATAATAATAATGGTAAAAAAAAAAAAAAAAATTGTGAATGAAACAATATTTTATTTAGGTATCTGCTATATAGGTGTATATACGCTGCGAGCGAAACAAATATAATAACAATCCGAATAATAATACATAATAATGTCGTAGTTGTACTCGTACCTGCATATAATAATGAATATAACGACATACATACATACATACATACATGCATACATACATACATACATACATATAATAAATATTTTATACGTATACACAATAAATAATGTACGATGAATTATTACTAGGCGACGGAAGAAGATAATAAAATAAAATTATGCTGCGCGCGAGAAGGGCATGAGTTTCGCTTCTCAGTCAAATAATGATGAGCGACTTACAAAATAAAAAATAAAATAAAAAAAATCCACTACCGCCTCTTCAAAAAAGTGCATTATTATATCCTCGTCGTCTATAATAAAATGTATAATATACTGCAGTCTCGTTAGGAACATAATGTATTCAGTGAGAAATGCGATTGTCACAATATTATAATAATGTTTATTAAGCATCGTCGTTTGTGTTTTGCGCGAAGACAGCGGGTAGGCCGCTGCTGTAGGTGTGAATTTCGAAAGATACGGAGGTCCAAGTAAGAGAAACGAGGGGTAGGAGGTTAAGGGGTTCAGACCTCGTGTTTCGACACGACTGCGGCAGGTCAATTGTTTTTTCAACTATCTCAATTCAAATTCTATTACAAAAAAACTGACAGTCGAGCTCCCGTCCAATAAATAATCTACAACTACGCCACTGCAGTGGAGATATACGTAAGAAAATTTAGAGTTTAATTACCAAAAGAAACGATAAATCGCTTTAATAAAAAAACGAATTCATACAATGGGTGAGCTACTTTTGTAGTATCTTTGATAACGAAAAAAAAAATTTCCTAGCGGAATTCGGTCGTACATGTTTTAAAAGGCCGTAAATTTACGATTTGAAAATAATATATTTCGTAAATTTTCCTACGCTTTTTACCGGTTTTTCTCATTTACCATGAAAACAGCTGAGTGAATCAAAAAATGACTTCCCTATAATACCATCCCAGTCAAATTTTTTTTCAGAAAAATAGCAACACTTGAAAATCGGAGTGAAATTACTAGTAGAAAAGTTATCTACAGAAAACAAAAAAAAATAAACATCATTGTAACACCAGTACATTCCTCGTTCTGCTAAGAATCTAAAAAACGTTCCTGTGATGTAAATGTCACCGACGGACGGTTTCTTTCGTTAAAATCAATCACGTTCATTTTGAACCCATCATATTATGCTATTATTGTGAACACAAATTGAAAATCGTTTACACCGCTATCCGGACGAAATACCTATTGGGCTCGTAATGCGCGCGGTCACCGCTGCCAGCGGACCTACATCATAGGATAATCACCCACTCGTGTTCACGAACGAAAAAATCGCACGTAACAAATAATAATTTAATTAGTATCCGGCCATACGTCATAATATTATTAGTCGTACGGAATAAAAATCGCCGTAAAAATGCGAAAAATAGCCGTGCAAATATTTCTATCGTACGATGCAGTTCATGGCCCGATAACAATTATTATAATTCTTAATATTATTATTAAAAGTGCAATGCGAGTATACCAGTTAGCTGTATTTGCAGCGGGACATGCACGGCGGACGGATTTCGAGACTGATGTGTACCTGCCGTGTTATCATAACAATATTATATACGAGCGATTGACGTTTAAAACACTGTTTTTTACATACGGAATGCGGTGTAAACAAATTATCGAACGATTGCTCGTATGATACTTTCGGATAACACTATTATGTACACCCGTTGAAATTTATACGATATTACCAATACTCGTTTAACGCGGTTGTATAATATTATATACGCAATGTAACCGAGTTTTCGTGTACTTTACTCCGTACGGGCACGTGCCTATCGCGGTTTTTGCGATCGTATTTTCATTATTATGTATAGGTACTTGTTAGGTACCTTTTTTTTTTTTTTTTTTATACGTACTATGCGGTCTATATCTGCGCTATATTATAATACGAACATAATATACTCGTATTATTTTATATGGTCTGCTGCGAGTGTTGGCAATGTTTTGTATTAGAAAAAAAATTTAACGCACGATAATTATATACAGCGCGATTCAATAATCACGTAATATCATCTACAAAGATTTCGGGTAATTTCGTAGACTTTCGGGCGAGGGGTTCTCTCTTTTTGTCGCGAAATTTTCGTAATTTTACCCGTTTAATCCATATATACTACAAAACGCGGTATCGGAGGATTTTAGGTTAGGTGTACGTAACCTAAACGACCGTTTAAAAATTCTGATCCGAAAAGAAAATTCAACGCGCACCATCTAAATTACCCAGTATTTCCCGGGGGTTCGAACACAGAAATCGACAAGAGTAATTCCATTCGACGTGTGTCCCGGTATTCATCCGAATCCATATCACAGTTGTCCGGTTAAATTTGAGTCCGTGATTGAATCACCCTGTATGTATATTATATTATAATATATATAATCTGTCGCGGGTTGTAGGCGTTCGTAATATTACATTATAATAATGAACGTTTCGTGTTTTCGAATGATTTTTTATTTTGTTTTTAATTAAATGCACAATAACACTAATAATAAAACACGACTATTATATCTGTTAGATGTTTACACGCGTATTATCGACGATTGCAGGGGAAGGTTGTGTACCTATATACGTGTATATGGAATGAGGTACACACATCGCAGAAGGCGGAGAACGTTATAAATGATGTTCGACGGGAGAGGCGACAAAGAGAAAAATTACCCAAAGTCCGTATTAGGGCCCGGCGGCGGCAAATGCAGATGTTTTAGACGAGAGATAAAAAACAAAATGAAAAAAAAAACCATATACTTGTACAAAATTGTTAAAAAAAAAAAAAAAAAACTAATAACAATAATGAACGACGATCCCAACACCTCGGCATCGGGTAATAGTAATAATAATAATAATAATAATAATAATAATATTATTACTATTATTATTACCGCCGCCGTACGCGCGCGATAATGCGCCCGCCGACCGTTGATGAACGACAATCAGTCAACCCGAGCGTACGCCGCCGCGCACGGCGTCACGGCCGCGTGCGAGCTCATCGCTCAATCCCGACACCCATCGGGTAATTGAGTCGTCGGCGCAATCGCGACGCAACGTTAATAATAATAATAATAACGATTCGTTATACGGTATAGCGATGGTTTTTTTTTTTTATCGTTTTTGTTTTTTTTTTTTTTTTTAGTTCGGAAAAAAAAAAAAAAAAAAAAAAAAAAAAACGACGTAGGCAGGTAGAAAATTAATAACGATCCCTCGCGGGATCCGGTGCCCAGATGTCTGAGACGAGCCGGCGAGGGGAAGATAGTAGCGTATAATAGTAGTACAATAATCATAATGCGACGACGACGCGACGGGCGCGGTAATATACCTACCGCGGTACCGGCATTCAGTGACGTGCGCCCAGGAGGTGCGGGGGCGGGGAGAAGTTATAGCCACCCCCCCTCCATTGGCTTGAAAATTCAACAAAATACGAGCGTTCTATAATATCGAAACGCATAAATTTCGGTCGATTTCCGAGAATAAGCTTGACGCGTTGATGTTTGAATTGGTTTTTGTTTAGGACCCGGCTTTTGAATTACCAATTCCCGTAGTCGAGTTGGGCGGAGAAGACGATTTTAACTCTTTTTTCACGATTTTCATTTGTTACGTCCCCTTCCATTGGAAATTCCTGGCCACGCCACTGCCGGCAGTAATTATAATAACGACAATATAAATAAAAATCGAATATACGAAAACGGACGCGTGTAAATAATATACGTTCTAATCGAAATTACTAACCGTCGACAGTATAATTGCCCGGCAAATCGGCCCGCGTCGCACGGTCGCAAGCGTGAAAGACATTATAATCGAGATACCTACGAGAGAAGATATTCATGTGGTAAACGATTCCGAATCGTACGAAAAAAAAAACGAAATGCGCCGATAAAATTATTATTGTTAATAATATAAAAATACGGTACGGAATCGACGAAAAAAAAAAATTATAATAAGAATAAAAACACTTTTCACGTACTGTTGACACGTTAACGATCCGGCAGACTGGTTATTTTGCTTATCGCGAAAAAATGTGCACACCTCGGTTTCCGATTCGTTACGAATATAATATAATAAATATTCGGTATTTTTTTTCACATTAACATTCGAATGCCGGTCGAAAGCTGTTATGTGTAATTTTTTCTCCTATATACATTTCATTAGCGGTTTTCTAACTTTACGGGAGGTTCGATCGAACAGCCGGGGGGAGGGGGTCGAAGATCGCGTAAGCTACGATAACGGTATACAAGCCCGTAATCGCGAGGGGGGGGGGGCAATAAAGGGCATTGCCTAGCGTTTTTATCGGAAGACAAGCATAAAGAGTCGTAATATTGGTTTTTTTTTTAACGCCCCCCCCCTTATAAATCGGTTTGCTCCTCTCAGCGCCACTGAAGAACTGATCCGACTACGGGCCTGCAACGGTAAAGAAACGTCGCGCGAAAACGACGAAACGCACGGTACGTCGTCGGTGCGAGCTCGGCGCAAAACATTTTAACGTTCCGCCGAACGAATCCTTTCGCCGCACCTCCGTGGGCGCTCCCGACGCGTAACGACGTTCGGTCCCGGGGACAGGGGCGGCGATTTGCGCGCGCGCACGCACAAGCCAAACACAAACAAACAAACAAACGAACGAACGCCCCCGTCGCCGTGCACGCGCCGCGGATCCGTCGGCCCGTTCCGTTATCACATTTCTCGTTTTCCGGTAGCGGCCCCGCGTTGCGACTACACTGCGATATTATTATACCGTGCGCTAATGATATTATCTAATACGCGATTCCCTTTGTAACAAAACTCTCCTTTGTGCGCCGCCCGCGTGTTTGTTTCGGGAAACCTAATTATAGTCGTTGCAGTCCGCAAGCGCGCCCACCCTCCGCCGTAGCCGCCCACGGATTCCCGCTCGTCCAGAGCGCGCGCGCGCGCGCGCGCCCGTAATAACGTCACGGTAATAACAACGGATCGTCTCGTCCGCCGCCGCCGCCACCGCCGCCGCGTTTTACACGGTAATTTCGCGGACGTCGTCGGTTAATCCCGTCGCTTCACCTTACTCTTTATCATTCGCCGGCGGTGTGTATACAGTACAATAACAGTGGCTACGCACGGTTGTACGGTGCGCGTATTATACAGAGCGGGTCTCTTGTCGCGAACCGCACGGTTTTCGATTTGGTGGGGGGTGGGGGAGGGGAGTTATTCCGGACGTTACGCGACGCCAGAACCGTCGTCGGGGGTAAGACGTGTTGCGTTTTCCCCCCGTTCGCCGTATACAACAACCGCACACGTACGGACAATAGTGTTGTACGTACACGCGACAATTCGACTTGCAGCATACGACGCGTACACGGACGGGTCTCGACAACCCGAAAACATTTTTAGCTTCCCCTCCGGAATTCGAGTCATCGAGACCCGGCTGTATATTACATGGATGTACGATCCGCGTTTTCCGATCCGAAATGCGATAATTTGTTCAAACGTTTCGATGTGAAATACACGACAATCCGCACCACAGTTCTGTGGTATAGTTAATATGCCCGTAAAATATTACAATTCATCCGGATCGCGAACTTTAACGAAAATACAACGGCACGGAACGGATACATTACAATTACAATCAGGATATCCGTATACAATATTAAATGTTTAATTGATCGCATTACCCGTTGCGCCAAACGTCAAACCCGTATTTTCGAAATGTGCCCAATTTACGCGATGAGACATTTTCGATAATCCATAAATATGATTACGATTGGTTTGAGATTAAACATTATCGGCGCGACGGATTATTACCAATACTTGAACAATATTAAATTGTTGATTTTTTACGTGTGTTTTTTTTTTTTTGACTTTTTTAAGCTTGTTTTTTCGTGAACTTTTTGTGAAAGGGCAATAACGGTCCCGGGCCCCAAATACTATATTATTATTTCAGACGACGATTGTTATATTATTATTCGCGGCCGTGTTATCTCGTGACGGTCGTGCACACGTTTGCGACTCGCGCGTTATCGTTCGCCGGCGCGCGAATTTATTTTGCCGGTATTTCGCAGTTACAGACGTTAAACCCGGCGCGAGGTCTACGACCGGGCCGAAACGCTTTGGCACACAGAATGTCATGTACTTATATATATATATATGTATATATTTGTGTGTGTATATACACAAAATATACTTGCATATTGTTCGTAATTATTCCTATTTAGCGCTATAAAATATTATATTAATAATTATATGACGTGTAATCTTGCGGCGGCGACGACAGCGTATCGAGGTTGGCACAAGAAATGCGCCTACACCGCGGTATCTTTACAATATACACAGTATCTAAAATTAATAATACACTCGCGAACCGTAACAGAATCGTTCGCAGATATTCGTGCGTTTTGCAATACGAATTCGACTATTTACTGTGTTTTCTTTTCGGTCCCAGTCCGATATTATACTCGCCCCGTTTGAAAAGTCTTCCGTTTTCCGGAAAAAATGCCGATCGAAACCGAGTGGCAATCTGTCGAAGACACCGCGAATCGAAAACTGAGATAAAAATTCACGTACGGTTTGAATTGAATTACCCTAAACCTTGACTTTCTTTTTTTTCCTTTTTTTTACACAGAACGTAAACATCGCCGAAAGCAGGGACGCCGTTCGGTAGATTCCGACCGCGGTAATTTGGCGGCCTTGTTTATTTATTTTATTTCAAACGCGTTTTCGGCCCGTTACAATCGCGCAGTCGTGAACGTGTAAAACCTAAAAGGCAATCGAACCGCTGTCAACGGCACGGGCGAATGTTAACACGGCGGCGGGTTGTTATCACGGGTAAATAAACGGACGTGTCAACAAGACGCCGGCGCGCACCGAAACTATAAAACGTCACGCGGAGCAAATCGCGGTACAATGAGTTAAATCGCGGAAATATAAACCGTATGGCCGTAATTTAATGAAATTTAGCGTTTTTGGAATTGTATAATGTGGGAACGCAAGCGGGGCGGAAAATTCCGTCGGTTCGACAAAATAATGAATGGGGCACGACTATGTATGAATAACGGCCCGGTAGATGGAAAAATCGACCGGATTCATATACGTCCCCGGCGGCGAGTGTTATAATAGGAACGGTTTTTTTCCCGTCGTTTTCCTAGTTATTAAACGATATACTATTATATAATTTTTGCGTCACCCGATACAAAATGTCCTGCAATGTCGGGCTAAAATCGTTGCCAGTGTGATGCGCATAATATAAAAGAGTTTTTTTTTTCTTTTGTCCGTCTATTATCAATAAAAAGTCGCATTTCCCCCGAGATATAGGTGCCGAGTATTATTATAATAGTATTGCTGCTTGTTGCTCCGGTCGGACGGGGGTGGACCGACGAGAAAAAAAAATCGTTTACACGTTATTATATTGTCACCGAGCTTTCCGGGCTAAAATCGTTGCCAGTGTGATGCGCATAATATAAAAGAGTTTTTTTTTTTTTTTTTTTTTATCCACGGCCGTAAGCGGGGTCGACACCATAACGGCCGGGAGGGAGGGAGGGAGAAAAATAAAACGAAATTAAACGAACAGCGATTTGTTTGCACACGAAATTCAAATCCAATTTCCGCGGCGCGCGCTCGCGAGGGCCACACCGCCGCCTGTTTTTGTATTATTCAGCAGCACAAACGGCCGTTGATCAGGTCGATTTTCGGTCCTAAAACCGTTACTATATTATATTATCGCATTATTATTTATTATCGCTATCGTTATTATTACTATGTACAGTGTGTGCCGCGCGAGGATTACCGCCGCCGCCGCCGGTGCTGCAGTAGGTATTATGTTTGCTCGGAGTAGGGAGGGGGGGAGCCGTACGCGCACTCGTATAACGTTACACCCGATATTATTATTATTGTTATACTCCTCGTATTTTGCCGATGTAGTTTAATATATAATCGAATAATATTATACTTTTACCCTATCCGAATTTCGGTTCTGTAACGCGTAATGACCGTGCGGGTTCCACAAGAGGTGTATAGTCAGCCTATTTGTTGGATCAAGGGGGGTAGGGGAGGCTGTAGCCCCGGGTCTCAAGTTGAAGGGGGTCACGCAATGTGCTAGTTTTTGTTGTTGATGAACATTTTTTTTTTCTGTTTCGCTCATTGCGGTTTTTTTATCCGACAACAAGCGGCGGCGGCTGGACCGCGACGGTCCAGGCCCGACAATGCGTTCCAATGACGTCGGTTTCCCGACTCCTGAGCGCGGACCTGAAACCCACAGCGTCCCGGGCGACGAAACGCCGCTCGGGTCGGACAGGGTCCACAGTATAAATACACGGCGCCCGTGGTTCGCGTCGTGTTATTTGATAGATCGAGTCGATCGAACGCACACTTTACCGGGCGTAATGCACTACGCGCGGGCACGTTTAACAAATTATCCGGACTCTCGCTCTCGATTGTCGTTTATCTTCTTTTTTTTTTTTTTTTCCCCCCCGTTGTTGTTGGGGTGGCCGTGTGCGCGCGATCATCATTAGTCGACCGGGAGGCTTCGGACAAAACGACGAAGGCGATAACAATGCATAAGAGTTGCGACGACGAAACGGTTGCGAACGTTCCGCACGCGGATTCGATTTAATGAACCAGAGCACGCCATGTACTTGATAGACACGATAATAATAAACACTAATATCGTATCGGCGTGCCACTTATATTGTATTGCGGCCGCGTCCTGTACACTCGGTTATAATTCAAAATACTTTCGACGGCAATATCATTATTGTTCTCGGAGTATAAACGGCGGGGGCGTCCGCTCGGTTCGCCGATAATCTCGCGAAAATCCAAAGTGATTACACTGCACTCACGTCACCATATCCGACCCTGCGGAATTCGCAGGGGCGTTTAAAACCTAAGTAAAACTAGTAGACTACCCCTAGTTATAAATCGATAAATCGAATAGGCCATCGATATTACATCGGACTTGGCTCTATATTTCTATTCCTGGACAGATCTCGGGGCGACATCTGACTGTTCCACGAGCCTTTTTCCGTTCGGTTTTCCGCGGCGGCCGTTCCGTTCGTAATATCAAAACTCTCCGGTTAAAACGTATAGACGTACATTTTTTTTTTTTGTCTTAAATTAAGTCATTATATAATTATACAGGTAGATACGGCGTTCTTGTAAGCCCCGGCGCGTATTAATCATTTTCGTAAAGTCCATCGGACCGCGCGTAATTTGTCAATTAAAATGATATAGGTGCCGCCGCCGACCGTATACAATATACGTATATACGAGTAATAATAATAATATAATCATTTATATAAAACGTATCGGCGTATAATAATTTTTATTTTTCCCTTTTACCCGAACCGTCAAAACAAAACCGGTTGGTGGGCCCGGGACCACCTCATCCGCGAGGCAAACCTCGTCCGTGCACGCCGGCGTGCACTGTACCTACTAATGTGAAATTATTATATTTGTTAATCGATGCAGTAAATACCCTTCTGAACCGTTCAGGCAAAAAAAGGTAAAAAAAAACTCATTAAAAAAAAAAACCGAACAATGTTTTAGACGTGTACGGGTGTATAATATACACGTAGGTATATGTGTTGTTTAACAACGAACGAGAAATCTGTTAATTTACAGTCGTTGATAAATAATAATAAAAAAAAAAATACGAAATTATAATATCTATATTATACACCGATAAAATACGCGTCGAAAACCCGAGTTTCGATAGTATTGTTTCGTTCCGAGTAATTTACGCACGATTATTGTTCGGTTCGCGTAACGAATACTATTGTAACAAATTATATTTTTTTGCCGTTTAATTTTCGGTTTTTTTTAACGTTTATTCATAAATTACATGAATTTTAAGCGTATAAAACGAGGCGATCGAAATAATTATAAATATCGAGAAATTTCGTTTTCATAATATTTTCGGCTATATTACAAAGGGCAATTCTGTATTCAATCCCGGGATTGCTTCGCAGCAGCTATCCACGCTCTTGTTTGCCTTTCTTTCCGTTTCTCCATACGAATTGCGTCTTCTAGGTCCTTTACCATTTGACCTAAATAATAATGTTTCTTGCAGGTTTCATTCTTCAACAATACCGCAATTGTGTGTTTTGCAGTATTACGAAACACACAATATAATATATAAATACGAGACTGTATATTTTACTGGTAATTTTTTTTTTTTTTATTACGCGGTCCAACGACTTTTTCGGAGGATTTTAAACGAATCTGATTCTGTTGTACCGAACCGTTTGAGCTATATTTACATATATTTACTCTATGATGTATACCCTTCGTCTATAATGTACCCGCCCTTCCCGTTTAAATTTAAAATTGTTATGATAACTCATCATAAATGGTAAATCCAATATTAACTGTAGGTATATAGTGTAGCTTATATATGCGTATTGACATTTTTACAAAACAAATCTAATTTTTGGGGAGGGGGTTGTTATATAAAAATCGAAAATTGAAATTATATGCGCTCGCGGTTGAACGATATAAAATATATTATTTTAAAAAATATTAAGACCTTTAAACGATTCTGGGAGAATAACTGCGACCGAAACGAAACGATTCGAAATCTTCGTAGCGATAATCGCCGGGTCGTGTTAAAAAAAAAAAAAAAAAAAAAAATCACCCCGCACGCTATATATTTATAGTAACAATAATATAGCAGTTAATATTATTATACTCGGGTTATTTTCTACAAGGGGGCCGTGTAACAATGTGTACAACGTTAGCCAGTTATTATATTGAATAGGGAATAATTTTATGGACACGCGCGTTATTATACGTCACACATTGCAGTATTTGCATTAAAAATTACGCGACCGAATATAATATTCCGTTTCGGCACAATATTTACTTACATAATATAATATTATTATTCTGTTAAGCGTATTATAATAATAATATATATTGTAAAAAGCGAAAGTTACGACCGATCGTGTACGTAATTACGTACTATGTTCAAAGTTTAAAAACGCCCGAACAAAAGTATTTTCTTTACATAGGTTTCGAAAGAGTTAATTTTTTTAAATATGACGTTAAAAATGTATTTCAGCTAAACGTTTTGGGCGGGTTTGGAATCGGGTATAGGGGGAGGGGGGTCTCTTGCTCCCTATGTTCGTCGTTTTTACAAACATTTGTGTCCGTTTGCACATTTCGTCATACACATTTACTGTGCAGGCTTTTTAGTGCCTATTTCGTAAGTCATACGATAACATATTTTGTATATCGTGTGTATATTATCGTCGGACACTAATAACAACGTACGCGACAAACTGCAATACTGTTAACTGAGTTCCGTTCGGAATCGTTTTTTGTTGGCAATGTTTAAATTTATACAGGTACGGATATACATTAAGTTTCTCTCAATAAGCAACCTTCCCAACTTCTCATCTATAAAAGCGGTCCACCCATCGTGCGAAGCATGTCCGTATTTTTTCACCAATCATTAATATTAAATTTAATTATTTCACCCTCCCCCCTTTCATAGTCAAAGTCTGGAGATGCCTCTGCGATAAAAACAGAAATCATAAAATAACAAATAGTAATATTGTCGTTTTCGTTATAATATTATAGCGCGTATTTCCTATCTTACACCTGGTATACAACAACAAAAAGGTCGCGACGTTTAAAGTGCACGCGAATGTTCACGGATCGTTGAATAAAAGCTTTTTTTTTTTTTTTTGATTGATAAGTCAGTTGTTTACTGTTTAAAAACAACCTTCGTCACGCGCGTTTTTAATTTTATTATAACATTATAACTATTACATCACGGAAACATAACAACGTGCCTTACAAAACAAAAAACGTAAAAAAAATATTATAATTTTAGATTCTAAGTGGAGCGAAAAATTGATTGGTTTTACAATGATGTTTATTTTTTTTTATCTGCGGATAACTTTTTCATCAGCAATTTCGCTCCGCGTTTTCAAGTATGGCATTTTTTTCTGAAAGGAAATCTGACCGGGGTGATACTTTAGGGAAGTCATATTTTGATTTTCTCGGTTGTTTTCATAGTGAATGGGAAAAACCGGGAGAAAACACGGAAAAATGTACGAAATGTGTTAGTAAACATAACGGCCTGTTTTTCTTCCTGTGAACGAATTTTCTTTGAAACCTGCGTACACACGGCACGACGCAATTTATTCCGAATCCAATGGTGTCACCGTCTACGTTGGCGAAATCGAAAATACATCCCACCTAGTGAAACTGTACACCGTATATAATATATCGTATAGCGGCTAACCAGGAGTTTTGTACCCAGCTACATTATATACATAGTAAGTGTACGCGTTTCGCAGTGCGTGCACAACATTATCAGCTGTGTGAGGAAAGGATTGGACGCTTATTGTTTCCGCGCGAGCCTCCGGCGAAAACGGGGCGAGCGTATTTAATTGTCTCGCCTGCACCGCCGCCGCAGATGTGCGACAGCTTTTGGCCCGGAGTAATAATAATCGACCGGCTATAATGAGAACACGCGTATACACTGCGGTATGAAGTGTCGAGTGGAAAAAAAGAAAAAGAAAAAGGAGTTAAAGTCGAACGGAGTAATTTAATTTATATCTGTACGCACAGTGACGGAATACACCATTGCCGAAGGAAAACGATTCTGAGCAAAGTCCGCGGTTAAACAACCGTGTGTTTTTTGAAACGACGCGATTTCAATACGATTTTCACACAAATGTCGACAAAACTAACTATAGTTATTGGATTTTTGTCGGACCTAAAAAATTTGATTCACAAAAACTAAATAAAAAAATCTGAAAACTTCAAATGAGTCGGAAATTTTTACCGCGCCTATATAGAAAATGCTAGTTAGAAAATATTCGGTAAAAATTACAGATTTCTACGATTATTTTTAATGAATGTTACCGCAAAAAAACAAAAACAAAATCGAAAATGACAGAAACCTTACAATCCTTATAATCCTCAGGTATATAACTACGAGAAAAATCGAAAAAGGATATCCTCAATGCACCAATTCTAGATAAAATTTACTACGAAAGAGCTCAATAGTATAGACGGTTTCCGGATCGGAGCGAAATGTCTGGTATAGAAAAGTTGGTAACACACCTCTAGAAAACAATAAGACGTCGGCCCGATCATTATTATCCTGACTCTAAAATGGCAACCGTCCGGGAGAAGCCAAAAAAATTTTCTTCGCGAAATTCCCAACTCCGAAACGAGTAGTGGCGATATTTTATAAAGGAGATCCCATAATGAAGAAGTTTACTGCAACGCGAAAATTCCGTTGTATTTTTAACGGCTCGTTGACGGAAGCAAAAGATAAGTGTTTTTTTTTCTATATAAATTATTTTAATTGTATTGGAAATATCGTAAAAATAATAAAAATTAAAATACCATTTTTTTTTTTTTTTTTTTTTAAGGAATATTACGACGGTATAGCGAATTAGGCCCAAGAGGAAAACGCCCGAATTATAAAAAATCAATATACAATAATATATATAGGCAAACACAGTAACGCGAGCACGTGAAATGACCATTATTTTTTACCCCGACAATAATATAATGACGTCTGCGTATCTTTTGCGAATAATAATCGCGCCGGCGGAATCGTTTTCGCATTTCGTGTAATAATAATACGCTGTATACTTTTAAATCAGGAATATTGAATTTGAAACGATTCGACTGGAAAGTCGACTCCGCAGCGGCTATATACCCGCCGCCGCCGCGGGGGACAAAAGACGATGATGAATCTCGTGACTCGGAACAAATTTAAGGACAATGTACAAAAAAAAAAAAAAACGGGCATAAAAAGAAAATGAAATAAAAAATAAAAAAAAAAACGAGATGAAATAATAATACAAGGGGAACAATATGCATCATGCGAATCTTGCGTATTGTTGATTTGAATAACGAGTATTATGATGTGGAGAAATAAATTGGTTATTTATTTTGCTCTCTCTTTTTTTTCCTCGTTTTTTTTTTTTCGCTGCGGAGCGCGCACAAAGTCAATTTCGCGCGCGCGGAGACTCCCCCAAAAGCGTACATAGTAACTCTTTTGATCTGCACAGAACCATATGGGAATTTCCCAATCAAACGCACTTGGTAGTAGTTATACACACATGTTAAATCCTTCAGAATTCATTTTCCGTATAGCGGATGGATCCGAACGAAAAGTAAATATTATTGCGTTTATCGAGTTTAGTGTTTTTATATTATACGTGATTTTTTTTTTCTTCTTCTTTATCTTCTGCTAAAAGGACTGCACGGTCTATACGGCGTAACTGTATAGCTGGCAGTTCGGTACATACGAAATCGTTGACGCATGTTCTGAATAAAAAGCGAAATGAACCCGAAATAATCCAAGAGCAACCTTTAATCTATACACATCGTGTACTCACCCATCAATATTTCCGTATATTCCCAATCGTATATATTAATTTGTTCACTTTAGGTTTTTACGAAATCAGTAGTAAACGAACAGGTATAACCCATATTTATTTGTTTTTGTCTTGAGCGCTCGACCGCCTCTAAATTTGTTTTTTTAAAAAAAGAGCCGATGCTGCTGATGGTTGCGGCACTGTTGTAATGAGAAGTCGGAAAGGTGATTCGCATAAAGTCGTTTGATTCATATCTGTAAGCAACGATGATAAATCATAGATAACGAAAAACACGTTCGTCAGCATTGGGGATTGGGCGTAACGCGTTTCCACCAAAAGTGGACCTTTCACTTTTCACTTTTTACTCGTTTCCACCAAATGAAAAAGATTACCGGATAATTAACGGATTACAAAAATGGAATAATTGGAAGCAAATATATTATCGCGTTCAATAAAATAATATAGTAAATATATTTATTAAAACAAAATATTGTTTTAAATTTCAGATATGATTTTGTTAAAAGTATATCTTACAGTTTTAAAAAAATCATATATACCCTAAAATTATATAATTTTTTTAAATAAAATATAATATTTTCAATATTAAACAACATACATATTACATGAATATCATACGATATACTGTTGTACCGCACATAATTTTTTTAAAAATAAAATTCAACCTCTTCTAACCTGTATATTGTAAACTATAATAATTTATACCTATATACCGGTCGCATGAACAATCGTTAAACATTTATTGAATCGTTAGTGAGCTAAATAATATGGTTTTGGTGGAAACGAGTATTGGTGGAAAAAATGGAGAACGTACACTTTTAGTGGAAACGGATACCGCCCTGGGGATAATATCATACACCGGAGCCCGCGACGTTGCGGGTCTATAAAACCGTTTTATAAATATTTGAAAATCATGAATGGGCATAATCGTATTTTGTAAGGACGTATTATTATATATCGCGGTAGAAGTATATCGGATGACCGAGATTGCGAAATTTCGTCGCATTATACCCGCACACGCAATATCAAAGGGCCGAACAAATCGTTATTACGTATATGTAATAATATAATAAAAGGAAACGATTTTGGTCAGGTATACGCCTTGTTCGGACCAGTCGATATCGTGATTTTTTGCGTGTGCCGCAGATAAGCGGACCGCACCACCGCGCAAATGCAATGAAATACAGTCAACGGACACTATTATATTGGATACGAGATCGGCGATAACGTTGCAGGACGATTTCGGGATTTTCGCATCACGTGAACCCGTCCCACGACGAGAACGGTTTCCTTTTTGTGGCCCGGCGACGGTGTCATTTGCGGCGCACGAACAAAAAGACGAAACTCCGCGACGACGTTTAAAGACGCTAAACAACCGCGCGCGGTGGACGCCGTCGTCGTCGTCGTTGTTTATACACATTATTTTATCTGACCGGAGAGATCTGAGTATATAATATAATATACAATATGATGATATAGGAAAATATTATCGGGAACATAATACGGCGGTTTGCCGGCATACAGAAAACTGGTTTCCTACTTCACAAAAAAAAAAAAAAAAAAAACCGACGACGACGGCCGGAAGTATTATGTCAGGTCCAGTTTTGATCAAATACACAACAAAGCAAATATATAATAATATATACGAGGAGCCAGATGAAACAACAGTGAAAAAAAATATCGAATTACCCCTCATACTAAATAATATGTATACGAGACAAACATCGCAAAAATATCTCTCTCCGGTCGCTTCTCCCTCTATTTCGCTCTGTCCGCGCATCTCCACTACGTATCTCTCCATTTATATAATATGCTCGTCTCCTATAATACGCGTCTTTATATTATTATTATTATTATCGTCGTAGTCGTCGTTTTCGGTACGGTTGCACAATGATAATCGCGGCGGCAGAGACGATGGTTGAAAATCAAACGCGCGTAAATTTCGATTTGTTCCGCGAACAATGATGGCGCCTCGTCTGCAGCGCCCGTAATAATACAGCGTGTGTATGCGTGCGTGTGCGTGTGTGTGTTTATCTCATCGGGAACCTCTTGACCGAAAAGCTAAAAGGCGCCTGTAAATACGTATACATATATATATACCGTATACGCGACCAAAAACAACACTGCCTGCAGACTATACACAACAGATACACGCGCGCATACTTCTTTATGATGTCGTGTGTATTTATTTTCCCCTTTGCCCCAAAAACTGCAGTATATAGGTGCGCAGTATAATAATAGACACTGTACACACCTACCCTCGTTGGACGTACAACAAACAAACTGCGCACATGCGCTGCAGTATGTTATATAAGGTACTCTTTATGCTTACATCTTTTTATCGGGACGTGCGCACGCTGCAGCAAATACGATGACGGGACACCCTATACATATATTTATACAAGTAGCCGAGCGATGACTTCTCGCGCGTGCGTGCGCGTGTGTTCGGGGGAAGCAGAATTTGTTTACGTGAGAACCGTGGGAGTGACCCCCGGGCCCGGCGCTTTTTATATATTATCATTATTATTATATACATATATATATATTATTATTATTGTATATCCTGTGTGTGTATATGTGTGTGTGTGTGTGTGTGTATAAAAATCGGATGGTTCGTCGTGTATCGTGTTACCGACCGACGTCGACGACGGCGACGACAGCGAGAGAGGGATTTCCGATGCAAATTGCATTTATATATATATGTGTACGATTGTACACGAAATCTAGAAAGTAAATATCAGACGGGTGACGTGGTTCTTCCGCGTTTTGCCGTTCGGCTCGGAATACCGACTCGTCTATACGTTTTCCCGGGGAAAAAATTCGCTTCTATACGAGCTTTTTCAGCGTGGCGTAGAGTTCGGACACGCGCTGTACCGCAGTGGCGTGGTGAAGACTGTTTTTTTTTTTTGTATGTTAAGACCCGTGCCTCGGATACCCTCAATCGGCGGTGGTCGGAAGCGTAAGATTCTTAACCGACCAGTTTAGTCCGTTCGAATAATACATACACGTACATATCGACAATTCATTACCGACTCGTTCATTGCGGGGACGGTGGTGGTATGTGGAGGTGGTATCTATGTAGGGAAATTGTTGTTGCTTGTACGAAAAAAAATGTTCCGACGCCGACGGAGATCCGATCCAAGTAATACAATTTATATAAAAGACACGTATAGTATTAGGACGGGTTTTTTATAGAGTGTTCTCAAACTGTATAGAGTAGTGGTGAACACTGCAGAGGGAGTCACAATCCTCCTATTCCCCTCCCGAAATCACGTTCCACTATAAGACTCGGATTCCGTGATTGGCCACCGTTTCAGTTAATCAGGCGCCTCCATTGGATTTTCGACGTTTCGCATTTTTATTCTATTTGGAAACGGATCGTTATAACAATACTCCCATAAGACTAACACGAAACCGCAACAGCGTATAAACACGGTTTCGTTCGGTGTATCGTATATAAAACTAAAAAAAAAAAATACCCTATACTTAAACGTACGCCATTAAACGCGCGGTTGTTATCTTATACCTAAGAAAAGGGAGTCGAAATTGTTTTGTAATGACTGCGGTGGACGTCACGTCTTCTATATATTATCCCGTTGGTTTTAAAAATGTGGGTTTTAGTTTTTGAAAAGTCTATAATACTAGCCGCCGCCGCCGCCGCCGTCTTTCTCCGACGACGGATTACAACTGGCGCCTGTTATTCGCGCAAGTCATCGCGGGGTTTACACAAAAATAAATATTAGTTTCACCACACCGGGTGTACACATACACATTCAAACGACTGTATAATATATCCTCGGGTCTCGACAGAAAAATCGACCACGTCATATTGTAAAAAAAAAAAAAAAAAATACATGTATGTATAGATATTATAAAAACGTCCGAACCAACCGCGTTCAATAGTAAAGACGTTAGGTATAATATTATTATTATTATTATACTCGTATCCTATAATAGCTAGGTATCCGTCGACGTCGTATCAATATTAAGCTATATATTTTTGTGAACGTATGTATAGATATATACTGCAGGTAACAAAAAGAAATAATAATGTACACGTAAAGTCTGGTCCGCGCGATGATATTATAGTTATACTATACCGCGGTAGTACACGTCAGTCAACTATTACGGGCAGTGGCGTGGTGACAGAACGTCAGACCCCGGTGCAATTACGAAAAAATCCAATAAACATATGCGTCGAATCATGGAAAATATCGTAAATGTTTTTTTTTTATTACTTAAATTTTGTGTGGATTTTAGTTATACATAATATAAAAAAAAAATCAAAGTTCAATGAGCCAAATATCTACATGCAATTTTTCCATTAAAAAAAAAAAACCAAAACTGAAATCTGACGTCTCTATACGGGCCGAGTGAGTTAACCCTGTAAACTGTGTTTTGGACAAAAAAAAAAAAAAAAACAAATCGTGCGCAGATCCCCAAGCACAACAATTAAAACCGATTGAATTTTTCGTTGGAATTTCGTTAAGAATGTTTAATCGTAAACGTTAAAAATTTGTTTTCAGCGATTGCTAACAGTCTGTAAGAAACCGCAAACGCAGAACACCAGACATAGGATTTAGCATAGTTTTCAACTATGCAACGGCCGGATTAATAAATTGTGCGATTTAGACCGAAAGGGGGGGGGGAAATCGCAAAAGAAAAAATTATAAAAATGAAAAAAAAAGATAAACAAACCCCGAAAATCGACTCGAGCCCTTAAAGGCATTACACGTTATTACAGCGCGTATACACGCTTGTCGTGGATGCGGCGGCGATGCGTTTTTTTTCGACGTTCCTTTTGGAATTGCTGTCGTCGTCGGCATATATAAAAAAAAAAAAAAAATACAACCTACCTAGTATACTTATACAGTGCGCATACAAGTATATGACAACCGACGACGACGACGACGACAACTCGACCGCGGCAATATTAGAATATTATAATATTATATTTACCACGAATTATGCCGCCGCCGCCGCTCGTATGCCATATGCTCGGAAAATCGTCAATGTCATCGCCGTTAAATAAACATGGCACCGGTGTATTTTTTTTTTTTTTTTCATAAATTAATACGTACGCTGCGTATAGGTACATACGCGTGATAATATTATACTGTACGGACGTACCGGTCGCAGGCAGCGGCGTGGTTGCGGCGGGGTATTGGCGACGAGTCGGAGTCATTAAATTGTCAAGTGTTTCTCTCTGCCGGTGGGCGGGTCGTCCCCGTTCGTCGTGGCCGTCACGAAGGTTGAGCTCGGAAACTATCGCGTACGGTACTTTTTTTTTTTTTTTTTTACTATTATTATTATTTTTTTTCATTTATTTACCAATTCCCTACGCGTATTGTGTGCAGTACGCCAGCCGCTACTACCCGGGGGCGGGAAAGAAGAACGGAAAAACCACGCGGACGAACAACGCAGATAACAAATATAATAATGATTTACGGTGATAATAATAAGAGTGAGAGAGAGAGAGATTGAGGTGGATGTGGGGGCGGGGGAGCGAAATATAATAAAAAAAATCCGTACGCGTCTCGATTATTATTGTTATTATTACCGGACGTCGAAAGCAAAAGGCGACCGATTTAATAATAAAATATTATAATCCACTACGTGACGTATATAAAAAAAAAAAAATCACACGGTCGCAGCGGTACTAAATAATAATAATTACAATCGTCACTATTCATTGTTATTATCATAGACGACGCGGTCACATTATAACAGTACACCGGTATGCCTGCCATACGTTAATAGTAATATTGTCACCAAACGAATGACAATAAGACGGCGGGAGGGGCAGAGGAAAGAGTGGAAATTCAAACGAATAGAGGTCGCCCGATTTTTCTCCCTCGCGCAATATAATATACATATATATACACGTGTTATATTACAATATGCTTTACTGCACACGCGAGGGGGTGGGGGGACCGAGCGATTATTATTATTTTCGTTTCGAAAATATTATGGCCTCCAGGTCACCGCTCGTGCAGCGTAATCGCTCGTACGTATACGCGTCCTTGTGCGTATACAGGGTGACCCTTTTATCGCGAACTGGCCGTTATCCGTACCGTAATCTCGGGCCGTCCCCAATGACCGTCGTATATGTTACAGTTACTTTACTCACGCTTTGTAACGCGCGTATACGAGAATGCCGTTCAGTACGACGGGAGTTGTCATTTAAAAATATCAGTGATAAGAGTTATTGCTATTGTTGAACACCGCGATTCGACGTTATCGTTGAGCGTATTTTCGGCGGAGGTACCGCGAGGTCCGACGAGTTTATCGACGTAAAAGTTACTGACGACGTGGTTTTGTCGTCTGTCGTCAAACCGAATTTATGTGAAAAAAATTGTTGATAATATCATGTACTCGAAAATTATTTTCGGAAGCAGTTTATTAATCAACGTTTGCTCTCTGTATAGTCAGTTAAAATGTTAAATTTTACAAAATTTTAAACGATTTGAACGTAAAATTACCGCGAAAACGTACTTAGTAAGCGGTATGTGCTACGGTACCGTCGTGAAAACTCGTTATTATTGCAAAACCCTATTTGAATGCAGAAACGGCACGTTTTAAAACGGTTCAAAAAAGACAAACGTTCTATCAATATTTCCGAAAAAAAGTGAACATTAATTTCCATGTTGATTATATTATAATATGTAATTTGCTAGGTACGGTCATTTGACGAAATGTTATAAAAAAACTCGGTTTAAGGCGTTTTTTGTTTTTCTTGGAAAATCGTAAAATTTGAACAAGTATTTATAACTACCTACCTAATATGTTCTCTCTGATCACACACTAGAAAAATAATACATTTTACATCAGCCATCTCTGCCCGGTATTTGTTTAGATTCTCGTTTCGAATCGGAATTTAAAAACGGAGGCTGATGGCTATTATATTATTCGAAAATCGATACAATCGACACGCATGTTTTTACGGTATAATATACCTACCCGGATTGACCGTAACATTTTTTAATACTTTCGTTAAGTATTATGCTACGCAGAGCCTGATTTAGAATTTTTTAGGCCAGGAACAAAAAGAAAAAGTTGGCCTATTTTTAATCCATTTAATACGAATATTTCTCATCTCATACCCATATATTTCGTATGAAACTGAAAAAAATAATTTATATTTTTACAAGTATTTTCGACTGTGTAAACTTTTTTTTGGTATTCTTCGATTTTAAGGATTAATTAAAATTAAAAGATTAATCGAATCCAGTAGGTGGGCCCCTGATCTGCATGGGTCCTGGACAAATACCCACAATTTCCTTGCGTAAATGGGGCCCTGATACTACGCGTGACGGTCGGAGGAATTCCGGGACAAAAATCCCAGCGTATACAGATAATAACGATCCTGCGGGCTCGCGGTTTTGGCGATCGAAAATGTCCGCACCCTATACACATACCTATTAACCTATCGAAGGCTAAAACGATTTGCTCGCATGTTCTTCGATTGACCGCGCGCGCACACACACACGCAGCCCGCAAGCTCGCGAAAAACAAGAGAAACGGACCGAAGATAGAAAACTCGACGTCGCATCGTCGTTAAGGCGCAATCGATTTCAATCTATTCCGTTACTTCTTTGAAGACGTTAAGTTTATTTATTTTTCCTCCTCGTCCGTGATGCCGGGGCGCAGTGCAGCTCTTTATATTGGCCGCTGTGCACTCGCCCCTCGGACAACACGCAATCCAAACGAAACTCACGTCGTCGTCGTGTATAATAACAATAATAATAATAATAATAATAATAACAATAACAATAATGATAAATATCGCAAACCTTACACAATATTTTTTATGTCTTCTCCCTGTATATACTGTGTCGTCTCCCTCGAATACCGCGTGACCGGATGGTAGAGGAGGTCGGCCGCCGTTGTTTTTATAGAGGATTTTTTTTTTGTTCGGTGGTCAACAAACATTTAACGCGTTTTGTGTGTTGCGCACGGCGTAAATCTTGTAAACACACCGCTTCGGCTAACGTCGAATCGAGTCCTGGACTAATTATTATTGTTTTAGGTCGTGTCAACTATTATTAGTATATAGCGGACACGCGCGGCCTTTACCGAAATCGGACAACGTCCCGACAATCAAAAGCGCGGGTAAATTCGGGAAGAAAAAAAAAAAAGAGACATTTGGCGTCAGCGCGAGTATCGTTGCAGATTTATCGTAAACAATACAATGCGTATAATAGGTAATAACCGCCGCGTACCGAGTCATTATAAACGGATAAACCGATGACGAGTGTATAAAACGCGAAAAAAAAATGTCCTCTTCTTCCCGGACGAACCGACATTAATACGAAAACATTTCGCCTTTGGGATGTCGTCTCTCGTTCGGCGGAACGTATTCGATTCCAAACGCGGTCGAAAGTGTATACGTACGTCTCCTTGTGCCTTCGCCCCTCCTCGATTGCATTATAATTTATTGTTGTTAAGCGTTCAGTTTATCGGGCGAGCCGGCGAAAACGCTGAGTTGCCAAATGTTATAAAATAATTTAGGTGCCAAAGCAGGAAGTGTCGCACGACACACAAAGGCGATTCTGGAAGGATGTCGTCTCCCCTCGCCGCCGCGAACCACGCACGCTAATCGGCGTGCGCCAATCACGTTTTTAATGCGAACACAATTATTATTATTATTTTTTTTTTTTATGCGGTTCGTTATTATACATAAATTACATAATAAACACTTACCTACGTAAAAAAACAGAGGCGTAAATAACAATGAAAAATTATAGGACATGTTTCCCACCGCTGCTGCTACAGTGGACGGAAAGTCGAAACGGTGTTTTATGGTGTAGGGTGATTATTTATCGTAGCAGCAACAATAAAAGATTGAAATCAAAAAACGATTCTGAGCGGTGTGGTACACGGTGTTCATTCCCCGTGTACATATTTCGTATCCAAAGTTAACCCGAAAATCGACAAAAACAAAACCAACGTTTTATATTGTCAGTATTATTATTATTATTTTTTTTTGGAGTTTTTATAGAAAAACTATTGGGGACCTTGGAATATTTTTCAAACCGTGTCGTATTGCCGTCGGCCGTTACAATCCGCGTCGGAACATTTCTACTAATCCTAAACGCGTGTCGCGAGAAAAATCAATCGCACGCGTTAGTTTTAACAGATTTTAAACGAATTATTGCAATATTGCAAATTGTATGCCCCGAGAAAAAAAAAAAAAAAAAAAAAAACAAATAAATAAATAATTCTATAAACACACAACGGATAATGCAACTATGTATAGTAACGGATTCTTTTTTTGTGTAGGACATAGGATACGGTTCATTTTTTTTTTTTAATCAAGACTTAAAAATCTTATAGGGGGGTAAGTTTTTTAGCTGATGCGTTCCCCCGGTATCGCGTCTCCGATCCGCGCGCCGGGAATCGCTTTTCGAAATCGCAACATTCCGTCCGGTGGCTGCATTTTAATTTTTTTTTTTTTTTTATGTAAATCCATAAATCTTGCACGGACCGGTCATCAACAAAAGATTCATGATAATATTCTTACAGAGACCGACAAGCATCCTAATCCGGTAACGCGCAGCCACTATACATCCAGGTCGATTTCATAGCACCGGGCCAGATTTTAAACACGTGAATGGGCATACCCCGCGCCGTTCGAATGACGCCACTGCAGGGCCTCCGAGCTCGTCTTCTCGTCTGTCCAACGTCCGCCCCGTCGTCGCGCGCAGTGTGTTTGTGTACGCGCATCGCGTTCAGCCATATTCTATTATCATTATTAGGGCCCGAATTTATATATTATCCATTTGTATGTGTTTTTTAGGAAGTCTGAAAAGTATGTTACAAATATGAACAATAGTCAATAGAACTGAAATGCAAAGTTTCATTTTGCATACTTTACTATTTTTTTTTTTCACACACTGCATAATTTTGAATTTCGATCGCATATATAAATGGCTTTAAAATGCATATCATAATATGTAATTCATATGTTTAATATGTTTTTTAATAATTGTTTATAATATGTTTCGGTTATATTTATATAAGTTTAAAAAAAACGCGATAAAAATCTGAAAATCGAATTTTTTGCACGCAAATTGTTTTTATTAAAATTGCGTATCAGCTTTTTAGATTGAAAAATGTCGAAAATACCAATTATACGAACCATCAATCATTCGTAACTGCTTTGGAAAAGTTTTTAGAAATAATGAATATTAAAATCGAATTTTTTTCCGCGCGGAACATATTTCATTTCAAATGGCGTATTTCTACAAAATGAGATTGCATCATAAACGTATATTTCACGACAGTGCGCACTTCTAAGGTTTTTCGAACACGAAATCCCGAGCCCCGGTTATTGTTTTTTTTATTATTTCATTACGTTTTCGGCGCACTCTCTTCCATCCGGCCGACGGTCTTTTGAACGCGACTCGCCCTCGCCCCTTAATCGGCGCGGTACACCGACGTGTATACACGCACGCCTAATCGCCCGCAAACCAAAACAACCCCGACCGTAACCCCTTTTATTTTCGGCCCGTTCCTGTGCACACTATTCGGCAGGGTCGTTCGGGGTCACGGGGTCGAGTTTTCCGCGAATTACCGATTTCCCTCGATAGAAAAACGTCTATCAACGTCGTTCAACAACAGCGGTTTAAAGGGCCTGATTGTACTTTAATATGTTTCCGAAATATATATACATAAATAGGTCGTGGTTTGAAAATCGAAAATAGACACGACCGTTTCAAACACGAAAACAACGGTTTTACGAAAACAAGGACAATGTTTTTATTTATTATTTTTTTTTTTTTTTTTGGAAAAAAGTCACGAGAGCCACTAAAATAATTTTACATTGCATAAGTGACGTGATAAATAATAAAGTGTGTAAAATAATGGGAAATTTTTGTTTTTTGGTTTTTCCACAGGATGCAACAACAGCAGCTCGCCGCCCAGTTGGCGCATTCGGGCGGCCGGCACCACCTGAACCTGCGGCGTTCCATGTCGCCCGGAGCGGCCAGCACCACCGGCTCCGAGTCGAGCATCAGCCTGGGTGCCCCGTCGCCGGGCCCGCCGACGATGCCGCCGCTGCAGCTCCAGTCGCTGCCGCCACCGCCGCTGCTCACCATCGACCCGCCCCGCATCGGCCTCACCAACCCGTCGCCGTGCACGTTACCCCAGCCGCTGGCCCTGCACAGGCCGTTCACGTGATACAGTCCGCCTCACCCGCCGATCTCCGCCGGCTGGTGATGCGCAGCGCCGCGTCCGCCCACACCCACCTCCGCGACAGTTTACACCTGTGTTTAGTACCGTCGTCGGGCATGTCGTCGCGTCGCGGCCTTTAATATCAATTATAACGCGTAACGGATAAGCTCGCGCGCAGTGCCGCCGCAAATACTCGCGGGGCCCAACGGCTCCACACGGCCAAAATACAATTTTCAAGCGGCCCGCGTTTCGAACGGAATCCAAACCTTGACGAACGGTAATAAAAATACAAAAATAAAAGAAAAAAAAAAAAAACGCCCAGATTTCAATAATAATAACTAGACGATTGTTGTCGCCCCGAGGAACCGTATACAGGTGTATATACTTGCTGCACTGCGCACGACCGCCCGCAATCGACACGGCGATTAATGTATCGATTAATATATTATGTAAACACATTTATCTGGTCTGTAAATAAATAATATAAATATTGTATATCGTAGTGCGCGTGTATGTGTGTGTGTGTGTGTGTGTGTGTGTGTGTGTGTGTATGTGTGCGTGTGTAGACATTCGCGAGATACGCATCTAGCGAAAGAAAAAAAAATTAAAAAGAGAGATCGGAAGAAACAAGACCGAATTGGTTTTTCGGGAAAAAAGGCGAAAAATAAAACAGAATCGGTATCGGCGTCCCCTATAAACTGGGTTTTCGCCAAAAGACGTTTCGGGTCCGATGCGTTCCCTCGCCGTCGGTGGACCTTTTTTTTCGAAAAAACCAAAAAAAAACTAGCTCTTTTTTCTTCCAATAGTGGATGTGTCGAGCTTGACGATCGCAACCGCGCATATAAAATATAATACATTATTATAATAGTATCCCTCGTTATAATTATCATAGGAGGCCGTCATTATTTATTTGTACCTATAAACTCAGGGGATTGGATACCGATGTATTTTTTTTTTGTCTACAGACTCTTTTGAATTTCAATACGCTGTGAATTAAAAAATAATAATAATAATTATTATTTAAAATTAAAATCATCGGATAGAGAAAATAAATTTCGGTATCCACTCTCCATAAGAAATTAATTAATTATTATTGTATTACATAATGTGTAGTCTATACCCTATATATATATATAATAGGAAAATATAGCGTTTTGTAAATATAGTTTTTTTTTTCTATTAACTATTATAGTACGTTTAAACGGTGCAATTAACAATATATAAAAAAAAAAAAAACTACGCATGTGTAAAACATTTATACTATTATATTATATACGTAAAAAATTATTATTATTATTATATGCTGTACAGAAAAAAAAACCCTATTCTTTAAGCCCGGCACACACTGCGATATAGTTACTACCGCGATAGTTGGTGTTTCGCGACTATCACCCTCCCTGTACCAATCTAACTGTCATTAGGTAGCGAATTTCCCAACTATCGAGATAGTAACTATATCTTCGTGTGGCTTTACATATTATTATTATTATCATTATTATTATTATTATTATTATTATTATTATTATTATTATTATTATTACTATTATACGCGTATACATGTAGTAGCGAGTAGACAATATTATATTATTATATTTATTACGTTACGGGAAGAGTGAGAGAGAGAGAGAAAAAACTAAAAGAAAAACCCGAATGTAAGATTTTCTTTCGCTTTTTTCCGACTTTTCAATGTGTAAAAACGAGTAGTTGCGATCATATCATATTCGTATCATGGCTAAACAACTACGATGGCGTTTCAGTTGTAAACTACGTACGATGTCAGTGACGCAGCCAGGATTTTTCATAGAGGGGGAAGGGGAAAACAAATTCAATCGATAAAATGTAATATGATAATAAATAGTTTGCACTATAAATTGTAACATATCTTTTTGACAGAGGCCTTCCCCCCCCCCTCCTGGATACACCACGCTCGTATTCAGTACTCCATTTGAAAAATATCGAAATTCCGCTGCGAGGAAATCGTCATCAGCTGGCAGTGAATTTTATCGTCGGCTTTTCTGCGCTATAGCTGCGGGTATAACACGTGGTAGCTGCAGATGAAATCACTTTCAGTGGCGGTGTGAACATCCCATGAAGCGGTCGGTTGACGGCCGAATCGACTGGGCGGGGGTTAATATCATAACATATTATTACCGTTAACAAAAAAGGCGGAGTACGCAACTACAACATCTACAAGTAACCTATTAGTTACGGGTACCGATTCTCGTGCTGCTCGGGTCGTTTGAAGTTTTTTACGATATTTCACGGAGACCGCTTCATAGGAGAAAAATAAAACCTACACACCGCCACCGCAGGTCACGACACCTGCTGCGTATCACAAAGTCACCGTCATACCTAAATAGTCGTTTAGCCGTGAGCCGTGATCGTGTATACCTATATATATTATAACTGTATAACACACGTATATTATATAGGTATATATTGTAGTCACAATCGTATGTGTTTCGCGCTATTTCCCGACGGTTTTTCTATTGTAATATTATTTTTGCGACGCCGTAGTACCTGTACGTGTATTTATTATATTTTTACAAAAAAAAAAAAAATTGTATTAATCTTTTTACCCCGCGACCACCGCAATATCTGTCAACCGTTTATATACCTTATCATTATAATGATATATATACGTCTACAATGCATAATATATGAAACAAAATCGAAATATATATTATTATTGTTTGTTAATTTATCGTTTGATTTCATTTTTTTTTTTATTATTCCTGAAGATTCCTCGGTCCCGATACGGCATCCTGATGTCCCGTGGTTATCTATACAGTTTGGTTCGATTTTAGACGGTTTATTTTCGAGAGAAATTTCCAAGCAGGATTTCTGGAATTCAAAAATTCATGCCGAAATACGACGATTTGAGGAAAAATGTAGTTTAGAATTTGAAACATTTTGTTTGCCTTCATCAGCAGTCGGCAAATTTGGTAAGTTCATCCAGATCTATTTACAAAATATCGAAATGACGCTGTTAATACTCTACACGTATAACGTTTTTTTTTTTTTCAATTTGTTTTAAAAATTAAATTCGAATTTCGATTGAATGTATGTAACAATGAGTACACCTAGTTGGTATCAAAGTCAAACATTAAAACGTTTTAAATTCATTGTGTGATATTAAAAATGTGTCTCTTTTTCATATTTGTCTCCCTGGGTGTAGTATCCTCTGTGTCGGTACCAGAAGATTTCAATTGTTTTTCAAATTAAAAAAAAAAACCTAAGAAAACAGTACCGCGATGTACAATGAAATAGGATGTGTAGGTAGGTGTATAATGTCGTTATTGCTAACGATTATTATTTTAAAATAATAATAATCGGATTTTATAACACTGAAAATAACTGAAATATATAATATTTCTAAAATATGACCTAATAAATTTTAAAATAATAAGCACCATAATACGTTCTAAAATGTTTAAAATAAGCTATATCACGCTACAAAAACATTGAAAATGGTTGAATAATTTTTTTTTTTAAATATATAAATACAACCGAAAGAAGTCATAAATTTAAATTGTTCGGTAAGTCAATAAGCAGGGCTACTTAAAAACAAATTATAATATGAAATGAGAATGTAGGTATTTTTCTTATGGATTCGCATAAATGAAAGATTTTTCTACTTTTTATGAAAAATACAAAATAAATCATTATATATATATATTAAACATATTAACAAAAAATAGCGCCAAAAATTTAAAAATAACACTAATATCTAAAATACTTTAAATGTGCAAAAAATAGCAACATAAAATTTCATATTTGGCACATAAATCAAATTTAAAGCTCACTATCCTATTTTTATCCTATAATAATTAACTAATGCTATAAAATCCGAGTCCTGATAATAATACTTTATCCGTACCGTTATTATGTGCTTACTTATTTATTTTGAATGAAAACGTCTTAATAATAATATCATATTACGTAATGGATAGGATACATGGACACGTGCATTATAACTGACACCGTTCCCGAGTAGGGAATAGAGATAACAATATTACCGATATCAAAATCATATCCAACTCGGCATTAAATCGACTTTTCTCTTGTGATTTCCCGTTGAGAACTGCGTACAGTGAAAACTGATTGTACCTACGTTATGTACTTTGTTGGCGAGCGAGACGGAAGAAACTCAGGAACGGCTGGTAACCATTGCGTGTGATGCCGTATTTATCCATGAAGACGCATCGTCCTTCCTCGGCTTTAGAGCTAATTCGTTTTCATAACACATTTATTATTATGGAACATTCTTCGGATATATCGATACACTGTTGTATAACGATGTAGTATAGCGAATAATAAGCTGAAGATACTCGACAAAAAGTGTAACCGTTTAATGTTCGTCAAAACAATTACTATTTTTTTTATCAATTCAACGTCATAAAAGTACTACGAAAAATAAAAATCGAGGTATGAGAATCCTAAATCACCTCCTCCTCCTCCTCCCCACCGTGATTACCCGTCACTGCACCCTCATAGTACTCAAGCGGTACGAATCTACGTTCGGATTTAAAAACGGTTTTTTTTTCCTAGTAAAACGATAAAATTTTATCCGAACATCGCCTATTAGGTGCTCATAATAACAATAATTGTATTATTGTGCTTCCACAGTCGCACGGTGCGAACGTGCGGTCGACGAACATTCACAAATCGCACTATCAAGGGTTCGGCAAGTGCGCATATAATGCGTATTATAATACGATGATCGACACCGCCGGAGACACATATATTATAATATTATTATATTATATTAAAATTCACCGAATTCCCGTCTCGGACAGGTAGGCGTACGTGATTTATTCGAAAACCGACGGATTACTAAATCGTGGGTATCGTAGGTATAGGTATACGCCATCGGAACACATATCACGGTCTCTTCGAAGAGTGGCTTTTATCTTTTTTTTTTGTAAAAAGAATTCTCCGCATATCATAATCCTCAGCACAGAAACGCGTATCGCACAATGATCGGCACTATACACCTATATAACGTACTATAATAACAGGGCGGGTATGACCGTTGTGTTCCGCGATGTCGTGTTTACCGCTTACCGGTAACCGCGAAAATGCCGCAGTTTACACAGCCGACCAGCAGGACGTGTATAGCGAATAATATAATTTTATGGTGCCAACAAGGATATTTCGTTATCGATCCATTGACATTAAAGATACCGTCGATTAAAGGCCGTCTGCAGTTGTATTTTATCGCGACCGATCTGGTTTAACGATCTAATTTAATACGGGTGTATCATATAGGGTGTTATTTTTAGTTTTTTTTAATCGAGTTTTGTGCGAGGAGACGCATACATGTTGATGAAAATAAAAATTCTTTAGTTCTTGAAAAAAAAAATGTATTACTTATTATTTTATCACACACAAAATTTCCAAACCTAACCTAAATAAAAATCTATTATAGTCACGCTTAGATACAGCAGTCAGAGCGGGGCCGATTAAGAAGTGACCCGGAGTTGGGGCGGTTAAATCGGTAGGAGAGGAAGACAAAATTAATGGAATGGTAATTCAAGGAGGCCTCAATAAAAATTATTTTTTTTATTAACACTGAGTGATCACCTAAACTTGGAAAATAATCTCTTAAATTAGTAGACAGTCCTGGTTTCATTTTTTCATCAATTTCCTTATTAGTTACTTTTAAACTTTTGCTTTTTATTCTGCAATTTATTTTTTATTATTATTTTTTTGCAGCTCTGCTAGTACTATTAAACGTTCTGGTTTGTTCATCTGTGATAACTGATTAGGTACAACTTAAATAACAAAAAGCTAATTTTTTTTATCAACACCGGGCATTCAGGGCGATTAAGGACACATAATACGGACAACGTAATTGTTTGGAAATAGAAAAGTGTATCATTAGTTGTTAAAAAAGTAAATTCTGAAAAATAATATTATATTTAAAACTAGGGACGTTAAATATGAAAAGTTACCAACTCTGTTTTTTAGATTCTGAGCGAACGAGCTTGTATTTGTTTTACTATGATTTACTTGTTTTTTTTATTTTTTGGGTCTATGAGCAACTTTTCTACTATAAATCTTATTCCAATCAAATCACGACAAGAAACTTTTTTTTGTTGCACTTTGGCTTTAGCTGATCATTTTCTGAAATACATATTACATTGGACATAATGAGGAACAACTGGTTCTATAGGTTGAAAAAGATTAAAAGATTAAAATTAAGATTGTCATTTACAACCGGATTTATATATTTTTTGTTGTTATTAAATTTTTATTATTTTAATCTTTCATCTATATCAAACAATCGTTGCTGTTGTGTAAATATACATTCTTGAAAAAAAATACTATTGAACACAGTCGTTTTTCGTTAGCAACGATTAATCGTTTTACGGACATAAATTAAATTCTCCTCTATATCTCACCTTCCAAACTTCACCTACAATAGTGGCCCACCCGTGGTGCAAAGTATGTCCTTTCCCAGTATCAACCCTTTTTTTTTTATATTGATAAAAATTATGTCATATGTGTTCTGAGTAGTGAGGTGACATAAATCCGGATAATCCGAAAATCCGGGATTCGGATTTCGAATTTTAGACAACAAAAACCGGATTTTCAAATTTCGGCAAATCCGGATTTTTCTTAAAAATAGTTCCCAGTTCAAATTTGTATGTTAACATTTGTTAAAAATTTGAGAAATAAAATTGTAATTTATTATATAATGGTATTAGATTTCGAGCGTAGTGAGTCGTCTATTTATTTGATTATGATGTGTGTTTTTGTATTTTTTGTGTCTATGAGCAACTTTTCTACTTGGAATCTTGTTCCGAACCATTAAGTGTAACATTTTTTTTAAAAAAATTCACAAAAAAAAGCAGCACTGGTCAAAAGTATTTTTTTATTGCCTTTATAATTTAATTATTTCAATTGCCTGCACTAGAGATAAAATATTTCGTCAGTGGAAATCAAAAATTTTAACACTAAAATTTATTTAAAGTAATATTATATCTATTTATGGAATTTTTAACATAGGTTCTTCTTTCAAAAACCAAAGTTGATATTACTACAGGATACTCATTAAATGTTATAAAAAATTTAAGTATTCGAAAATATCGATTTTAACTATACTTAAAAATTCCAAAAATCAGGATTTATATGTATGGACAATTTAACTAAAAAACTGGGGTGAACAGACTTAAAATATTTATTGTGCTATCATCAACTCAAATAATTTATACAATTTTCTCATTCTGAATGATAAGAAGCCTATGGTTTTATAATGATGTTTTTCCGATTTACAATGATAGCACTTTTTTAAAAGTAAATCTAACTGATAGGAAGGTATTTTAAGTATTTTAAGTGTATATAGAATTACCACGATAGCTCTATTTATTAAACGCGTGTATTGTTTTTTGGCGTGAATTATAAACCTTAAAAAAAAAAAATCGACTTTTTTTCCCGTCACCGAGCGTTCGAGCGTATTAGACGATGATCCTGTATAGATAAGAACCCTTCTCTGAACCGAGAAGAAACGCATAATAAAAACAAAAACCATAACTATATAGGTATATTAGACAAGTCTCCGCAACTGTCCTATATATATATATATATATATACATGTCTAAAATCGTGCTGTACTTAAATATATATATATATGTATATATATATATATATACAGGGTGTTAGGCGACGTCGTTTAATGGGCTTTTAACGGATTT